ATTTGACTGTACATGACTTATCGTGTAAGATCCGCTTAACACTACTTCGTAGCCGTTTTTATTTTTTCGTAAGGTGTTTGCTCCATTCATAAATATATCGCAATGAATTATAAAATTCTATGAATGTTATTTTTTCGATTGAATTGAAATGCGAACAATTGATAATATTTAAAAAATAAAATAAAAACACTACAAAAGTACGAAATATCGAGAAAAAAAAATTCTCTTATGTAAACTTTTAATATCTTATTAAACATCATGTTCGTCATATCAGCCTCTTCCATCTTCTTGAATGTGCTGAAGGACAACTTCGATGGTGTGAATTTTATCTTCTTCATGTAGCACTCTTTGAAGATAGAAATCCTTCTCGTTGAGTACCCAGTTATCTCTATATATAAGAATATATCTTAACAATTAGACAGTACAGTTTAGTATTGAAAACACAGCAGTCATAAATACTGTGACAGAATCATGGATATGTCCGTAGTAATATGGGTATGTATCAGATTTCTTCCTATTAAATCGCTTTTGAAAAAAACAATGTTTGCCCATATTTTGTAAAGAATAGTGTATTTTCGATTTTGTCATAGTTCAATAGTGTAACATCTGAAATGAAGTTATGTCGTTTGCTGTCACTATGAATTTGTATGATATCGTTACAGCATTCGCTAAAATCTAATTATACCTTCTGAAAAGTTACCATAAATGAAATTCATTATGATAGAGCTAGAAGAAATTACAATAGTTGGAAGTTTAATTTTTCACTACATTTTAGTGCAACAAACTGATAGTTGGTACATTTATGTTGGAAATTACCCACACACAATTAATTACTAATTTTTATGCATTTAGGAACGTTGATACAACAAATTTGGGAGAAGAAGAGAACATAATTTCTCAATAATGTCTATAGTTGCGATGGAATATCCCAAAAATTTATATAGATGGAACAAAATTTACCGGAACTTCGATTTAAAAAAAAATACGATACAATTAATCCGGATAAGACATATGTTAATTTTCCAACTCTTTTGAAATCTTGAGAAATACAAGAATAGTTGTATTTTCTATTAAAAAAACTATACTAGAACGATTTAATTCAACATCTTAACTTAAAATGTGTAGGAAATGTTTTAAAATCTTATCGTAACCCTTTGAGTAAAATTCAAGGACGTACGCAGCTTTCATACTAGGAGGGAGATAAAACGGAAAATTTGTTTTCAGAAATGTGAAACATTATTATTACTATAATTAATAAATATTTTTATATGAAATTAAGTATATAGTAGTAAAGAAAAACAATTTTAAAAAATCAACTTTCTCGAATTTTCAGCAAATCTGTTATATTGTATTAAGTTTTATTTTTTTAATATTATTAATGGGTAGAGATACAAAGGACGTTTCCCTTTCCTTTCCTGGGTACGACCATGATAAAATTATTTTCCTCAATTTTCCCGGAAATGGACTGTTCTCAAATTTCATATTTCCCAAAGTATTGGACTTTCATATGACATTTCGCTGCCCTCCTTCTATAATTCGGTACACCATTCCCAAATAATCCACCAGCTTTGGATCACATCACAAGAGCCTAAATTTAGGTCTTGTCTAAATTAATACATCTAGCGTTCGTAAGCCACAGCATTGGATGGAATTTAATAAAATTGATATTAGGCCTTCCATCGACCTAATTTATACAATGTCTAAAAATTTCATGAAAATTGGATAGATGGCAGCTGATTACGTTGCATTTATTTGAATTAAGACAAACGTTGAATGCGGTTTGTTCCTATAAAACGTGATTGGAAATTTTGGATTCTGATGACAATTTTTTTCTTCTCATATGAATACATAACAAGTATTCAATAATTAAAAAAAAAATGCTTTCAAAAGTGAGGTACAGTAGCAAATCCAGGATTTAATTTTTAGATGAGGGCTTCAGCCCGAAAGGTTTTTTTTTAATGTATACAACGATAATTACTTAGGAAGAAGAAGAAAGAAAAAACTGTGTATAAGAAATGATGTTAAGTAATTCTTGAAATTCTATTAAAAAAATAATACGAACAATAATGTTTTTTTCATAAGACATGAACATATTTTGGAGCTGTATATGCATTATAATTTAAAATACACAACATATTGTTGATCACTCACAGTAACAAATATAGAAATAGTAAAAATAATAAATTCTTTTTGAGGAGAGTTTGAGCTCGAAAGCTCTCCCTTCTCATCGCATCTGCTAGTGGTTTTATTCTGATAAAACCGTGATAAAAACAAAATTTTTTTTTTCTTTGACTAGGGTTGGAGGCAGTGAAATATGAATGTCCTTTGTGACAGAGAACGGAAACCGATCCCTTTTTACCTGTACATGGAATTTCAGGAGTCAGGTAGAAGATATCTTGCGTCGTGGTCTCCCATATTCCCTTGTGCTTGACGAGGATTCGAGAGACTATTTGCCAGAATTCCATTTCCGATGAGGGTAATTTTGCTGAAAAAAAATTTGGCCTAACGATGAATCAAATAAAAATTAGTTAACTTAACGATTTTCAGGAATTTGGTTATTTGTAGACAATTCCGATGGTGCATATATAATGGAATACGTTTAACTTTATATAAAAGTTTAATTATCAAGCGGCTTAAAAAAAAAATGTCAAAATTAAAAAAAAAATATTGTTATTTTTAATAGAAAAATTACTTGGTTCCCGTATTTTTTTCAGTAAGTTAAAAAATAGAATTTACAAAACTATTATCCTTTCGAATGTTTTTTACGCATGCGAAACATGACTACTATGTTACTACCGGTCAATAATAATTTTATTAATAATTTATTTCATTATTATTTATTAATATTTTTTTTAATTACAATATTTCTGAGAAATTTGAGTTACTTTATTTGTCTTCAGAGTCAACAAGAATTATTGATGAAAAAAAATTCAAACCATCTTTTTCGCAACTATTAAATCCGACATGGAGACGTGACCTAGCATTAAATATCAGTTGATTATTATTTTTACGCTAATCCTTAACTAGCAACCAATATATTGTTATTTATTTCTATAATGAAGAAGGGGAGTAGAAAATAATATTTGCTGAAAAGTGCTTGCATCAAAATTATCAGAATCTTGTTATTTTTTTTTTTTCATGGGTGATAAATATTCAGGACGCAGTCTTTTTTAAAATTGTTTATTACATAAAAAATAATAAAAAAGACTGCGTCCTGAATATTTATCACTCATGTTATGTAGAAAAGTCGACCAACTTCTTTCAAGACTTGTTATTTTTTAATCAATACAAAATTCATGTCGTTAGAAACTATTATATCTATTATTATATGTTCAGTGAACAGTTTAAAATCATTTTTCTTCAATTCTTTGCTAAAACCTAATTATAAAATCTAATTTAAATGGGAAAATCTTTTAAATCAGTAAGATGTCAAACGAATCATTTTCAATGTCCAGAAAATCAGAAGAAAACCGAATACACATCGTTACAAAATTTTAAATAACATAACATTAGAGTGCTACCATTGGGTAGTTACTCAGCAAGTGTATTCATGTCATTATATCTATTATGTCCAAATTTACTAGATGTATTTATGTAATACAGTTGTAAATGTCATTAAGAAATAAAAAAAAAATAACATAACTGATTGTTATTAATTTTTACGTTTTTTTAAACAGTTTTGATAATCTGGTTTTGTAACAAGCAAAGCCATAGTTTTTTTTTAATACAATTCGATTCAATAATTTTGGGAGGAATCCGATGTTCTGAAAACGAAACCTCAAGCCAATAAAATAGTTTTTAAAAAATAGTTCTTTTTTTAAGATGTCGAAAAATAAATTAAAAACTGAGAAAAAATTATAAACTTCGTGTTCATACCATAATAATAATGCTTTATTTATTAGTTGTGTTTCTTCTTCGACGTTTTGGACACTTTTCCAATCATCATGGAAGATTTTCTTTAAATTTTATTATCTCTGTCATTTACCCATAAAAGTTTTCTTAGTTCAGCATAAAATTATAACTTATTAAATATGCATTTTTTGAAATGTGTGTTTCTCATTTTCAATTGTCACACTGTATTGTTAAAGAAATTTAAGTAAAAAAATATATAATTGTACAGAACATCGTCTAAGATAATTGGGTTATTTGCCCGAAACATCGACGAAGGAGCTAATAAATAAATAATTTAAACTTGCAAGGTTGAGAGGTTTCCTTCAAACAAAAATCCACTTGTTCAAAAAATAATAGCTGCATTTTTTAATTAGTTTTTTTGGACATAAGAGAATCTAAAAAACGTTCTTATACTTTCTTACTTCCTCAAGAATTATATATAGTTAATTTAGTAGTTAGACTTAATAGAAGGACCTAGCTTTTTTTTTAAACAACTAATCCCAAACATGTTTATTATTTTTAATTTTTTTTATACTCTATTAATATTTTAAAAGTATATTTAGTTGTAAAATTTTCTCAATTCTTTTCATATATCGTATTCATTATATGTTTGGCTCCTGGTGAATTTTAAAAATAATGGCCTAATTAAATTTTTTTTTTCATTGCTCCTATATTTTTTCGTGTTCGTTATCTAACCTATACACTTAATATTTTATATTTTTAAATTATAATGTATTTACAACTAGCTACTAAATGAAAGTACATCCAAAAAAAAAAAAAAAAAACAATATAAGAAATTTATTTATAAAAGCATTTTTTTTTCTATAATTACCATTTTTGTTGTTGTTTAATAATGTAATTACAGGAACAATATTTTTTTATGAATAAACATATATGGCAGAGACCACCTCCCTTTAAAATCCGCCAGTTCTTGTCTCCTCTTAACTTTTTATTTATTTATTTTTAATATTTATATAACATTTACGTTTAGTATTATTGGTTTCCTGTATTGTTTATTTTTATTTATTGTGACAGATTGTAATATCTCTCAATAAATATGTTGAATATATATATATATATATATGTAATTTTAATTTATTTTTTTTTAGATTATCGTGATGGGTGTCGGATGGGCATGGCCCTACCTCCTTCTAGGTATAGTTCTCCTGTTGATCTACAAGTTCTACAACAGCAGATCATTCAAGTTGCTCAGTGCTATACCTTCCACCAACGCACCACGTTTTATCGGCCACACCCTTGACTTCTTAACAATGCATCCCTCAAGTAGGTGCAGTTTAGTTTATTTATTCAAAGACATTTAGAGAAAAAAAATATTTATCCCTCACATTCGAACAAAAGATAAAAGTCGTCGCGTTTCTTTCATATTCACAATAAGTGAATATAAAATTTATCGAAGTTCTTTAAAACCATGTTAGTCAAAGAAATGATGGATGAATAATGTTTTACTCTCATTTATTTATATGCAATATATATTATATGTGTGGGAGAGAGAAAGGTCGTATTTGTGAGATGGAGTATTCCACTTATGCTATCACTTTATTGATTATCAATCTCCCGAAGTGCGAGATAAGGATCGGAAGATGTTAAGAGCTGGCTGCAATCAGCCTCTTTGGCAAAATGACAAGTTGGAACCTTTGAACCTCTTGTGGTCAATTTATTAACGTGTTATGAGAATACTAATAAATTAACAGTAAGTGGTTCAAAGGTCCACACTAGTTATTTTGCCAAAGAGGCAGATTGCTGCAATTAATTTCTTAATAAGTTTTGAGAATGCGGAAGTGGAGTAACTCATTGGATAAGGCTCTGCTTTCCTATGCTGAAGGCCCCGGGTTCGAGTCTAACTGTGGCAGGCGTATTTATTCTGTTCATTCTGATTTATTTATTCTTACATCAGTCATGGATCGATCCTGGGGAGAGCCGTATGCGACACACCCAGTGTCTATAAACTGGGTACTCTTAATTATATAATTAATTAACTGGGGAAACCTGGGGGTTGATCATTGTCTCGCCCTAATCACTTCACCCTGCTCAACCATTGGTCTTGAAACAGTACTTATTTTCAAAGTACTTAACCCAATACCCTTCATGGGCTGTAGTGGTACAGGTTGTGCTTAGACGTAGAGGATATTTCAGCTTTACTTTAATGAGGGTCACGGTACCACAAAAAGCTACGGCAGATCGATGACCTTAGCGCTCCGTTTCGGCAGTGGCCTTCCCACCGCCGCTCATTCGAAATCATTCGTGTTCAAGGACATCGAGAAATTGGTCTAGATCCATAGATTACAGCTGTTTGAGGACTGCGGAGTGTCTGAGGTCAATACATCCCTAGTCTGATAGAACCTTTAATCTCCTCTCTCTTCAATATGATTTTATCGTCTCTTGAATTATTTTTCATTTATTATATTATTATTATTATATTGTTATTCAACTGCATTTATTAGTTCAGTTGTTTTTACTATCCTACCTATACTAGGTAAGGAAAGTATTGCAATCGGGTCAAATTTCCGATATGTGGTTTTCGACGGATCTACACGTTTAAGAGCTCCCTGAGTCCGAAAAACACATTTTTAGCCATTGGTCTGTCTGTACCAAGATTTTCTCGGGAACTACTGAACCGATTTTCCTATAATGTTCCTACAATTGTCCTTTTAATTTTCGTATATGGATTAAATTCCCCAGCAAATTCAGGAAAAAAAGGTATAAAGAAAATGTTATGGGGCCTAACTCGATCAGTATATATTCTATGGTAAAATTTATAATAAAACTTTTGAAAGGTAATTAAATTACCAAAAAAACAAAACAAAAAATCATATGCGGTTTTCGACGGATCTATACGTTTCAGAGCCCCCTGAGATTTATCAAATACATCGTGCTCAAATTTTTTCTTTGCTCAATTTTCCGGAAAATAAATCTAATTCAATTTTTTTTTTTATGGACACATTTAAAACTTTTCTGAAATATGTAGAAAAGTCGTGTGAGTGGACATCCCAGTTTTTACTATTTTTTCACCTATAACTAGTAAACAATGCATCGAAGAGAAAAAGAAGAAGAAAACTAAATTTTATTCTAGGACCATGTCCCCTTAGCATAACTACAATGTACAATTTAATGACTATTGTCTGGCATTTGAAATAAATTAAATTACAATGTTATCTAATTTTTTTTTTATAAAAACTTTTATTATGATATTTACAACTGTATTAGTATGAATACATCAAGTAAATGTGTACAGAGAAATATTATCACATGAAACACGCTTGTTGAGAAACTATCCACTGGTAGCACTCTAATTATCTAAATCTAAAATTAAAATAAAGAAATTATAGATAAATTATAATGTGCGAATTCACATATTTGCACACATATATAACGTGGATGATAGATAATTATCTGTAGGATTATATTAAATGCAACTGACAGGTCTGAAAAACGTCAACATTATTTTACACATATTCGGAAGATTGATTGTTGAGGAGATGGATACATAAATTATGTTCAAATGTGTTCAACGATGAGGATTTGAGTATGCAGGTTGGTAGGGAATTCCAAATCAAGGTAGCACGTATGTCAAAGGATTTTTTAAAGGAAACTATGAGAAGAAACAAACAGGTTTGAGGGCTGGGATCTTGTGTTGAACGAATGGACAGAGGAACAAGGAGTAAAGAAATCAAGAAGATACGAGGATTTTTTGATTCAAAAGGTTCGAAAAAGGAATACACCTAGGAAGTATTGCCGTTGGAAGACTGGATAGAGCCGCTTCAACTCGGCATACCAACTGGTGACGTAGGAGCGCCTGAGGACTCCAAAAATAAATCTAATGAAACAATTCAATAAAAACGTACCCTTTAAGAACTTAAAGAACGCTAAATTGTGCGCCGTCGAACGATTACCTAAACTTAATGATTTAACTTAAGTGGTATGGTCGCTAACCACGGTCAATAAATGAGAATATCGTGTTGTCCATCCCCTATATTCCGAAGTTAAAAAAAAAAAAATTAAAATCAATAATAAATAAGTTACATGAATGTATAAAATTTGTAAACTAAAATCGAATAGCTTTTGATCGAGTCTGGCACCCGGGACTGCTTTACAAACTCCGTAAATTCCTACATCCTACATACTTCATACTTCCTCATTATCCGTTCCTATCTAACTGATAGATGCTTTAATGTGAATCACAATAACATTTACTCATTCCTCTTTTCTCAATCCGCCTGTGTTCCTCAAGGCGGTGTCCTAGGTCATATCCTGTTTATATAACTGACATCCCAACCCTGTCATCACCACGTATGCCGATGACGCATGTGTCGTATCAATTAATAATGACCCAACAATTGCATCCCAGACTCTTCAATCACATATCATAAACTTTGTCAAAACTGGAGGATTAAAATAAATTCCATCAAATCATCTTTACCCTTTGTCGTAAACCTATGACTTCATGTCCTTTAGTATCCTTTAATAATACCCCAATTATTCCTGTTGAACAAATCCAATACCTTAGACTCCACTTGGACAAACGGCAAACCGACTACTCCAGCACTTTCTAGACAAATGCTCTACAATAAGACCTATTTGGACTTAGGGAGTTATGATTTGGTGCTCCAAAAAGACATAAAATTCCTCACGAATCCAATCCTTACAATCCAAAATCCTCAATGCTCCTTACTTTGTCACCAATAAAATCATCCATAACCACCTTAATGCTTCTTCTGTTTCCGATTTGGCCCAATCCAGATACCTATCCTTCCATAATAAACTTCAGAACCATCGGAATGCTCTTGTTTCTAACCTTGCTTCCTCTTGGATTCCTGATAACTCTCGGAGGCGTCTGAAAAGAAGTTAGCCTGGAGATCTCCTATTGTGAATACATTTTTTAGAGCGCTACCAGTAGATAGTTTCTCAACAAGTGTTTTCATGTTATTATTTTCTGTTATCACATTTAACGAATGTATTTTAATTACTGATACAGTTCTAAATACCATAAATAAATAAAATTTTAAAAAACGATTATGAAAACTCAATTGGCTGACTGCTAGGCTAGGAACTACTAGTAGGTATGTAAGTATTTTATTGACAGATAAATATTACTTTTATTTAAATTGTTATTTATATTCAAATATAATAATATGTATCAATATATCCTAGGATTGTATGATTCGCTCAACCCTAAATTTTCATGATATATTATTCATTTTTGGCTGAAAAAGTTTAAGAAATGTACCAATGTTATGAAGGTTGTCTCCCCTCCTCCCCATGTAGTTAATCTAATAAAATACATTATATATTGAATTGAATTTTTTATAGTTATTTTCAAATATATATAATAAGTAGAACAAATACAAAAATAATCCTTATAACTATATAAACAAATTAATTTTAATTATCCAATATCGGTGTTTGATAGAGTCTGGCATCTGGGACTGATGTACAAACTCCGCAAATTCCTACCACCTACATACTTCCTCATTATCCGTTCCTACCTTACTGACAGGCACTTCAAAGTCAATCATAACAATGCTCATTAATCTCTTTTTATTCAGTCTGCCGGTGTTTCTCAAGGTAGTATCCTAGGTCATATCCTTTACACAGTTTATACAGCTGACATCTCAACCCAATCCAACACTGTCATCACCACCTAGGCCGATGACACGTGTATCCTATCAGTTAATAACGATCCGTCTATTGCATCCCAAACGCTTCATCACACATCACAAGTCTTGAAAAATGATGTCAAAACTGGAGGATTAAAATAAATCCCCTCAAATTACCTTCACTCTTCGCCGTAAACCTATGACTTCCTGTCCTACAGTATCCTTTAAGCCCTCTTATCCCTGTCGAACAAATCCGATACTTAGGACTCCACCTTGACAAACGACTCACTTGGAACCCCCATGCCAGACTGAAACAACTAGAAACCGCCTGACGTTTTTGACTACTGCAGCACTTACTAGACAAACGCTCTAAGCTCACAATCAATTACAAACGACTCATATATATGACAATAATAAGAACTATTTGGACTTACGGAATTGAGCTTTGGGGCTCCACTAAACCATCGAATTCCTCTCGTATCCAATCCTTACAATCCAAAATCCTTCATAAAATCCTGAATGCTGCTTACTTTGTCACAAATAAAATCATCCATAAAGACCTTAATGTTCCATATGTTTCCGATTTGGCCCAATCCAGATACCTATCATTCCATAACAAACTGCAGAACCATCCGAATCCTCTCGTTTCAAACCTTGCTTCCTCCTTGATCCCTGATAGTCCTCCAAGGAGTCTGAAAAGAAGATGGCCTCGGGACCTTCTAATATAGAACTTTTATTTTAGTTCTACCAATGGGTAGTTTCTCTTCATGTTGTACATGTCATGTTACCAATGTCACATTTACTTATTGTATTTTCCATGTAATACAATTGTAAATTTCAATAAAATAAAAAAAATAAAAAAAGTATCCAATATTATATTAGTTCATTTCACAATAGTTATGTTGAATTTTTACACATAGTAAAAACTCCTGCCTTTTCTTTTTTTCATCTATCCCCCTCAAATCAAAATCGAAAGTCTGCGCCTATAGTACCAACAGTTTTAATGTAGATCACTACCTCCCCTCGAAATCTCCTGATGGCTGTAAATTGGTAATGAAGATATTTTAAAAATTTCAACAGTATGGGTGCCTATTCTACTGAGTTTTTCTTGTTTAGAGTCTGCTATATACAGTATACAACTCTTTTCTACCTCTAAAAACTGAAGGATTTTGAGAAAAGAAGTATCAAAAGACTCCAAATTTTATGAAGTTGTTTCCAAGTTTTATGAATCCAGAGTTGAGAGATAATTGACTTTGTTTAAAAATATTAGTATTCAGTGGATGCAGAATTTGATGTTCTAAAATTAGATTATATGATTTTTTTTTCTCTTATAGAACTCATTTCCACTCATGCCACTACAGATTTTCTGCCCTGAAATGTATTTCCTTACCTGAAACAAACCTTCGTCTCTAGCAGACCTCAAGATGGTCACCTCAAACCCTTAAAAAAAAAAAATAGAATTCTTCAGACAAAGATGAAATGAGGAATATGATGTGCTATTATTTATTCTCATTTAAAAAGTAGCCTTTAAACTCAACATTCAAGATAACTATTAATTCTTGAATAATTGTGTATTTTCTAAATAAAACAAAGTAATCTTGACTAAATCTATTATTTAATCATTTTAACATTTTTAAATTAAATTAATTTTAAATTTTAAATTAAATTTCTTGTTTTTCTTAAGGTTCAATTGAATAATTCAGTGATATGCTAATTGAATTAAATTCAATTTCATGCTAATTGATTAATTAAAGTATTACCTGATTTAGCTATTAATAATCTTTACACATGAAACTTTATCCTCCATAAAATGAAAATTAAATTCTAAATTAACGAATGAATCCCACAAAAGTTAATTATTACTGGACTGCCTGATGAGCATTTGAGAGATAAACCAAAATGTAAGTGGGAAAATTCAGTTAAGTATTTGGGCAGCAGACAGAGATGTGTAAATAGGGATTGGTGATGAATCCATGAAGTTTGTTTGGCCTTTCAGTGTATTAATGTGTAAATTCTAAAGGTATCTTTCTTAAAATATTTCAACTCTATTGTATTTTATCTATTTTTTTTTCAGACATTTTGAGCTTTATGTTGCAATTATTTGACAAAAATAAAACAAATAAGAATGTTATGGCTATTTGGACAGGACCATTCTGCTTTGTATATTTAAGAACACTACCTGATATTGAGGTAACTATTGTTTTCTACTATTGTTTTAAAAATAACAAATTTTGCTGTTTACTACATTTCAAAATAAATATAAGTATTGTTAGGATATGTAGTTAAACCTTAATTAACTGTGGCTCTTATATCTATGTTTGTGATTAACTGTAATGAATATTTAAAAAAAAAAAAAAAGTTAAATTTTTCAGTTGAAACAATATAAGGACATCCTGCCTAGTTACAGTTCTGGGAAATTATTCATTAATTTTAAACAATTCATTTCACACATCTCAATTAGTTATTGTCCTCTGTTATAAAATACTTTTTAGCGGCCAACAATCAGTGGTAAACATAAAGGTGCCATTCTTCTCTAAAGAAGAAAGAATTGATTGTAAACTTCTTGATGTAATTATGGATATTATTTGAGGCCCTGATAAATAATAATTTTTAATGTTTTAAATTACTATTAAAATAATAAATTAAAAAAAAATCAGAAACATGTACTACAAACAAAGAATTTCTTAATTTCTTTTAAAAAAAACATTGGTTTTGATATTAAAATTGGAATAAAATATGTAGTTTTTCATGTTTCCTGAAAAATCCTCAATAATGATAAGGGTTTACTTTGGAAATAAACGACTCATATGCAGACCCTTCGTTTTCTATTACATACATTCAGATTTGCTACTATGAAATCAGCTCATTTCTTTTCCATGTGCATGCAAATTTTTATCTAAAGATAAATATAAAAACCATATAAAAGTTATACACCAGTAGCATGGGCCGTGGCGCATGAAATGCGCTATGCTAGTTTGGTAGTGATTAATATTTTTTTTTCTGTTATTTAAATTATAAATTCACTATTTTGTATATCAACATGTATTTATACAATTTCTAATGGTATTTATTTATATTAAAAATATTTTTTTATCCATTGTTTTGAAAACCATTTTTAGATAGGAAAACAAACATGTTTATTTTTTTATATCCAATATAAGACAAGACATATTGAATAGAAGAAAACAAATAAATATAAAAATATTGCATGTACATTAATTTAATAGGTTACATGTGACAATAAAAAAAACAAAGATAAGTTATGAATACTTTATTACATAATACATAAGTTTGATTACAAATCAACACAAGTTTACTATAGAAAGCAATTAGAAAAATGTAAAACATGAAATATCAAAACCAATAAATTAATCATTTATTCAAATTAATCTTAATTATATTTGTCTTGCCCAAATACATTTAGGCTCAACTACAAGATGAGCTTTGCAAGTGTGTTTTTACACTTGAAACATGTTTTTGTAGTGTTTATGTTCTTCTTTATTCCACTCATATGACATCTTCACATAATATTTTAAAAATTTCAATTCAATAACACCAAAAATATCCAAGAAAAACTAGAAGTATATCACAAGTGGGCGTTCAGCGCACAGAGTCTGCCACAACAGTTTTTCAAATAACTTGAAAAAGTACTGGGGATTGTAAAGGTCTGGGGTAGGTAAGAAGGTAGTTGAAGGACAATAAGGATTTGATAAACGAATACCAGTGATTACCACATCAGGACACTTTGAGAGATTTGACAGTCTGAAAACCGAGGCTGGCGCATTCTGTGCACTAGAAGGTTAAAAAGTTATTAGGGTTGTGAAAGTTAGAGATCAAAGAGTGTACCAATTTGTTATTATAAAGATTTCCCCATTTCATTCAGAAACGTTATGAATTTTTCCACTTGAAATGTCAGGCCATTATTAATGTATACATAAATATGTAAAAAAAAAAATCTTATTTTCCTTTATTGATAAAGATATTTTTCAAATACACCTGCTGATCTTTTAAAATTTCAGAATTTTGGCTCTAACTTGAGTGATTTTTTTAAACAAATCAACTAATGTAGATGCATTAAAAAATAAACAAATTTAAAGAGATTAGGCCTGAAATTTATTTACCTTACTTTTGGTAAAATACAATGATTCCTTCTGTATTTGACATTCCCACACACATTTGAATCTCTATTTTAATTTAATTTTTGTTAATTTTAATTAATTACTTTATCCCCATCTGCTCGCTGATTAGTGTGATTTACTAACATGGATTCAAATATAAAAGTAAGAAAAAAAATAATAATAATTTGGTCGATTCCACTCTTCTGTGTTGAAAAAAAATAGTTTTAATGGAGCTGATTAAACTTGAATTTTATCATTACCATACCCCAATACCGATGCCTCTTTCAATGCATTTCCCTTTTAACTAAGATTTGCAACTATCCAAGATTTAGATGAACTATTCTATGTGGTGTTTGAACATTTGTTTAGCCGCTATGATAAAAGAAAAAAATGTTTGTTTCAGAAATTATTATCAGACAATCAGCAACTGAGAAAATCAATAAATTATATCTACTTGGAACCATGGCTTGGCCAAGGGCTTATAAACTCTGATGGTAATTATTGATTTATATTAATAAATGCTTTTTTCCTTAAATAAGATTATTCAATTTTATATAATATAATATTTTTTAAATATAAGAATTAGAAATTTTAGAATTAAGAATTTTTCTATTATGCTTTTGATGAATAGTACATTTAAAAGAATAGTTATCACCACCGATTTTCCTAATTTCTATAATTTATTAATTTTCTTCAAAACTTGCAGGAACTATCTGGCAAAGACATAGGAAAATGATAACACCTTCATTTCATTTCAAAATACTAGAAGGATTTCTTGAAATAATGAATTCTAAATTGGACATTTTTTCTGAAGTATTAGAAAAAAAGGTCGGAAATGGTTATTTTGATATAGAGCCATTAATTGCAAATTACTCTTTGGATGTTATTACAGGTAAAGTTGGTATAATTCAATCCTACTCTTATTTATTATATTTTATTTCAATTCTAAAAATTTAAAATTGAGGTGAGAGAAATTAATTTACTTGAAGAGGCTTCTGACTTTTGTAATTACTTATGCATTTGATTCAGCTTGATGTAATCGGCAATATACAAAAAAAATGTTCATTGGTTAGTCTATCATAATTTGGAAATCCATGAAGAGCTGAGGCAGAAAACAACAACCTAAAAAATGTTAAAATTATAAAATAAAATAAAAAAATTGTTCTCGGCCCCTAGGCTGCATTGGCAAGAACTCTCATTAGTGGGTAAAATATTTTTTGACCTAGGATCAACAAAAAAAGTTTCATTGAACTATTCCTCTGATTAGAAGAATAATTTAATTTTTTTATTTATGAGCATTGATAGTAATTTTTTTATAAGAACAGACCGAATTTTTTTTTATATCCTCTGTATTTTTAAATGATTTATTTATACCTGAATTTTATTCATTTATGTATTAATTAATTTATTTTTGTTTATTGATTTAAAAATACGTTTTGGTAAGAATTGTTATTTATTGGTTAGGAATAAAAAAAAACAACTAATAAACGTCAATTCTTACCAAAACGTATTTTTAAATCAATAAACAAAAATAAATTAATTAATAGCCCCGTTAACTTTTCTGTTTATTTACAGCCATTATATCAAAACTTTCATTTTAACTGACTCAATATATAAGTTTGATAATTAATATTGGTGTATTTGCATTATTGTTATTAAGAAATGTTATTATCAAAATTTATTATTTAGAAACTGCAATGTCTACAAATGTTGATGCTCAGCGAACTAATTCGGAATTTATAGACTGCATTAAAAGGTATAGCATAATTTAATTTTTAAAATATATTCATATCCACTAATACACATTTTTTATTGCTCTCAAATTGAGGAATGTCTTAACATAACTAAACTTTTTTTTCTTTAGCCTAACTGAAGTTATAATTATTCGATCTGTGAGGATAATGTATTTTTTCCAACCAATATTTAATCTCTCACCATATAAAAATCAGGAATCAAAAAGTATAAACTATGTGAACAAATATATAGCGAAGGTATAGTTCTATAATATATTAACTAGTGATTACATATAGAAAATGTCTACTTTAACACATTTCATATATTTTAAATGATAAATTATGAAAATTAAAATTTATTTTTCAGATATTAGAAAACAAAAGAACTGAAGCTAAAAATATCAAAAAAGATGAAAATGTTGAGAATGACATAGGTAAACAATTTTTAAATTTTATTTTACTATGTTATTTTAAAAATCAAATAAAACATGAGATAATCCAGTTTATTTTGTTTCATGGTCTATTGATCTTTACTCATTATTTCATAAACAAACAGTTGTTGCATATAATCAGTTTTTCATACGGTAAAGTTTGTTTTTATGAAGAATTATACATGGCATTTTTTTTCCTGTTAAGTGTTTCCTACAATTTATCATAAATTTTATAATGTTCTTTCTCTCTTTTTTTATGACTTTTTTAATATTCTTATACTGCATTTCCAAGTTATATTTAACTTTTTCTAAATAAAATTCGATTTTTTTTCAAAATTAATTTAATTATTTTCGGGACAAATTCATTCTTTTTCAGTTTAAACTCAACTTTTGATTTATTTTAACTTTTCACATTTTTTTTTTTAATTAATTATCCCATACAGTGACAATTTTTGAAAAGTTAAAATAAATTTAAAGTTGAATTTGAAATAATTAAATTAGACTAGGAAAAAATTTAATTTGAAATAGAAAGGCTTAAATTTGTAATGAAAAAATTGAATTTGACTTACAGGATAATTTCAAAATATAAATTAGTGAGAAGTGTCTATATAATTAAATTTATTCTAATCTCATTTGTGTTAAGTATATGTTAACTGATGCATCATTGGGTTAATAAAAGTCAATAGTATAGTTATAGTATTTTAAGTAAAGTTATTAGTATTTTAATTATCCTAATTGAACATTTTTTACCAGTAAAAAGTATAGAAATCAAGTCTGTCTTTCCTTCCAACAATGACCAAATTTTTCTGTGTGCAAAAACTTAATATATTTAATCTTAATATATATATATATATATATATATATATATATATATATAAAACTTAAGATGTGAATTATAGTCAGATAATAGATGATGAAATTCATTTCATGACCTGTTATCCAACTATAATTCATATCTTAAGTTATAATATATAAAGGTTGAAATATTAAAAATACACAGGGGTGGATCTATGGGGGTGCTTTCAGGCTGAAGCCCTCCCAAAATAGTAAAATATAACCATGTTTTATGGAAAAATATATTAAAAAATTATCTCTTAAATTATTATTGTTTGTATAATTACATTAAAAGGACTTAAGGAATCACTTAAACACGATTTCATATAGATAATTAGTTGCTTTCTTTTTTTCCAAAGGAATTATCGTCATTTTTATGAAAAAAAAAAGCTTTCGGGCTGAAGCCTCCTTCAAAATTAAATTCTGGATCCGCTAGTGTATATGTATATATATATATTACAGTGAAATTAAATGATTCCATGATTATAAGTAAAAACAGGTATTATTTTTAATATAAATAAAGATATAACAGAATCTACTATCATACTATCACACACTTTTAAGGGAATTAAAACAATAGAAGTTTAAATTTACTCATTAATGCTTTAGCAATTATAATGACTGAAAATGTTGAAAAGAAAGCAGATACATTATTCAACTATTTTTTAAAACTTTTTATATTATAGTAAAATATTACTGCAGTATTGAAGGAAGTTAGTCGACTGATCTAATATCATGGGTAATAAATATTCAGAACGCAATGATTATAAAGTTTTTATAGGTGCCAACGTGCAGAGTAAGTGAATAACTTCAGTGTTCGAAACACGCCCTGATGATGACCTACATGTCTGGGTTGAAACGACGGTACCAATAAAAACTTTATAATCACTGCATCCTGAATATTCATCACCCATATTGATGCCGTACAGTTTGAAAATAATCCTTATTTTGTCATTAAGTCATCATTAGAAAATGAAATAAATGACATTGTACAAAAGGAATCAATTCTTCACTTATGGTTTTGAGCAAGGCTGATGATCTAATGATTTCAATTAAAGATTGTTAAACCCTGCTTATAATTTTTAAAAAGTGTGATTATTTAACAATATAAGTCTATTACTTTCAGGAGCAAAGGAAAAACTTGCTTTATTGGACATGTTACTTCAATTACAATTCAGTAATGCTAAAATAACTGACAAAGAGATATATGATGAAGTTAATACATTCATGTTTGCTGTAAGTATTTACTATTAGACAAAATCATTCTGAAGATTCTGATATTTATTTTCCAGTTTATTAATTTTAAAGAGTGGGTTACATTTGATTATTTTTTTAATGGGTTAATTAGTTTGGAATAGTTGTTGAGTATTTGTTTGCTATTGATGAACAAAGTATAGTACGGTCTTGAAGGTAGGTCTATGTAAATGATGAATTGATAAGAGGTGAAAATTTTAAAAATTAATTTATTAAAATATTATGCCTGAGTAATACTTATTTTTTCTTCTAAATTATTTATGCTTTTGATTTTAACGAAGTTATCTTTTTCAGGGACATGACACTGTATCATCTGCATTGAGCTTTGTCATTTATAATTTAGCAGTTCATCAAGATGTTCAGGTATGCTTAGTTGGTTTTATACTCATTTGTCTAGTTAATGATAGCTTTTAACCAGTGTGGTTGACATTTATCTGTCCGAGATGAATAGTTTTTTTTTTTAAATCACTTTTACTAATGTGAATATTTTTTGCCTATCTGACAAAAAAACAAAACAGTATTTAAGCATTAGAATTGTTAGATGATAATCTGCTACACGTATCTGCTAAGGAATGAGCTCTATGAAACTCTCAGATTTGTTTTATTACTTCAATAAATTATTATATATAAAATAAATAGTTAATAGGATCAGATCAATGGAAAGCTATCTTACAAGATTCATAATTAACAAATAAGCTCGAATAAGTAAAAAATTTATGAAATTTTTATATTCATTATCTAAACAAATAAAACATAATTTTTAAAGGTTTTTTTTTAACTAAGAAAAATTGTTTACATAAAAATGTTCACAAATAAAAAATGACTACTCCTAAAACAGGAAAAGGTGTATGCGGAGGTCATGGAAGTGCTAGGTGATTCAAAGCCAACTTATCAATCCCTAATGAACTTTAAATATCTTGAACGAGTTATCAAAGAGACCATGAGACTATATCCTTCAGTTCCTTACATTGGAAGACGATTAAAAAAGGATATGCCAATCACAGGTTTTTTTTTTCCCCCATTCAACTACTATTAGCTTATTAGAAATACATCATAAATGTTTATTGACTTTTAACTTTACAGATGGACATATTGTACCGAAGGACTCTGATGTCGCTGTGTTTATTTACGATCATCATCGAAATCCTGAAAACTTTCCAGATCCAGAAAAGTTTGATCCTGATCGATTTCTTCCTGAAAATATTGCCAAAAGGCATCCTTATGCTTACATTCCTTTCAGTGCAGGATCTCGAAATTGTATAGGTACTTTCTAAGAAACAATTTTATATCTGATATGTTGATATTAGGATAAAATGTTTTTGTGTTAATTTATAATTAAAAATTTATTGATTAATGTTTCAGGCCAAAAATTTGCAATGATGGAGCAATTAGCTACAGTGAGCCATCTGCTACGCCAGTTTAGAATAAGTATAGAACCTGGTTTTGTTATGAAGCCTATCTCACATATTGTACTACGACCGAATGTTGAAGGCGTTCGCATTAAGTTAACTAAGCGTTGAATATCTTTACTTTAATGATTGTAAAGGAATATTTGTTTATAAGACTAAAGAAACTGCATTAATAAATAGTTTAATCTAGAAATGTCATGAAAACTTTTATGTGATAAAATTATTTTGTGTAGAAAATGTATAAACCTCAAAAATATAAGATATATGTTTTTATATTATACTGATTATCCTGTTGTAAATTGAACTATTTTCAAATACACACTAGTCATTTTTTTAATATGTCAAGTTCTCTAAACAGTCATTCATGACTTTATAAATTTCACCATTAAACTGATGAACAAGGGTCTTATGGGCTACTTTTGTATCAATGATAAAATGAAACAAAAAAGCAAGTAAGAATAATAAAATATATTTTTATAATTGTGCAATAAAATATTTGTGGAACAATAAATAAATAAGAATTAAAAATGCAATAGAATATATATAAATATAAAATATATATAAAATATTATAAAACTTATAATAGAAAAAACAAATAAATAAGAAGGAATAAAATGGTTACATAAATCAATATTGGCTCAGGATTAGTTTCAAGATGGATATTATAATTACTTCGTCACAGCCATCATGAGAGGAAAGAAACCCTTAAACAAACATGTTTTGAAAGAAACATTGGATGATTATTACTTGGAATTAATATTTCAAATTTGTTATATTCTTGATATTAAAAAAAAAAAAATATGTACCGTGGGGCTCCATTATTCAAGTTTAAAAGGGTCAAAATCTATATTGGTAAGTTTCATACTTTCGGACCACAACTTTTTGGCATCTTCATCATTTTTAGCCAAAGGTGAAGGTTCCTTGAGTTTGCAATTGCTGAAAAACAAAGCATCAAGGATTAGTAAGAAAAAAAAAGCTCTATCAATGAGTGAAAAAGATTCTTTCCCAAGGATTCTATCTCCCTAAGAACATAACAAAATTAATTAACCGAATAACCTTCTTAATTTTTATTTACCCCATGATCCTGGGTTGTTTCTAATTTTAGTATAATTGTTTAAAAAAATAAGCTATTAATTCAATTCACCTGTAATATGACCCGGATTCATTTTCATTATCAGCCAGAAGACAATACAATGTTGTTTTAGCTCCTTCTTCAGGGGATATCATAAATGGTGAGAAAAGTGCTCTAGCTACCAGTCTAGCACCACGGAAATATGTATCATCCATATATCGACCGAGTTCTGTTTTGACAATTCCAGGGTGGAGAGAAAAAGTTGTTACCCCAGTTCCTAAAGTAAACATTAAGTATAAACTTATTTTTTCATAAAACATGCGATTTCATTACATGAAGCAAACACAATGTCATTCTGAAATCAACCCAACAGCCAAATGTTTTAATTTAAAAAGTGAAAAATATAAAGGAATATCAGAAGTATAAACAGCCGTCATTGATATCATTAATAACTATTAATCTTATAAAAAATAACAAAGCGAAAAAGTCGTGCCTTAGTTGCACACGTGTTGTCATGACAACTTCATACTGTTGAAAATAAGTTCCCTGAACATTGAAACAAGTTCCCTGAACATACTTTTTGATAAGTTAAGAAGATTATTATCTTGTATGTAAAATTGGACGGACGATGGTAAGAGAGAGATTAAGTGTGAAAATGTGAAACTTTAATTCTATTGGTATAACCTTAAAAAGTATGCATTTTATACTATAGAATTATACTGAAAAATCTTATTGCTACCGTATACCATTAATTATATATAGCTATTTTTAATTAATTTTCTGTTTGATATAATTTTTACTAAAACATAAAACATAAATTAATAAATATTATGTTTTGCATCATTTATCAGTGATCAAAATAATTCCTGAGCTTCTATTCTCTAGCAGTTATTAAATAAATTAAAATAATGTTGAGGGAAAGGTAAAGGAAATGGTAAATCAAAACCAAGACATAGTGTACAAAACTTACACTGCTAAATTATCATTAAAAATGACATTTACAAAGAGGTGACACAAACATGGAAAGATGGTGAAGAGAGAAAACTAGAAAAACAAATTGTTGAATCAAAGGTTAATAAGTAATATTGTTAATTAGAAGAATGCAAATATTAGGCTGAAATATGCAGAATCAGGTTTTTTATTAATGATTCATCTATTTTCTTTTTCTTCCTTTCACTTTTCTCTTTCCCTTTCTGCCTCAATACTTCATTTTTCATGTTTCTAACTACCTAGTCATATTCCCCATTCTGAATGTTAAATTAATTTGAAGATATTGTCCTTAAGAGGATCCCTAAAAGTCTTGATGCCTGACATTATCACATAACTGGTTTTCAAACTACACTGATGGTAAAAAAAAAAATGGCGCTCCTTAAATTTTACATTAAAACCACAGATTGGAGAGATATCTTTGAGCCTGAAGTAATAAAATATATGGGACAGGTCAAAGGAGTTTATCATGCTTTAATCCTTTTGAGAAAATTTCATAATTCTCTCTAGGATTAACAATAAAAGTATCAAAATAAAATGTAGACTTCATATCAGTTTGTCTCTAGTTGCCAGTTCAATCACATTTATTTTGCTTTATTTTATTTTTTCTTGAAAACAATATTTCCTTTGTATCAAATATTTTTAAGAGCGCAAAATGGTTTTAGGTCATGTGGCAGTCACTCAGATTACTATGCTAATTGAGAACGGCCAAATTCAGCAAAACATGACATGAGTCCACGGCTACCTGAGACAACAGTTCGGTGGGTATTCTAGAGGTACCAAGAGAGAGGAAGATATGCTAGGAGGCTGTGATCAGGCTACCCAAGAGAAATAGATCCAGCTGATAACCGCTTCATTGCTACGCAGACCCTCAGAAACCACTAGTAGACTTCAATGGAGATTTCTCTTCGATTGCATATCGCTCGAGGTACGGATGTTAGTGCACACACAATAAGGGAAGACTTACTGAATTCAACCTGCTAAATTCTACCACTACAGCACATCGAGAAGCTAGACTTCACTTTTGTCGTGAACATGCTGCCTGAACAAAAGATTTGGCCTCTGTTCTGTTTTCTGACGAGACTAGGTATAGCCTCTATGGTGCAGATAATATGCTCAGTGCAATATTTTGAGAAGAGTGCAGTTCGGAGGAAGGTTGGTGATGGTTTGGAGTGGAATATGTTTAGAGTCACGGATGGATCTCCATGTGTTCCGAATGTCGATGCTACATGCACACCTGTCAATCACCGACATCCCTGAGAAATATGTTGTACCTTTTAACCATTCATTTTATTTTTATGCAAGATAATGCTCGCCTTCACATCACAAATGAGGTACGGGACTACCTAGACAAGGTTAGTGTCTGCACCTTGGAATGGCCAGCAAGCAGCCCTGACTTCAATTCTATTAAGCATCTTTCGGAACAACTTGGGATATCCATTTGTTGACAACAGAACCTTCCAGTGACCTTCAAGTATGTGAATGGGATCAGATTCAAGATTGGGTATTCAAACTTATTCACAATATGCTTATGAGAGTACAGGCCATTATTCAAGCAAGGAGGGGCAACACTAGGTACTAGAGAATCTGATTCCATAATTTAAAAAGAATTAGATGCATTTTATTTTTGTTTAAAATAATCCATTTGCTTCATTTTACATTATATATATTTTTTAAAATGAATTTTGAGTTTTTTTCCAATTTATTTGTGGTATCCTAGAAATAGAATATGTTAAGGTAAAAAAAGTTTTTTTAAATTTAAATTTTTTTTCTGATGGGAAAGAAATAACAACAAAATTAAAGGTGTGCTGGTTTTTGATACCACTAGCATAGTAAAGATATAACTTGGCATACATACGAGACTACATCACTTTTGACTTTAAACTCCGCAAAATAAAATATGAAAAGACATAGAATATAATGTAAATAGTATCCTAAACGAATACCTATTTATATTACCTTCAAGTTTATTAGCAAGTTCTCTAGTAAATAAAACATTTGCGAGTTTGCTTTGGTTATATGCTCCTAATGCATTATAAGGCTTCTTTTCAAAGTTTAAATCTTCCCAATCCATTCTTCCTCCTAAAAATAATATTTATCGTTAAGAAGATAAGACAAAAGTCAGTAACTAACTACTATTGAAATAGTAACATACATAATTTCATACCTTTTCATATTGTAAACTTAAAATAAGACTTACTTTCATGAGCTGTAGATGATACATTAATTATTTTAGAAGGTGCAGATTTGATAAGTTTTGGCAGTAATAAACATGTGAAAAGAAAGTGTCCCAAGTGATTCACACCAAAGTGAGTTTCAAATCCATCCTCAGTTTTACTTTTAGGGCACATCATGACACCTATAAACATTTTTTTATTAATCAATATTACTTTAATTTTATTCAAATTTATGGACAAAATGAAAAAAAAAGCATGCTTGCTTAGGTATCCAGGTAAAATCTATTTTTCTAACCAGAGTGATTAGAATTGGATGTTAAAGATTCATTCCATGGCTCTGCCATGAAATAAATTTCAATCCTTCCATCCTCTCTGATTCGAAATGGTGCTGCTAGACTCCAGGTTACTAAAGTTATGATGCGTAAACACTTTCACCCATTAATGTCTCTGCTAATTTAATGGTACTAGAAGATATATTTTAAACAGCCATATTTTTATTCTCTGTAGTTGGGAAGGAAAAGTTTCCCTTTTTAACCCCCTATGAATCCTCTACTGAATAAAAGAGAGTTAATACAAAGTAGCATCGACAATAATGCCAAAGAATGATAAGGAGAAAAAATTATGACTAATTGAAAAGGTAAGTAAAATATACAAAAATATGTGATCAAAATAAACAAGGAATAATTAAATAATTTATATAAATCATAATAATACAGTGATAAGGAAAAGAAAAAAAAAGATGTTGAGGTGTATAGAAATTAAAAGTAATAATTCACTATTACATCATTCATTACTGTTTACAGTTCAACTCTCTTTTGTTAAATTTATTATATTCATAATTACTTAACTTTCTACATGTCATTTACACCTCTTTTACATTATATGTACCTTTATATATGTATATACCTTGCCCATCTTGATAAACCTTGATGAAATCCCAAGGAAGTTCATGAATACATGATGACCATTATGAGCATCAGATTGCATCATTTTCCAGGTATTAAAAAAGGAGGCCACTGCTATTTTTATTTCAATATAGATAAGAATATTTTTTAATAAAGAGTAATAAAAATCCTTACCAGCATTGTTAACTAAGAGATGGATAGCATTTTCATTGTTATTAATATCTTCAGCACATTTTCTGATGGATGCAAAAGATGATAAATTGAGTTCTTTAACCATAAGCTCTCCAACATCTTTCACATCCTTTACTTCATCTTTGATGCTTCCCATTGCTTCATTAGCTCGTGATACATCTCGACATGCCATAATTACTTTTGCACCTAAAATACAAAATACGTATGTTGCATTGTAATTATTGCTGTCAATTAGTATATAAATTGAAATAAATAAGCAAACTTGTTAAGTGATAATTAATGAATTACATAAAAATTTCTACCTTACCATGTAAATAAAATTAAAACCAAACAACTTATTTATTTGCCTCTACTCGCTAGGATCATTGGCAATCCTCTCCTCACTTACACCTCTTATATTCCATTCTAAAATCCAATCATTCTCAAGAAATCCATCAGGATCTCCACTCCTTTCTCCGCATTCTGCAACACCACCGGGATCTCATACAGGTTGAGATTCTTCCCTATAACCGCATAATGTGTACAGTCCACGAATATGTGATTCACAGTTCTAGGGGAACCACACATGAACCAGGTAGGTGGTTGTTGACTGTGGAGTAGATATATGTGCGAAAATTCGTAGAGACCAATTCTGAGTTCTGAGAAGGCACAGAATTATTTTCTCTCTTCTTGATCTCCTTTTACTCGTACACCATTTAGCACTATTTGGTTTAACCTGAGCAAGTTGGGAGAGGTTCCTTCTCCAAGTCTCTTTCCCTTGAGTTCAATAGATTTTACCGCATTATTAACATCTGAACGAGGCATTTGGGATGCAACGTCTGCCTGTTTGTTTCCCTGGATACCACAGTGGGACGCAGCCCAAATGAAAGCTATTAAGATCTCTGCCATTTTACGGACCCAAATAAGTTCTAAATTTATTATTAATTTAAATCTAAAATATATTATTTTTTCAACACCTGTAAGTGAAGATGTTGATTATTTACATCAATTTATACTCATATTTTACTAGGTCTGAGTGAATATTCCAAATGACTAATAAACAACTAATGATTATGGTTATTCTATAACTAGAGTTTTTATTTTTTAAAAAAAAAGGAGAAGAAGAAGCGTACCTAATTTGTATAATTCCTTTGCTGTTATTTTTCCAATTCCAGTATTGGAACCTGTAATGATGGCCGTTTTACCATCCAGCCTTTTAGTTGGTAAAACCCTTGATGGTGTACCACCCATGATAAATTTCGAAATAATAAGTTTTATGATAAGAATTTGATTGAGTCCAGTAAACAACAACGGAACTTCTACTATGTGACTAACCTTCACCTTCAACTCAATTGCCTTATCTGAAAGATAAGGGTTTGAACTTTCAAGGTGACCAATTGATTAATAAGAGTTATTTTCAATGATAGACATAAAAATTATCACAGTCGTGGACTAAATATTATTTCGAACCTATAATTATTCAATAAAAACGAAGTTTCGAATTGGGTCTTCTTCAGTGACTTCAACGGTGGATTTGATACGGTTGATAAATGGCGTCTTCTCTTGTTCAAATATTTCCGAAAATCTATTAGTAGTTTTCGCGAAATTTCTTAATATCCGAAGATATTTTCCTTAATCATCTAAATTGAATAGTCAACTAATACATTAATTTGGAAATGTTTGTAAAATACAATGTTTTAGAGAAATAGTTTTAAATTACTGCGATTTTATCTTTCAATTTTTTCCCAAGTCTTAATATGACTTAATAAGCTGCTAATTTCAATAATTAAGAATAAAATCAGTTTCATCTTTTATTGATGAGGAAGTGCTTCGAAATCTTATTACATCTGCACAAGAAATTCGTTCACTTTTTCAATGTTCACCAAAGCCTTTTCCAGTGCATTAATCTTCGTATGGAGTTCTCTTCTTTGTTTATTGACGTGGCATCTGAAATTATATTTCATACATAATTATAACTGATTAACTATATTTTAATAAAAAGAGTCAAATCTTTACTAAATAAACATGCACAATATAAACATATACAGAGAGTCCCGTAAGTAGAGGGACATTTTTATAGGAATGATAGCAGACCTCACGATCTACAAAAACGTTTATATAAACAATAAACCAATTTCTAGCAGAAAAGTAGAAAATTTAACATTTGTGTTTTATAAGCGTCACGCTTTTTGTTGAATAGGAAGCTATAACTAAAAAAAAATTGATTTAAGCTATTAAACATTGCTCCATAGTAAATTAGAAAGAAATTTCTTCAAAATAAAGTAGAATTTGTCATTGTTAAAACCATGTAAAGAGGACTAATAAGCTGACAAACTCAGATTAAAAAAAGTCATAAATTATTAGTTATCATTTATCTTCGCTCTGCAACCGTATTACAGTTACTCCATTTTTAGGAAAACTTCCTCGTATAATAAGCTATAAGTCCACATTAGTTAAGTTGAGGTTTATTAGAAACAATTTTGAACTTCACTCACAGGCGGGTCTAGGGGGGGGGGAGGAGCTTTCGGGCTGGACCTTCTCCCCAAAATGATAAAATATAACCCTGTCTTATGGGGAAAAATATTAAAACATTATCTCTTAAAGTATTATTATTCGTGTAATTAATAGGACTTCAACTATCATTTAAACAATATTTCATATAGTTAGTTAGTTTATGAAGAGAAGGATAGTTGGGGTGATCATTCAAATAAGAAGGCAAAAATAAATGATAATATTTATTTTTGCCTTGTTATTTGACTGATCACCCCAACTATTCTTCTCTTCATTATTCACGACAGTCAACCATTTACCCACAAGTAGTTAGTTTATTTTATTTTTTATCAAAGTAATTATCGTTATATATATATATATATATATATATATATATATATATATATATATGATAAAAAAAAACCTATCGGGCTGAGGCCCCCCCAAAATTAAATCCTGGATCCGCTAGTGGCTTCACCTCAACTTATGTAAAGAAATGATGAAATGAAATGAAAAAAAATTTTTATTATTCTGGGACTGTTGTCCCTTAAGAACAAAATATGAATACAGATTATATGTCTGTGTGGTTACAATTAAATTGTACATTTACAATGAAAGTTGACTTACGATAAAAATACAGAAAAGAGAAAGAAAAGAACAAGTAAATTGTACATATATATGAGAAACTAAAATAACCTTAATGATGGAGGAGCTGCACCTCGTAAGACGGGTAGGAAGGCCGAGGACGAGATGGTTGGACAACGTGGCCTATGATGCGAGAACCCTGCTTGGTGTGCGGAACTGGAGAGCTGCAGCAGAAGATAGAGCCAACTGGCGGAGGCTCTTGGAGGAGGCCCAGTCTCGGTGACGGGATGTTGTGCCATACATGAATGAATGAATGAAAATAACCTTAATAAATTGAGGTAGTCTTTGGTGGTGCTCAGATATTTCTCTTAGATATATTTCACAATCATTCGGATTGAGAAAGGAGTAGGTGCTTAAAGAGGAGAGGTTTAAACGAGGAAACTGATTGAGCGTGTCGAATATCAGCTGGGATGGAATTCCAGAGGGAGGCGGCCTGTATTGCAAAGGATTTGTCAAACGCAGCAGTTCGGTGAGGAGGAGGATAGAGGTCGGCAGTACGAGATCTGGTGGGACGGGATTGGATGGAATGTTTGAAAAATGATGTGATTTTCTATAGTCACCAAAAAGTACCTGTGTTTTCAGCAAAAATGAATACAAAGTGTTATATATTGTAATAATTTGTGAAATGTATTGTAGTAAACATAATTATCTAAAACACATTTTATTTATAAAAATTAAAAACTTAAAAATATTGATTTTTCATGTAAGGTGGTTATGTTTTCTCCCAGATTTCTGTCACAGGATTTGATGCGTATTTATAAGTGACAAACATAATGTTTCTAGCCCTAATATTTACGTCACGAAAATAATTGAAGCAATCAGTAGGTTTCTTTATTTTAAACGTAAATTATAGTAAGAAACATTACGTTTTTGCCACTGATGAAAACATATCAATTCCTATGGCGGAGATCTGGAGAGGAAAAGAAAGTTTTATAACCTATTTACGTGAAAAATGTTTTTAAAAAATCATTATTTTTAAATATTTTATATTTATAAATAAAATGTATTTTTAGGCAATTACATTTATTATAATACATCCCATATCACGGAAAAACAAGAAAAAGAAAAAAAAGCTTTGTAACAGTTTATTTTAGTCATTTTTTTGAGAAAACACGCATACTTTAAGTTGGCTGGATAGAAAATCATTTCTTTACACAATCATTACTTCAATTCACAACTAGAGGTGAATCTCAAAATATTTCCCAATAAACCTCAATTTAATTAATATGGATTTAATGCTTATTGAACGAAAAAGTTTTTCTGAAAGTGGAGTAACTGTAGTACATTTGAAGGGTGATAAAAAAACCATTTTTGATTTTTTTTTTTTATGAAACTTAGCTGAGTTTATACGCTCAATAGGCCTCTTTAAATAGTTTTAACAATGACAAATTATACTTTCGTTTGAAGTAAATTTTGTCTAGTTTACTATGGAGTTTACTATGTTTCATTATTTAAATAAAATATTTTTTTATTTATCGTTTCCTATTCAACAAAAAACGTGACTCGCTTAAAAAAACACAAATCCTAAATTTCCTACTTTTTTTGCTAGAAATTGGGCAATTGTTTATATGAACTTTTTTGTAGATCTTGATGTCTAATGTCAACCATTTAAATATTTCCCTCTACTTACGGGACACCCTGTATAGAATTAGGATTTTTACCAAGAGGAGAAATTTAAACTTTACCGCCCCTTCATTCAATTTTCGCTGTCTCCTCCAATATAAAATTCAACATTTTGTAACAATATTTCAGGTAATATATTTCTAGATAAATGCCATCATAACTCTAACACATTTTATTGAATGAATGAAAGTAAAAATAACAAAATAAAAAAAAAACAGAAACACGTATTTTTACGTAAACAAAAACAATTCTGAACCGGATCGAATTCCCCTTTACTTCTCTCCTAATTCCGGCATTTTTCAACGAAAATTATATAAAAAAATTAGGGTTTTTTTTTTTTAACTTTTTGAAATGGCCTTTAAGGACGAATTATAAATAAAACCTATAATTCTTTTTAACCACGAAATAATTATAAATCAACTTACATTACTTGGCTCAAGGCCTTCTCTTTTTCTACTCTTATTTTGATATCATCTTTGGCAGTGGTAGGGTTGGTATGCCTCAGCTCTTCAATTTCTTTCTGCAGAGTCACAAACTGACATCGGTAAATCCCCAGCTGTCTGGACAGCTCTTTTCCTAATTTCGTTGAAATAATTAATAAATGTTTTTAATTTATTTTTATTCTAAATTAGACTAAATACATGTTATGGCTATTTATTGGAACCATTAAACGAAATACCTGACAAATCATATTTTGAATGTTAAGTAATTTTAATAATCAAGGTATAGGTTTTAGTAATATAATAACAGACGATTAAATAAAAAATCAAGCAATAAATGAAATTCTTAATACAATAATATTTGAGCACGCTAAAATAGCAATAGCAAAAAATAAAGAAAAACAAACCAAGCTCTGTTATATTAAAAATTCTGAATTTAAAAACAATTAAAATAGTAGACGAAATTCTTTATTTTTATAATAAATAAATGTAGACTTTATTAACAAATATCGCATTTCTGCTGATAAAATAATAAAGCAATGGCTAAAATGTTAATATCATGGCTTTAAATTAAAGTTCAAGTCCAGCTCTTTTCCAGGAAAAAAAATATTGTTTTAAAGCTCTTTTTTTATTTTCATCTTGAATTTTGAAACCAAATTAGATTTCGCGAAAACAGATCTAAAGTGAAAGACCCCTTTTTATCAAATTATTAACATCCGCCTGAAACTTCTTAAATAACTTCATCTCATCGTAACCTACAACTATTGTATTCACGAAAATTCTTGGGATTGAGGCGTTTTCAATCTGAAGATAGTCAAACTTTGTCTAATTACTTAGGTACTAAAAACTCTTAAATACAACTTGAACCGTAAGATAATTTGAGCACAAACTCGAAAAAAAAGGTGTCCTTCAAAAATAATAAGCCATTTGGCGTGACCTACACTTGTAAAATGTCAAAATAACGAGGTTGTAAAGACCAAACGGCCCAATATTTTTGTATGCCACCTTTTTTGGATTTTTTGATCAAATTATCTTACGATCCAAGTGGAAAGCAAATTGGTATATACGAGTTTTTATAGTATTTGATAAAATAGACAAAGTTTGCCGATCTCCAGATTGAAAAGTTATAAGTAAAATAAAATAGCTGCAAGAGTTTAATGCGAATGTTTATAATTTGATAAAAAGAGATCTTTGCCACGGACTATCAGGAATTGTATTACTATAAAAAATAAAATAAATTAAATTAAGTATTGATATATACACACTCAAACAAACTTCATACTCCTTATATAGATTTTTAGAAAACTCAAAGTGAATAAAATTAATTTTATAAGGCATCAAAATTTCAGTTTACCTGCGAGGCAGAAAAAATGGAGAGGCATCAGGCTTTTTCTATGTTTTGTTTTTAATAAATCAAAAGTAATACTTAGAACCACAGGGGGATCTACGAGAAGGGCTTTAGGGCTAAAATCCTCCCCCCCTCTCTTTCTCCCCAAAAACGGCAAAATATAACCGTTTCTTACGAAAAACATTTCTTTAAAATTATTATTGTCCTTGTAATTAATTACATTTAATAGGACTTCAAGAATGACTTTAACACAATTAAATATAGGTAGTTAGGATCTTTCTTCTTGTTCCAAAGTAATAATTGTTATATATATATATACATACCACTATGTATATATATATATATATATAACATATATATATATACATATGTATATATATATATAAAAAGTAAAGATTTTGGACTGAAACTCACAATCTTATTAAATCCTCCTAAACCTCCCATATCAAATCCTGAATTCGCTAGTTCTTACAATTCGTTCTAAAATATATTGGTGTAAAACTATCCCCTTTATATTGGGGCTAAAGATTGAAGGGAGGAGTTGGGGTGTTTCTTTATAAAGTGATTCTTAAGTTATTCAAACTTAATTCTAAAAAAAAAAATCATCTCTGTCCATTATAAAATAAAATAAAGTATTAGTTATTTCGATTATAAAATAAAATAAAATATTAATTATTTTTACTGAAATTAAAATATTAGCTCTTTCCACTAAAAACTAAAATATTAGCTCTTTGAGCTCATTCGTAAAGTAAAAGCTCTTTCTATACACGACGAAAAAGAACTAGATCTTAGATTGTAGAAGCGGTGGGTAATGATCAACCGAATGATGTAAATAAATGTTTTGCCTATCTCAATCTCGACCGATTTCGACACTTGTGTAATTAACTCGAGAAAAATAAAAAAATAAAAACAACAAATAGCATCAATCATTCGATTTACTTTAAACTTCAAGAGTGATAATTAAGATATAAAGCGGTTACTCACTTCTCGCCTCTTCTCGTTGGACACGAGATTTTATTTTGCACTTGATTCTTTTTATTCTCCTCGACAGTGATTCTGTGCCTTTAGCTTCGCCACCTGATTCACAAACTGCATTTTGTAATTCTGCGACCTCTTGCAAAAGTTCCTAAAAATATTGTATCACAAATATTTTCATAAGGTAAGTTATCGAGAATTGCTTATTAAAGTGCAATCATAATCTAATCAGAACATGGACATAATAAATTCAGCCTAACAAGTAAACATGCCTAGTTCTGCCATAAATACTGTTACAAAAGTTGAATTTTTTTCACATCCTTGGGTATTATTTAGATAATCCTTACCTCTGTCAGTTCTTTCTTTACATGTCAGGATAATAGTCCCAATTAGTTTGTATTTTTCTTCAGCTCAGTTAACGTTGAATGGGGTGATAAAGAAAACCGGGTAGCTGTGATCGCCTTACACAAAGTTAGAAAATGTCTCCGCACTGTGAGAACGGCAAATGAGAGCAGTGGTGATCGAATCAGAAGAAATCCCCTTCGAAAACAACAAATCACGTCTCAGGAAATGGGAATCTCTGTCAGATCAATGTCTCCCATAATAAAAAGTGACCTTAGGATGGGTTCATTTCGAAGAATGACTGGACAAAGTCTAACGACTTCCCTAAAAAAAAAATAGAATGGATAGATGCAAAGTGCTCCTTATATTGGCCGTTACACCAATGGTCTTCATCGAAAGATTTTGTTTAGCGATGAAAAAAGTTTTACAATTGAAGAAAAATTTAATTGTCAAAATGATCGTGTGTACGTAAACAGCCCGTAAAGAAGCCCAGGAAGTCATTGGAAGAGTGGAAAGAGGTCATCACCCTTCCTCAGTGATGGTTTTGTGTATAGTTTGCTTTGATGGCACCACTAGCGGATCCAGGATTTATTTTGGAGGGGGGGGGGCTTCAGCCCGAAAGTTTTTTTTTTCATAAAAATAACGATAATTACTTTGGAAAAAAAGAAAGAAACTAACTACCTGTATGAAATGGTGTTTAAGTTATTCCTAAAGCCCTTTTAAATCTAATTACACGCATAATAATACTTTAAGAGATACTTTTTTAAAATTTTTTCGATAAAACATGGTTATATTTTACCATTTTGGGGGGGGGGCTTCAGCCCGAAAGTCCCCCCCCCGTAGATCCGCCCGTGGATGGCACCGCAAAGCTCCATTTTTGTAAAAAATGAGTTGAAACAGCCACTAAAAACTATCAGGATGATATTTTGGAACCTGTTGTCAAATTTCTAAATCATACTCCATTTGCTGCAAGTCATTGGTTTTCCAGCAAGATTCCGCTCCAGCTCACAAGGTCCAGTCAACACAGCAGTGGCTGCAAAAGAACATTCCAGAGTTCATCTCTGCCTTGGCCCTCAGATAGCCCTGATCTCAAGCCACTAGATTATCGGCTTTGGTGAACTGGAGAGAATGGCATGTCGCAGAGCGTACCATAACTTGGAAAGCCTCAAACAATCTCTGGTCCGAGCAGTTGAGCGCTTTTCTCAAGAAGTGATGACTGGCCACGGGGATTAAATGCCTGAGTCAAGGCGAAAGGGAAATTTTGAGTCTTTTTTGTTTTACTCTCTATAGATAAACATTTTATTTTCTGATAAAATTTAAAAAAAAAATTAATTTTTCTGTTGAAATCTGTATGTATTTCCTTTTAACAATATTTATCACAGGACTAGGTATATTAATTAAAGATTTATTGGAAGTTCGTCAATAAAGTGTGAGCTTTAATTGATCACATTAAGAAAAAAAATATCAGATGATAGTTTTTATAAAGCAACAAATATCTTAGGAGGGGAGGAGGTTCTTGCGCCATCGGCATTAGGATGGATGAGCAACCCTGCTTCCAGGTTGTCTGAAAATATTTATTTCTGCTAAGAAGAGGGAGGTAAGTGAAAATTGTGTGATGTGCGCACCGCATCAGATTTTTCATAATTCAACTTGAACATTCTTAAATAAAATCATAGAAACAGTTTGTGTTTAACCTATAATAAAAATAATGACTTTTTCTCCAATTTCGCAAAGTGACAGATGTCCGTATGTCATTTTATGTATAATATATTACATTTATATATTATATTATATAAAATATAATATAATCAGCATATACATATAAAATAGTTACCGAAGATTCGGAACCTTCCCCGTTCATCTTTTGGAGCTGACACGTCAGCAGATCGATCTCATTGGCTTGTTCCTCTATCAGCTTCACAAGTTGATTATATTCCTTTTCCGATATGATGCATTGAGAATTTTGGAGGCATTTCAGCTGTTGGAAATTTCTATCACGCAGCTCTATTTTCGCAATCAGTTCTTGCAATACCCTATCTTGCTCAGATAGCTGATCAGCTATGTAAGTCTCTTCTAAATCCATTGGTTGGTTTACGATTTCGTCATAAATTGTGTTATTCCTGCTGCAATCTTTCTGCAAATGGTGAAAACTATATTAGAAGAATTATAAAAAAAAAAATTAATTCATGGAAACGTTTGTTGGTGAATGGTTTGAATTCACAAGTGAAAAGATCTGGATCTCTATTAATTTTAATTTTAATTATTGAAATCAAATCATCTTATTCAATGCTTCAATTAAATTTAAAGAAAGCAGACGGTCGTTAAATTTCATGTAAATCAATATGAAGAAATACTAATTTATATTAGACAACTCAACAATTATTCGGCTTTTTCTATTTTTGAATTTTGAACTCTGCCGGTCCCGACGAAAATATATCGTTAGAAAAAGAATTTATGGAAATTTTATCCCCGAAGCATCTATGTTAATATATCAATAAATATGAATATGAAAGGACACGAACATGAAAAGGTGTACGATGAATTATATTAGTAATAGGTTATATGAAAACTTAAAATTTAATGAACGTGGCTAGAAAATCGAGGTTTATTTTCACAGTCATTTAAAAATATTAATTACCCGTTGCAAAATTGATTCAAAGCCCTAAAAAGTACATACCTTTATATACGTTGGTGAATTTTCGACACATTTACGATGACTGTCTTTTAATTTTGTAATAAAAGTCTTGTACTTTAACTTGAGCATGGTCTATTTTGAAAATTTAAATATTTTCAGTTCAAATTTGTAATGAAGAACAGAAAAAAAAAAAAATTAAAAATACATAAGAGACTTACGCTCGTCAAACTCTGTTCTAAAAATGAAATTTGAGATTCTAAATCTTCGATTGCTTTCTCGTAAGTACAACTTTTGTCGGCGAATTCCTCACTTTGGGCTAGCAATTGGTCTTCTAAGTTATTTACTTTTGCTCCAAATTCACAATTTTTATCTTTCAAGTCTTGAAGTTCGCATGCTATTTTACATAGTTGATTATCCTTTTCTTTTACCAATTCAGTCAAGCAATGAATTTTATTGTCTTTAGAATCCGAAACCTATCGTCGAAGAAGAAATTAGTTATCAGTGGTACCAACAATTTAAAATATTGCTAATAAAAACTACATATAAAAAGTACGGTATTAACTTAGCATGAACATTATTTTAGCCATTTCAATAAGCAAGTTTGATACCAAGGTATATAGGAATGTCGTAATGTGGGAATTTTACTATTCTACCCGCCTTATGTAATTTCCTAATAAAGCAAATGAAAAAGTAAAAGATAGTAATATTAATATTACGAGACTTTAGTTAACTCCTCAATTATCAGTCGCGGATCGACTGTGGAATGGAGAGACCCTCCTCAAGCACATAAAGTCTTTGTGAACTGCGTACCCTCCATTGGGGATAAACTAGGAAATTTACCTTTTTACAGTTTATTCATCAAGGCACATAAGGGTGAACTGACAAAAAATTTCACACCGGCAATTTGAACTTTATTTTTGCAAGGATATCGCAGTTCCATTTGGCAATTAATGATTCGGGGCAATTAATGAAACTCAGCCGGCAGGAAAAGCGAATTTAAATTACGCTGGACTCAAAGCGTACTTAAAATCTTCAAACAATAAATTCCATTAGTTATTATTTCAAGAATGATTAACAAATACCACGTTATCTTAAGATCTTTGTATTCAGGATATAACACCCAACAGTTTTCTATTTAACAAGCTCAATAATGTTTTCGTCATCCATTTATATTTATCAACAACAAAAAGGGACAACTGCAAAAAAAAATAGTGATGAATTTTGTTTGAAAAAATTTTAATATTACTTTATTTTAGAACCGGATCTCCACTGGCTCGAAACTTCAGCCGAATTCGTCGTTGGCGACTATAACAGAGAGGAGATCTCTTAAGAATCGCAAGAGACTTGGATAATTTCCTTCACAGGCTCTGTATATATATACTCTATATGTATCTAAATGTATACCGTTAGTCGTAGATGCTAACTAGATTGAATGTAACGATTTTTTAAGCGAACGAATCAACCGACTTCTAAATTTATTGATATTGATTATCTGGTAAGATCTAGTGAGTGAAGACTAATTATTGTACTAAATGTGTTTAATCAGTCAATAAAAAGAGTTGTAACCAATATTTGAGCGATTTTTAAGTTTGATTGATCAAATCGTTCATTGAGATCCGTTGAGTGATTAACAAGAATTTCAGCTCGAAATACTCAAAAAAAAAATATACTATACTAGAGCTCTCAATTTTTTGTTTGTTCGTGTCATATTATGTGTAAGTTCGTGAAGATCATATTGAATTTAACCATTTGGTGAAAGCATTTTCATCTTATTTGCCAAAGATCTTGTGGTTTACCAAATTTCCTGAATTAGAATAATGCCACCCAAATTTTATACCTTTCTGATCTAATTATTTTAAAAAGTCAATCATATTATTTTTTGTGCGCGTTTAATAATTAAGCTACACCATCAGTCCCAGACATTTCTTGTTTGAAAGCTTTAATGTAAATGCTATACAATTGCAAACACTTTAATGTAACTTTTAATAAATAAGATATTTCAAAATGATATATATTTGTATTTCAATTGTATTATTTTACCTCGTCATTTGAGCATTTGCTGTGTTCCTCCTTCAATTCAACAAATTTCCATTTCAAGTTCTTCAATTGACAAATGATTCTTTCATTTTCTTGTATTAGCCGATTCTTCTCGCATTCAAACTGCGCAGACAAATTTTGAACATCTTTATTTTTCAATAATTGGCAGTTAAGTTCGTCTATTTCCGCTGTCAATGACATGACCACTTTCTCCTTTTCGGCAAGTTTCTTTTTAAATGAAACTGTAATGTTGGTCTGGAATGATGAAAAGAAACTTTAGTAAATATTCCTTTGAAAATCTTTTTTTTTTTTAATTTATTTTGGTATAAATTGGTTTAGCCATATATTTATGAAAAGTTGATAAAATATCGAAGTTTATGATCCTGCACCAATGGCACCGGCAATTAGGAAACATAGGAGGGGGGGAGGCGAAGTGTAAAATTATAAAAATGTTCAAAGCAAGGATCAGGAAGTGATCAGTTTATTACCTATATTATAACATAATATTTGTAAAAGGATTTTAAGTTCAGTACGCCGCACACTGATGCCAAATGACCAAAAAGCAAAAAAAATTAAATATCTTTTTAATGACTGATCCCATCGATTTTTCGTTGGTCTCATTCGATTAAGGATGAAAATATACATTGGAGAAAATATAGGGGGGCGGCTTAACTCAGTACTAACAATTTGCAATTTGGACCCGAAGATCTCTGGTCTAAATCCAACAATGTACATCGATTTCTTTGCGGTTTTTCGGCTTCCTCACGTTCCTTCCACGATACCACATGTGGTAGTTCGACATTAAGTCCCCATTAAAAAAATAGCCTATTATTATTATTATTTACTTAAATTGTTTGTTTTTTTTTGTTTTTTTATACGTTGCCATTTACCGACTTGCAGTTGATGCCATTTGATTCTTAACGAAAAAGTGTAAGTCAAAATCACTCTAAAAACAATAATTGGGTCATTTTATTATAATTTTAAAAGTGCATAGATACCAGCGAATACTAGTGCTTAGTTAGGTTTTATTCAGTTCAGATTATAAAAACAATATATTAAAAATAAGTTATTAAAAAAAGTCTGCCAAGAAAGGTCAGTATAGCTACCTCACCGTTTTCCTTCGCTGAAATATATCTATATTACAAGGTATACAATTTTTCGTATGAGAATAAAATCTCTGGAAGAAGCCGATTCGGAAATACAGTTATCGTTCAATATTCGCGGGTTTGACATCCACATATTTCGTTTATCAGCTAATATGAAAATGCGAAACAGTGCCGTATTTGAAGATTCCATGTTTGATTATTCTTAATTACTACTGTTAGTGCAAACGGTGTATGTAAAAATGTATTGTTATACAAGGGAGCATAAAAACTCATTATTTCTTTATGTTTTATTGGTATGATTTCATATTTTATCGTCCTCTGCTATTTCCATAGTTGCAGACTACTTATATCAGTTGCAGATTTCAAAACGTCACATTCAGCACAAATAGAATAAAAGTTGAACATTTTTACATACGACCTTTTGCACTAATAGTAGTGATGTATACTTAATAGGTATGTTTTCATTCGTAAAATGGATGGGACTAGAAAATCCATAGGAAAAATTCAACTTGTTGTTTTTTCGGAGTTAACGAGACCAATACTTGTTATCAGTCAAAACGAAACTAATTAAGCTTGAATATAAAAATATGGGTGAAGTATACACAACTTCGATATTTAAGGAGGAAATCGAGACCCAGACGAACTGGATGAACTTCAATGGAAATAAAGAAGAAATAAACTGACACAAATAAGATTTTTTTTATGTCATACCTGTAACGTTTGGAATCGACCAAACAATACAGTATAAATTATTTGTTTGAATAAAACCTAAAATGTTATAGCCCCATGACAATATTGTAATAACTTTACTCCCACTGCATATGATCAGTGTCTTCCACATTCCACAAGCCAACTATTAGAATAATATTAGCTGTGCGGATTATCGAACGTTTTGTGAATTATTTTAAGTAAATGATCATGAAATACTGTAGGATTAGGTCCACTTCCATAAAATATTGGTTGTAGAGCAGAAAGTGCCTTACCCTACCTCCAGGGGCGGCAGCTTTGTCCTCCACTATTTTATGTTAAGATAGCCAAATATATGTTGATATTTGTTGTTTTTTCGGCCAAAGTCAATTTCTGGATTCATGCCAATAAGTTGCAATTAAGTCTGTATGGCAGAATCTGGAAAGAGCCTCAAAGGAAAGGAATTCCAGACTTCGTACTTTCACGTTGGATTCAAACAGGAGAAGAGCCTGAGTCTGTTGTTTTTTGTTACATTTATAGATCATATTAATAGATTAAAGAAATATGATGGAAATATCATCCCAAGGTCATATCATTCCATCATAATATCATCCCAAAAACATCATCCACATTCGCATTAGGTAGGAGCTAATTCTAAAGGGAACTTGAAACAAGAATAGGGAGAATCGATCATGAAGTAAACAGCAAAAGAGTTACATAATTAGTTAAATCTACTTGGGTCGTTTCCACTGCCCTCCAGTTTCTAACTCCTAAAATGAACCGTGCATCCTCTGCCACTTAATCGGCCCACCGTATACCCTTTCTTTCAAAAGTTTCTTGAGATCTCGTCATTCTTCATTCGAGCAACATGATAATTGGGTGAATGGAGCCACCAAATCAATATAAAATAATTTTTCTCTCCATTCTGCTGTGAGAGACAAGACACTGGAACGTTCAAAAGGGTGTTATTAATAGAATGGGAGCCTCAGAAATGAGATTATCGTGGAGGGTCATAGAGAAAACAAGAAGGGACTCCATCAGGAATGCTGTTTTCAAAGAGGAACTCCAATTGGTGAGACTGAGAGAAAATATGGAAAAAACAACTGCGCTGGTTTGGGCATATGTGCAGATTCTCAGAAGTCCTGGAAGCTAAAAGAAAATGAAAAATAAAGTGGCCAAGAACCACGTACATGAAGTATACGGAGAAACTTAGAGGATACAGGAAAATAAAATAATCAAATTGAAGAAGGACTTAAAATGATCCTAATTAACATAACCTAAATATTAATATAACTGAATTTTACTTAAAAGGTAATAAACGATGTAAGATACATTTACATAATTGTTTTTTCTGCATTCTTACTTTCGTGACATTTTCTTTTCTCAAATTCTCATTTTCTCTAATCAAGGAGTCAATACAATTTTTCATTTCTTTAAATTGCAGTTCATTCCTTCTTTCCGCTTCTGCCTAGCAAAAAATACTGACATAAGTTTTAATTAACACTTCTATTTAAAGATTTTTGATTAGGAGATTGTCGTTTATTGGCCTTGAATGTTTTACAATTACATCTAGGGTGTGATAAAACGCTTATAAACGAATTCCCAACCTATTTTATGAAAAGCAGAGATTCATTTTGTGGTTTTGCCTATAAATAAATGTTTATCTTCACAGACTGAAATCACAAGTACATTTCGTTCCAGACCATTCATAAAGAAATCTCTCGAACTAATATGTGAAAATGTACAAATTATTCGAATTTCCTGGCCAAAGAAATAAGTTTTTTCTTTTCGTGTGTCAAATATCATATTAACATTTCTATATCATATATAAATCACATTTCGGTAATAACAAATTTATATATCGCACATTTATTTGAAGTGATCTAATGACCTAACTCCAATAATTCTATTTTCATATTGACTCATTTCCATCAAAGATATGAATATATATATATGTATACCTACAAAAATAAATTTAATGTAGAATACTGCATTTTTTGTATTAAAAAATATATATTGTTTTGTCAATTTTTATAAGAAGGTTGTAATTTGCTTCAATGAAGTCGAAAAGACAAAATGCTTGAAAAGCGGAATTTGGAGATAGATCAATGTTCTAGGAAGATGTCATATATAAAAAGTTGACTTACAATAATAGATAAAGCTTTGGGATTTAGTTATACCCTCAGTTTTTAATAACATATATTCAAACAAAAAAATTATTCTTTCTAGTTTTTAAGTTATTTTCTACTGAACATCACCCTTTCAAAAATAATAAAGTTTGTATTCCTGAATAGTCGCAAGACAAAGATTTCCCAGAAAATCTCAAAACACAATTTCTATTGAAATTGTACTCAGATACTTTTTTGTGTGGCGGAATGTTTTTAAATGTTGGACATAATACTTACGCCGATGTCGAGGAAAGCTGCTAATTCACCTCCGGATGGATATTTTAAGTTGTATCTCTAAAAATAAAGGATAAGTTTTTATTCCAAGTATTTAAGAATTAAATTAATTATAATGTAATTACAATAAATAGTAACGAGATACTGAGATCATATTTTAGGCTATTTTATTTACGAGATCTAATACTTTAAAGGGAAAACCTTTTTTTTTATGTTGAATGTTTTCAGGTGGCCGGAAGAGGGTTTGATGGCGCAAGTCTCGCCATAAAAATTTTTGAGAGGGCATATTTTGGCGGGGTTTTGAATTTTTGAGGGGACGCATTTTGGTGGGCTTATGAATTTTCGGAATGAATTTTAATTAACAAAAAGGAAAAAGGGGAAAACATGAAACAGATCGTAGGGTAGGTTCTTGCGCCATCAACCTTTGATCACTGAATGTTTTAAACAGCAATGGAGTACAGTCCCCTACGATTCACATAAATTAGAATAATTCATTTATTAACTTAATTATTTACTAACGTGACGAAGTAAAATGCCAAAGATTAGGAAGAGAATTACCAAAAAAATAGTTGTTACTGATATTAAATTTGTAAGAACCACTGGTTCAGATCTTCAGGTCTTAAAAAGTCGGAGGCCATGATGTCTGAGTGTGAAAAGGCGTAAACTTTACTATTCTCGAGTATAGCGACGCCGGTTCGAATCTGGCCTGGGGTAGTTTAAATTTAATTTGTGGCAGACCGGCAAATGGCGAGACAGGAGGTAATCGGGAAAAAAATGGTACAAGTATACAAGGGTCACTCCAATTTTACATATGATATAAGATCTCATGACCACTCCTTAAATGGGATCCGGAGAATGGTCGAGTATGTCCAAAAGTGGGAGGAAGTTACCGAATCGTTTGGTAAGCCCCGACATCAACTGAACCCGTTGGTGGTTTGTCGCTCTCATAGCTCTATGTTGAAATTCCCGGATTCAAAGGCTGTAACACATTTGTATAGATTCACAATTGATAAGGGGCAGACAAACTAGAACGTTCCTCTATTCTACAAGTTAACATGATTGTAGCACTTTCATAATTTCTATAATACCATCACGATTTTCATGTATGCTTCATTCGCTTATTTATAATTGACACACATTGTAAAGAATTGGAAACTTACGCAATCTCCAAGGGCAGGTTTTTTATAATCACCACCTTGAAGGCGTTTCAAGTGCTCTACATATTCGTGAAAACATTTTTCTTCCGGTTCAGGAGGTGGTGGAGGTTCTTCTTCTCTGCATTCGGCCATCACCGATGAGACTGAATTATTTATTATAAACGCTATAACATTACTTTTAACGAACTTTTGCTTAAGAAAAAAGTTAAGTTTTGTGTTTTAAATTGCTTCTAATCCAAATAAAAATAACCTCTAATATCAATAAATAAATAAAAGTCTGATTTTGCCATTGGTTACTACAATTAAAAATGTGATTTATTTGAAAAACCTTTTAATTGCAAAACTGGACAGAAAAAACAAAACAACTACAAAGTGCAAAGAGTTTAATTTTAATGAAATTCAATATTTAATAATGATAACTATTTTGCCAACCTTGTATAATTTATTCAATATGTATTTTGTTGAAACAAGGAGCCTATTATCATAATTGGTTGCTAGGGAAGGAAATAATATCACGTGTGGTCAATATTTAAAAATTCTAACTTACTGATATAGAGTTGCCTCGCTCCCTCTTGGAAGAATTAATGAACACGTTATTTTCTCTTTATTTAACTCTACTTCACATGATAACCAGGGAGTAATTTCTTTTGTATGCTTAAGAATTACGGTTCTTTCCCCCCTCTTTTTCCACACTACAAACCTCAAGATTTTCTTTTGTTTTCATCAATAAAACATCCCTTCATCGAATGTACCTGATTTACATTGCCTGGTTTTGTTAATGTTTACTCTATTTTGAATTTTCCGTTTTATTTTTCATATCTTATATTTTTTTTTTTATATCACCCAGTGGGACGATATTCACAGCGTTTTTTACGAATCAGAATTAACCCTCCGACGCATTCAGATAAACTCGGCCCTCCCCACATACAAGGACATTGTTGACCCACATTCTTGAGCCCGAAACAAGGACATTGTTTTCACTAATTACCCATCAGCTCAATGGCTATAATGATTGGTCGGAGGGGTGATAGTTAAGAGCTACCAGCGATCTGAAGTATAAATTCCGCCTTAATTCTTATTTTCATGACATGATACTGAAATACTTTTAGTTATTTTTCTTAAATAAATAAACTAAAAAAAAAAAAAAAATAGGGTAATTTGTGTGATAGTAATAATTCATTTAAATTAAGTAAGATATTATGTAATATCGTATATCTATAATATAAATAGCATAACTTATTTACATAATCATTTATTTGATGTTAATTTCTATTTTTTTCTGTTGGTTTTGCAAATCTTGTGTAACTTATTCAATATTTTGTTGGAACAAGGTGTCTGATATTAGGCATCCACTTTCCCACCTTAAACGAGCTCCTCCATCCTTACCTATCTCGGCTACTACTTACCAGTTATTTTCGTGCAGCTCTGCAGCATCTTCGTTGATTCGATCTTTACACCTCTAAATTCATATTTTTTGTTTTATGTTCATTTACATCTTGCCGAAGTCGTTACCAATTTAAGACAGTCCGATTTCTGACGCAAGTTATAGGTATGGTATTAAGGTGTTTTTTTATAGGTTAGGGCTATTAGCCTTATGCCCAAATCCCAACCTTGGAAGAAGCTTGGTAGTAAGACACAAGGGTCGGACTGCTCCCTGTTAATCACTGGATGGGATAGGAATCCACAATTTTATCATTGCCTTCAGTAGTTCTTCCCTGTTCAGACTATCATACGTCTGTCTAAAATCTATGAAAACGTGATATAAATCTATTTGTTACTCCCATGTTTTTCAAACATTTGCCTTATCGAGAAAATGTGGTCTATGGTTGATTTACCTGGCCTAAAACCACACTTTTCCCAACCTCTTCTCGGACCTAAATTGAAATTTTTTATTAAACAGAACTGCAAAAACTTCGTAAACGTACTTAACAATGATATGCCGCTATAATTGTCGCAGTTTATTTTTCCTCCTTTTTTAAAAACAGGGCATATCATAGGAGTTGTCCATTCATTAGGCATCTGTTCTGTAATTCATACCTTCATCAAGTTGCAGATCTCTCTTAACAAAGGTTTTCCGTAATTCTTTACCACCTCTGCATCTATACTATCCAGGCTTGTTGAATATAATTAATAGATCATTAAAATACACTCTCCATGTCTCCTTGATTTTTGATGGATCGCTGATCAGTTCACCCTTTTTATTTTGTATAAATATGTAAATGGAAGAATAATCTTTTCTTAAGTCGATTATAATATTCTTAAAGTTTTTCCCCGAGCGTCTTTTTTCTTTTTATACTGACTGTAAACAATATTTACGGAAAGCTGTGCTAGCTTAATTATATAGCTTTCCAAATTGATTGGAGTATGTAGTTACTGCTCCGTTCATATAAGGGGGCTGCATGCCCCTTTCTAGTACAAAGAAAAAATAATCAAAATCCATTAAGCCATTCAAGAAAAAATAAAGCTTAAAATCAAAAGCGTATAAAAAATAGAGACTGAATGTAAAAAAACTACTTAATTTTCATCAAATTAATAAATTTTAATATTTTCTTAATTGAATTTAATTGAGAATTTATTTTTCAATTTATATATATATATATATATATATATATATATATATATATATATATATATATATTATATATATATATATAAATTGAAAAATAAATTCTCTAACTGAGAAACCATCAATATACTATTATATTATATCTATATATATATATATATATATATATAAATTGAATAATAAATTCTCTAAGTGAGAAACCATCAATATATATATATATATATATATATATATATGGTTAGCATTCCGTTCAGCTTAATCCTTTAATAATGGCAAGAATTAGTTTTTAAAATGATACATGAGATATATTTAGTAGAATTAAATATCAGGTTGGGAATGCAGTTTGTATTCGATAAATAGGAGACATTAGTACTTCGACGCAGCATACGTCAGCCGAATTGAAGATTTTATAATATTACTATAAAACTATTACTTCCTGACTTGAAGATCATTTTGAAAAAGTATTCGAAGAAATGCCACTAGATCCACTCCCCTTCCCACCCCATACTTAACGAATTCTCCAACTATATTATTTCGTCCTGTCGTTAATTTCATGAAAAATATTGGTAATCTATTAATTTTATCAAATATTGATTCCTATGAGATTAAATAGATCAAGAAAGGCGATTTGTGACGTTTTTTAATTGAAAATATATAAATTCTACTTTTATTATAAAAGTTTAATTAAGGTTTAAAAAAACATTTCAGTTACTTATACCTATCGAAAAAGACGAAACTTCACGTTGTGACGGAAAGAGATCTTTATCAGCTTATGATAAGTAAAACCAAACTACCCTTACACCCTTACAATACCTTTGTGTACGGGTGGAAGGAAGTCGTTGATCCAATCCACTTCCCAGAAAAGTAGCCGGACAGAGGTGGAGCAGAAGAGGACTGTGACTGAATCAAAGAAAAAAATTAGATAAATAATAGGAATGTCGTTGTAAACTGGTTTACTTGCAGCAGTAGATTATTACGGTCAAAATGCTTAACATCTCACTGCTGCAAAGTTTCATGCATTCCTATAACCAGTAAGGTAGGGAAATGTCTTAAATAAATATGTTTTTTAACATTTAATTTTCAGGTATTCTTTTATTCACTCAGAAGTTAATCTATTTAAAACTTTTGTTAATTGACTTCTTCATTTCTCTTATTTTTGATGTCTTAATAACATTTTACATACTTGAACCAGATAATGTGCGTAAATAATTGCGGTTTGTCTTATATCCTAATCGAGAATTTTTTTGACCAAATTCACTTGCAATATTGTTTGTATAATAATGAAATGAAAACTTCATTATTCTATCAAACGAGTAGTCACTCTTTGTGACATCCGATTAAAGCTAAGTATTACAACTTTTATAAAATGCCTCTTTGTAATATCTCCACTTATGAACTCATAGTTACTGGTCGACTTGGTTTATAACTGGTTCAATTCAAAAGTTTGTAAATAAAGATTCGAAAATTCCTATTTAGTTGAACATCATGTCTAAAGAAACAAAACATGAACATAGTGAAAGTGAAGAAGAAACAATTGGCCCAATGCCAGATATGGCAGCTCAACCAGAAAAAAAGAAGAGAAAGATATTAGTTCATGAAAAACTTTATTTGGACAACTTGCCTTCAGCGGAATTCTATGAAAAAAGTTTTATGCACAGAGATTTAATATCCCATATCGTTGTGGCCAAGTCCCAGTTCATTATTACAGCTAGTGTAGACGGTCATGTCAAGTTTTGGAAAAAAATGGAAAGAGGCATTGAGTTTGTGAAACATTTTAGATCACATTTAGGAGAAATAACTTCTGTGTCAGTAAATTATGATGGTTCTCTTTTAGCTACTTCTGGTGTAGATGGTGTTGTTAAAGTGTTTGATGTTTTAAATTTTGATATGATCCATATGATGGACGTTTCATTTCGTCCATTATGTGTGGAATGGATTCATGGACCCCAGGACATTTTCCCTGTAATTGCAGTTTCAGATTCAGCTAGTCCCAAAATTTATGTTTATGATGGCAAAGGAAACAAGGAACCTCTTCATCAGTTTGAAAGGTTGCATACTAAACCAGTGAAGTTAATTAAATATAATGTTAAGTTTGATGTAGTAGTTTCCATTGACCATGCCGGTATTATCGAATATTGGTCTGGTGCTAAACATGACTTTAGCTTTCCAAAATGTGTTAAGTTTGAGTCAAAATTAGACACTGACCTATATGACTTTGTTCGTTACAAGACATACCCAACAGGTCTTGCATTTTCACCAGATGGAAGCAAGTTTGCAACCATATCTCCTGATAGGAAGGTTAGAGTTTTCAAATTTTTAACTGGTAAACTCTTAACAGTTTTTGATGAGACATTAGAAAAATCCAGTACACTTCAAAGAGAAAAACAGCAGATTACTAATATGGAATTCGGTAGAAGATTAGCTGTTGAAAGGGAAATAGAAAAGAACAATGGACTTGAAAGGTGTAACATTTTGTTTGATGAGAGTGGAAACATGATATTATATAGCACTATGCTGGGGATTAAAGTTGTTAATTTGGTTAGTAAATGTTGTAACAGGATTATTGGAAAGCCCGAGAGTTTAAGGCCAATTCACTTGGCTTTATTTCAGGGGAAAGTAAAATTTTCTAAAGCTGCAGTTACGTTAGATATGGAAGCATCAAACAATCCCACACTCGATTCAGTTTCAAATGATCCTATTTTATTTTGCACTGCATACAACAAAAACAGGTTTTATACATTCTCAAGATTTGAACCAGACAGTACAGATGGCGAATCTTACAGAGATGTAATCAATGAAAAGCCAACAAAAGAAGATGTTATATCCGCTAGTGATTCTTCTGTTACAGAACATATGCAGGGTCTTGCTACAGTACATACTACAAAGGGAGATATTCACATAAAATTATTTACTGAGTGTGTAAGGACCGTTGAAAATTTTGTTGTACATAGTAAAAATGGGTATTATAATGGACACGTATTCCATAGAGTATTAAAAGGTTTTATGATACAGACAGGAGATCCCACAGGAAATGGTACTGGAGGAGAGAGTATATGGGGAGGTGAATTTGAAGATGAATTCAAACCTCATCTGAAACATGACAGGCCTTACACAGTAAGTATGGCTAATGCTGGACCAAACACAAATGGCAGTCAGTTTTTTATTACAGTGGTTCCAACTCCTTGGTTAGATAACAAACACACTGTATTTGGCAGAGTCTATAAGGGAATGGACATTGTGCAAGCAATAAGTGCTGTCAATACAAATCCAAAAAATGATAAACCTTATGATGATATAAGTATAATAAGTGTTACAATACGATAATTTAAATTACTAATTGAATATTAAATTAATGATAGTAATAAACTATCTTTTGTAAATAATTACAAAACACTTTTTATTTTAAATAAATGATTATATATGTTAATTTATTTAATACTTAAAAAAAATTATCGACTGATAAATTTTTCATGTTTTGTAACGATTACTAAAGATATTTTTAATTATTTGTAATATTAAATTAAAAATGATAACAAACATGGGGCCTGAAGATGATGATGGACTTAATAATAAAATTTAAAAATGTAAGGGGAAAATCGTAATTGTATTGTTTTGTAATGTAATTGTATGAGAAAATTACTCTGTATCATTGAAACATAAGTTAGGGAGAGGAAATAAATAAGAATTTAATTATTAACTGTATAGTATGTACATAACATGAAATTAGTTCATTTGAACTAAAATATTTTTTTGTTTTATGATGTAATAGCTTAAGACTAGTTGTATTATTAAGTATGTGAACCTATATTAAATATTTTTTAAAAATTAATTTATATGTCTATTGCAAAACAATTTATTTACTCATTACTGAGCAAAGGCTTAATAATATGACCTCCAGGATGATGGTAGATTTTTAATGTCAAATTTTTCATCAATATTTTTCATACCCTTCATATGATCTGAAATTTCACCAGAATATTTTAGATCATTCGAATTCCCTTACTTAATGTTTATTCACCAACACCAATGCCTATCACCTCAGATTGGAATGGTGGAGTCTCTTTTTACAAAATTTGTATCTATGAAATCCTTGTGTAATCAAATGAAAAGTGTATGTCAACAGCCATAAGTGCAAACACTTGCAAAATTTATTCATAAGATAAAATAAACTATATATTTTTTTAAATAAAATAAATGGAAAAAAAATTTGCATTGATTGTTTTTATTGTAGGCTTAAGACAAATATGTAATGATTGAAATAACATCTTTGTAATTCTGAGCAAGTCTAAAGTCAAGTTTGACCAGAAAATTTCAAAACCACACGATGTAATAAAACTTACTTAGAGGCTTTTGTAGCACTTATTACTGATGTAAAAATGCCATATAGCCGATCAATAATAAAAAGAAAAACAAGGGTTTTTAATAAGACAAAGAAGAAAATGGTATTTTATCTATAATTAAATATAAATATTTACAACAATTACATAAAATATGCAGTTTTTTTTAAACAGCTACAGCTTTTTCAACAGAATCATGTTGGGGTACAGGTTCAATAGCATATGTTTTCTTCAAGGGTTCTTTTGGGGGCATCCAATCAGGTATTACCTTGTCATGAATCCTCCAACGTCCATACTTATTTGATAGATGTTTTTCAAAGACAACATACTCTAAAACATCTTTAGGCAGTGTTTCACTTCCGTGCATTAAACGGCCAAACCTATCATATACAGCTAATTTCTGAAACACAATTTTAAAAATATGCTAAGTTAATTAAACATAGTGAATCCTTATTTTTGAGTTTCTGGCTAATTAAATATATTGAACAGGTTTAACAAAAGGTTAAACGTCAAATTAATAAGTGTTAATCAATAAGATTACAATTAAATAAAAGATAAAACAAAAGATATGAAAATAAGCCCAAAATACCCCAATAACAGAATCTGCACAGAAGAGAAATCATTCTCTAGAGTAGACAAATTCAAAATTTATATTTACCTAGGCTCCACTATAATCTCAGTGAATCAATTGTAAGAAATAGACCAGTGAATAAAAAGATTAAAACAGAGCTTTCTTCTCTCTCAAAGGTATTGAAATCACAAAACAACCCTCAAATTAAGGGTGTACAATGCTATGATAAAGCCAGTTCCCATATATGGATGTGAGACTTGAACACTAATTAGCACCAAAGAAAGAATTATTTGAAATTTTTAAGAGAAAAATCATCACGATAAATGGAACGATCTCGGATCAGAGTACTAACTCATAAAGACCTGCTCACAGTAACAGGTCAATCAATATCTCACGATATGAGGGTAAGTAGATTAAGATAGGGGGAACATGTAGCTTGGAGCAATCTATTAGGAAGCCACTAAATAAAAGGCCTCAATAGTAGGAAAAGGAAGGACCAAAAACCAGATAGATAGATCGAATCAATAAAGATGCAATAGAGTTCCATGCAGATAACTGGAAAGAAATAGGCAGAGATGAAGAAGGCTGGTAAGGCAATAAAATATATACAAGGTCGTATAATATATATATATATATATATATATATATATATATATATATATATATATATATATATATATATATATATATATTATACGACCTTGTATATATTGACGATATATATATATATATATATATATATATATATATATAAATATGTTAATTTCTTTAATACTTAATTATCGACTAATAAATTTTTCTTGTTTTGTAACAATTACTAAAGATATTTTTAATTATTTGTAATATTAAATTGAAAATGATAACACACCTGGAGGAATATACAAGGTCCTATGATGCCAAAAGGAAAAAAAAAATCAATATGGAAATAAACTTATTTTTTAATCTTATTTGACTTTAAAAATTGATTTCAATTCAATTGTTTTAATTTTGATACTTTTATTCTAAAAAATCTGGTGCCCGCATCACACAACTTTCACTTACCACTCTACTTTGAATAGAAATTATTTTTCGGCAATGTTGGGCTATTACAAAAATTTTTAACGGAGCTAAAGCTTACAGCTAACAAATCATTAAGACCATTAAAATAACAAAAACCCTATTTATTATATATGCCTAGAGGTATTTGAAAATATATATATATATATAAAATGTATCAATGATTATTGATTGTACGACTGTTAGTTATTAAACTGTTATTGTAAATTGTAAAGTTTACTAAAATGGAGTATTTCATCGAGATTTTCATTGCCTGCCAAAGTTGCCTAACTAATTGTAAGTGGATAATTTGGGGATTTCACAAAGGGAAAATATAGGTAAGTGAAAGTAAAAAGTAACCTATTTTGGTATATTTTAATGAGTTCAGGGCCAAAACAATTAGTTCATAGCCTAAAAACTCTGAACATCAACCATAAATCTTCTAAATTTTGGAATAGATTTATTCTGATCAAAATGTTGAATTTATAAATATTGAATCAATGCCCCATTTTAGGTAAGATTAAAGATCGAATCAAACTGGATTTTTCAAAGGAATACGACAATGGGAAGACAAAAATTACTGTATAAAATAATGTACCTTGTAATAATGAAAACACAAATTAGATCCAAATATTACCACTTTATTTTTACTTTAGATTAAACATTTCAGTTTTTAGGTCATTATCAAGTGAATAAACCTTGTTTTAATATAAAAATAAAGTTATATGGACTAAACTGTCCATGTCACAATACTTATTGTCTATTACTAAAACTATCGCTCATCCAATAGGTATTGTGACAATGTAAATTTAGCCCATATAATTTAATTTTTTTATTAAAATGTAGTTTCTTCCCTTGAAAATGGTCTAAGTGCTGAAACGTTGAATGTAAAGTAAAAATAAAGTAGGACAAATAGATCTAATATGTGTTTTTATTATTTTTAATAGAGTTAAGTCCTAACCAACAATATTAAAATATGTATATTAGTAATTTATCTTATTAATGATTGTGAGTAAATGGTTGACTGTCGTCAATAATGAAGAGAAGAATAGTTGGGGTGATCAGTCAAATAAGAAGGCAAAATAAATGATAATATTTATTAAGTTAATCCAGTTAAGTTATTAAGTTAATCTTTATTTCTCGGTAAATGACAAAATAAATATTACCATTTATTTTGCCTTCTTATTTGACTGATCACCTCAACTATTCTTCTCTTCATATCTTATTAATGATTCAATTTTAAAAATCAATCATTTAATTTAAAAAAAAAAAAAAAAAGTTCAGAATATGCCTACCTGTTTTGAGTGAAATCTAATTGTTATTTGACTAAAGATATTTTCTTTAGTAATTACATCTGTACATCTAACATGGACAATTCTGGGACGCTCGATAGATTCCAAAAATTCCCAATGTATAGTTTTATCAGCAATATTGCTGACCACTTCCTGTAATCACCAATGTATTAAAATTTACAAATAATTGGATAAAAAAAAAAGCTCATCATTGCCATATCCCAAAGTTTAACAGATATTTTATAGATATTTTAACTGCATCATTGTACTTATAGTAGTCTTTTGCAACCATTTTAAATATTCCATATATTATTTAAATATATGTATATATATATATATATATATATATATATATATATATATATATATATATATATATGTATATATATATCACATGCTGTGTTGATTCATGACAGTTCAAGCAAAGCTAAAATCTATGGGTTCCATGATTTTCCTTAAAGGTGTATGAAAGAAGACCTGATGAAGCGGTACGGGTCCTAGAGTGCCTGGTTCTGAAGGCTGATGATGTGATTTATAATATGGTCGGTTAATCTTTATTTCTCGGCAGCCTCAGAAAAAGAATCTTGACAATTCCTCTATGGAGACTACGCAGTGGCAATGTAGCCATCAAGGATTGGTAAAAAAAAAAAACACAAGGCCCACTTGCCTAACTAGTGCCAAAACCAATAGCAGTATCAGTCCCAGAGCTTATGGATGGGGCGACCCCATCACCCAGTCATCAAACTTTTTTTCATGTCCTCCTCTTCATCCCATTTTCGGCTATACAGTGTTTTTCCCGGGGTCAGGGAGAGGGCAAGAAATTAATGCCAGTTTAAAGACCCCTAGCACTGAGATAAGAATTTGTAAATATTTTATCTTCAGTTTATCAGGCAACACGTGTTGTTTAGTCAACTCACCTAAACCGCTCCTTGACCTTGACCCATTTCATTACTAAAAAAAAATATTCTTTTGTCAGCCAATACTTCTTTGCTTAGTAACTGATTCTACCATCTCATCAATATTTCATCATCAACAGGTCTGCCATCTCTTGCAAAGTATTGATCATCCAAACTTTTTCAAAATGACACACACAAGATGGTTTGACCGTTTGAATAATAGGAAAGGAGATTTATCGGAGGATGCGGTGCCATCCCGCAGTGCTACATCCTACGCCCTGAAACACCCAAAGAGGGTCGAAACGTCGGCAAATAATTAAACAATTACTGTATTTTAATTTAGAATTTTTTGACCGCACCTCCCGATTAACTCCTTCTCAGACTTTTTTCATTTAACATTTAAAAGTAATACAAAAAAAATTTCAAAAATAAAAAATGTTGCACCTAATCAATAATTTAACATAGGAAGTGCTTTAAATAATAAACAATGAAAAAGCATAACAATTAATCATGTAGATTTTTATTCAATGTTCATCTACACTCGCTTTAACTTAAGTGTAAACAAATAATAAATTTCCCAGATTAATTCGAAAGATTTTGATAAACCACAAGGGTGAACATAATTTTATCTTTAAATCTTATTACAACATTAAAATCTGATGAAAAAAGTAATCAAAAGAGTTTATAATGTAAATAAAATAGTAAATACCAAATAATTTTGATTTTAAAAGAATTTTTAACTTACAGGATACGCTCTCTCTGTAATATTCTGGATTAACTTGTCTCTGTCTTTGCTGAAAAATAAATTATAAAAACATTACCAGGATAAAAATCAATAAAACAGTATATTTATAAAATTATATCTATATACTTTATCATAGCAGAATAAGAATTTATATAGATCTGCTGAGCTTCATTAATAAATTCAGGTATATCAAAATCCTCTTCAAAACTTCTAATTTTACGTATAGCCATCATAGATTTGCTTTTCTTTTCAATAAATTCCAACTTTTGTTTAGCACCCTAAAAAACAAAAAACAATTGATTTTAAATGCTCCCACAAGTTTAATGGAAAAAAAAAAGATTTTTTTAAAAAGATTCTGTTTCAACAAAAAATTAATACTTTTTTTCTTGAATGTAACATAAAATTAATATAAACAATATAACCCATTGTGGTGCACTGTCCTTTCCCATCTTTCGGCCAGTTGCTTGATTCCATGTAGGCGCCGCTCTTTTGGATGGCTATCGAAAAATTCCTACAACACTTTCAACCTTGTGAAATGTATTCATTTTATTCTTTTCAAGAAGTGAGACATGGATTGAAACAAATAAAAATCTGATGGAGCAAGATCTGGTATGATGGATGTGGATGAAGTTTGATAACATCGATAATTTTTTCTTGGTCTTTCGGAAAGTATGAGGCCGGACATGTCTAGCTGGAACAGAACTCTGTTTGCAGTTGGTAAAAGCTGGATAACAGTGTGTTAGTTTCGAGTATATTCTATTTAACTGTTCGCAATAGAGGTCAGAGCTCATAGTGCATCCATCAGGAAAAAATCCATGATGGATCACTCCTTCGTAATTCAAAAAAATTCAAAGCATTGATTTTGTTTCCGACTGTCCCCTTGCAGCTACCGGAAAAGGGGATTCGACCTTAATCTAACCATTTTCAGTTGTATCATGATTTGCCAGTAAATTCACTAATCACAAGTGACAATTTTTTTTTTATAAAATCGCATACCAGAATGATTTTTTAAAAGATTTTTGCAAATATCCACCCTCTTGACACATAACTGGGGTGTAAGCTTGAGTGGTATCAGTTTATTGCTCTTATATACCATAACCATGGCGTGTCTCTTGTCAGTCTACACTCCTTGGCAAGATCACGAGTACTTGTGGATGGATTTGAACCTATCAATCCTCTTGAAGAGCCTCACCAATCTTCAGCGATGGTCGCCCTAAGCCCTTCTTCTTTTCCAAGAACTTATCTCACTTAGCAAATATTTGAAACCAATGCTGTACAGTTTGCTCAACACGGACACCTTTTGGTTTGTTTATTTTTAAGAGCCACTTCGGCAGCTGAATAAGATTTTTTCTAATGATGTCATAATATAACAAGAATTTTCTAAGACTCTGTCATGTTGCTTTATGAATAAAAAACTGCTGAACTGACGCTTTATTGAGCCAGTCCATTGTTAATAAATAAGCTTAAATTAGGATGCTAAAGAGATAATACACTGTAGGTAAACAATAAATAGGATTAACATGTTTACAGCTTCCGGGATTTATGCATTTTACAAAACGGTCATTTCTTTTTTATAGAGCCTATTATTTTAAGAATCAAATGTATGACAAAATACAAAACTCCTACTTGAGTTGTAATGGCAGAGACTTTCCCATCACCTTCTGGAGGAACGTAAGGTTCAAATATTCCACCAGTACAACTGATATAAACTGGTTTTTCGTTCCAAGGACGAGACGGTAATATGCCTCTTTCTTTCATTTGTTTTTTAATTTGTTCCTTTGTCAATTCCTCAGGAGACTTATTCATGATATCAGGATCAGGAAGTTCAACCTTGATAATCTAAACAATAAATCAAAGATTAAAATGTTTAACTCCTTATCAAAACAAGAAATTATTAATAAATTACTATTAATTTTAAGTTTAAGAAGATTTAGATATAAAAAAGATATATTTTTAAAAATTTAGATATCTTTGATTTTTTTAAACAATTTTTATTACCTTCTGAGCTCTTAATTTCTTAAATTTTGGATTCCAGTGTTTATATCCTCTATTGATGGTATTACAATTGGTTGGAAAAACCAATGCAGACTTTGAAAATATCGCAGGATTTATTTTTGCAGTTTTCTGTAATATAATTTAATATAATAAAGAAAATTAGAACATGATGGAATTGAACTAGATAAACTACAAGAATAAAAAATAATTATCTCAGAATTGAGTTAGGTACCATAAATTGATTGAATAAGCTCGCCATTTTCAATTATAGATATTTATTTAACCAAAATCAAAAAGTTTAAAAAAATACAACTTGCCGGCTACAAACGAATCAGGTTATAAATCTTGAATAATAACAAAGCACAAAATACGGACATTCATATCAAATACGAACTTACCACTGAGCTTATCTGTAGCATTAGAAATCAATCAGACCATTCCTAAATTCATCATCTTTTGGGTTTAATGGATTTGTTTGATGTATTCTCAGTGGTGGATTTCATCGATTGGATTAGGGCTGAGTTTAGAAACTCGCCCACTCTTAGTTCATCGATTGAATCGTAAATCGTTAAATCGCCTTTCAAACTCGGCTAAAATAGTATCTCACAGATGACCCGAGCATTAAGTTCAGAAAAATACCTGATCCTGACCCTTCGATCATAAAAGCCGAAGGAACTGCTAAGCCAACGGCAATTCAGTTTCACCTAAATACTCCACAGCAATAGTAATATATTTTTAAGATGAGTTAGGTGTGAAACTATGCTGGATGGCCTGAAAGTGTTTTCGTGATGAAGACAATGTTGCAGATGATATTGACTACTAGTGTCTCTCTCCAGTTCTGGTTGCCCAGGATGAGCCGAGCGTAATCTGCGAAACCTAGACCTGCCGCTCCGCCTATATCCTTTTTACTTTCACTTACCTATGTATGAAATATATACTAAGGAACAGTATTGCGATAGTAAAAATTTTCGAATCTGAATTTTCAACGGAAATACATGTTTTGAGGACTCCTGAGTCCAAATAACAAAGGCCCGCACAATGGTCTTTGTGTATGTGACAGGTCTAAAACGAAAAGTCGTATGGCAGTGAAATTACTTATTTAAGGTTTGTATGTACCTGAGATGTTGTATGTACAGTAACTTTTTCGTCAAAATCGGCTAACCGGAAGTGGCACTTTATGCCATCGATGGAACACATTTTATTATTTTCTCCAAAAAGGCTCCAACGATTTTGATTAACTTCATTATATCAGTGTAAAATTAAAAATTATTTAATTTTATGCAGGTTTTATTCTCATTGATCTTTCTTGAATGGCTAATTTTCAATATTAGCTTCCTCTAAAGCACCTTTAATTTTTTTTATTCGAAACAACTGACCATTTAAAAATTTTCTATAGTATAAAAAATAGCTAAATATAAAATATGAATGAATTTTATAATTAACTAAAGGAGAAATAAGAGATCACAACAGAGAATAGTTGTAATGAAGGAATCAAAGGGATACCAGAGCGCGCTCGAACTCACCCGAGCTCGCCCGAAGATTGGAACAGGCTTCCATACGTAGCATGAGCTTAATATAATACGGACTCTGACAATCTTATGTACATATACACATGCGGTTTTCCTAAATGTATCGTTAATATTATTTAATAGTATAGATTACAACGATATAAATATTAAAATTTGTATATATAAGGATACTTAAACAAATAAAAATATCCACAATGAAATATAAATCAATATAGCTTTATTTATAATTTTTACTTTCACTTCCCCTTTGTCTGAAAATACTTATTTCTGCTAAGAAAAGGGTGGTAAGTGACAATTATGTGATGCGCGCACCGCACCAGATTTTTTTGTACAGCGTAAGGACTTGTAGTAGACTACCCAAGTCTATCAAGGAGGAAAATACTCTAGGTTGTAAGTTTGACTTGTTTCAAACATGCGTTATATCATTCACTGAACCACGATCCGTCTTTTCTTTGAGCATGATTCGTGATATTGAATTTTAAGCAGAGTGAGCTATCAACCCGTGATCCGATTCAAAAGGTGAGGTTTCCTCTTAAGCGCCCTGACACGCCCTCGATTTGCCTGCCACATCAGTATACTCAGCTCACTGAAGAGCCTTTCTCGCCTGTGACACTGGAAGACAGCCAACAACCGCTATCTTCACTTTCGCTTCTCTATCCTGGTGACCGTTACCTCTAATACCTCTTAAAACTGGAAAGGGGCTGTGGAAATCCCCTTTGTTACAGAGCGAAGATTAAGATCGGTTATTAAAAGATACTATGCAAGAGCAAATAAGTTATTAAACTTTATATTAGGTCTTTCCCAACAAGAGTTTTGATAACCACAAACTGATAAGGGAATGGAAAGTACTGATTTTCCATTCCAAATGCTGTACCCATATGCGTCTACCACTTTGCTGATGATCAAGATTCGTTTTGGATCAGATGTGTACAGAACAGCCATAAAGTAATACCCAAACTGAAAGAGATTGGGGGAACAGGAGTAGTGTCAAAAAGAAAAGTAGAGACGATCTTTAATTTATAGTCAGTTAGTTAATGTAACAGTCAAGAACAGTTTTTTCGTTAATTTTTTTAAATTGGTATTTACTGCGTGATAAACTATTTTACTTATCCTAATTTATTCATGAATTATATTCATTCTTAAAATTTGTTTTATCTAGTATCGATATCTTATTATAATTTGGATAGATACTTGATGAAACAAGCTATCCAGGGATTATTGTATAATATCACGCTTATGTTTTGGTTATGTTTTTAAATTTTGTAGGGTTACATATGTATGGAATTAAGGCCTAAATTTGTCTAATACAATATACCATACTATTTTGAAGGAATTATCTTGTTAAGCTTCGATTTTGATGCTCGCTTCTATCGATATCACAACCTGGAGCATATGAGCAATTTCATGTATGTTTATTATACTTGAATTTGCAGTTATCTAAATTATTAATCTAAGACAATGGTTGATTATAGCAAATGGGGAAATATAGAGGTAAGTAATAATATTTGACTATGTAAAAAAAAATAGTAAAGAATAAAATTTTGGCTTGTTTGAATATTAGTGACTAATTTAGTATCATTCAATGAAAAGAATTCTTACAGGAAATAATTTCTAAAATAGTTATAATCTTTTTACTATTGCTGGTGTAGATATTCAGTGATATTAAACTAGTCCCTGAATCGATAACTTATTTTTATTGTTATTTTATTTAATTGTGTGAGGTATATAGTGGTAGGATTTTTTCTATTGTTAAAAATTATGGATTCAGATTTCAGATGATGAAGATGAAACACATCCAAATATTGATACACCATCACTTTTTCGATGGAGACACCAGGCAAGGGTTGAGAGAATGGAGGAACAAAGACGTGAAAAAGAAGAAATTGAAAATACTAAAAAGAAGTAATAATGATACTTAATCATTTTATATAATGTTTTACTGTGATAAATATTTATTGTCTTTAGCACTAAATCGATTTTAATATGAGTGGGTTTCCTCCATTAAAATTTATCTCAATTTAATTAAACTTCATATCTTGAGATTTTGTTTGGTACTGGTTCATAAGAGTTCCGCATGGATTAGGCTTGGTTCACAATCACTTCGGTCACACTTGTTTATGGATTGCTGAATGCCTCCGGGTTTATCCGAAAGAGTATGAACGCTCTTGATCTCTTGGGTTGGTTACTAATAACTTTCCCATCATTAAAGTACTTTTATCCCCGTAACCATGTACAGTTGTACAGAACGAGCTGATTATATTCGACTGTTAGATTCCATCACGTAACCTTAATTGAACTTATACAGTTGTAGAAAAAGTAGTAATAGATAAAAGTCTTTAATTATTATATCACTGAATGCTGTTTCACGATATATATTTTTCTTATTGATGATATAGATTATTCTGTATCATATGAGAAGGAGTTAATCGGGGGGTGCGGTCAAATAAATACTAAATTAAAATATAGTAATTATTTTAATTTTTGCCGACGTTTCGACCCACTTTGTAGGTCGTCTTCAGGGCGTAGGATGTAGCACTGCGGGAGGCAGTTGAAATACTGGCCAAAAATATTAGATAATCGCCAGTGTTTCAACTGCCTCCTGCAGCACTACATCCTACGCCCTGAAGACGACCTGCAAAGTGGGTCGGCAAAAATTAAAATAATTACTATATTTTAATTTAGTATTTATTTGACCGCACCCCTCCCGATTAACTCTTTCTCATATTATATCAACAGTCAACCATCTCTACATCATTCAGTATCATACAATTTTTAGATATTCTTTGTGAGGTGTAATCTCCATCACATTCATTCCTCCCTCAAAAATAAAGATCCTAATATTTTTCCTTTTTTTTCACCCCTGACCACAATCATTCGATATTTTCGGATTATTTACTAAAACAACTACAAAAAAACAATACTTATGCAGCTAATCTGATTAAATTATAGTGATTAAAATGAAAAAAAATTATACAGTATTAATGCCCAACTAACTGGCAGATCTACAGGTCCTGTTGAGGTTGGGCATTTTTCAAATATTTATCTAGATAATCAATAATAGATAAATTTGTATCCGTTATCCGATGGCTTTTTGTTACTTTTCGAATTTCTTTGATATAAGGGTCTAATATTAAGTTGGTGGGGTGCTTTTTATGAAATTACTGTCTGATTTGAGATTGCTCATCGAGTTTTTGTAACTTTTGGATTTATTCGTTATAAGGATCCATTGCTATGTTGTCAAGGGTGCTTATGAAAATACTGATGGATTTGAGATTGTTCATCAAATTTTTGAAAAGAAAGTTATTTCTTCGATATAACTTTCAGGCTAAAAGCCCTCTCCCAAATTGGAAAATAATTTTCTGTCATTGGCCCATATTTTTTTATGTTGATTTAAGCTAAGTACTTAAATAATCACAATATGTACTCTTTTTTAATTACAGCGTATATACAGTTAATAAACATGTGACCGTTAAAAAATTTTTTTTGAAAATTATTCCTAAAAGCATTTTTTATTTTTGTTAACAGGCCTTGATGGGCCACTCAAACATTATTTTCTATATTTTCTTTATTTTTCTTCCAGAATAATTACCATTTACAAAAAAAAAAATTAGTAAGTAACAATTTTGTAAATAAATAATTCTTCAATAAATTGTTAATAAGGAAATTCAATGATAAGAATACGTTTTTTTCAAAAATGTTTTAAAGCGAAATCACTGGTTAGGTCATGAGCTGTTGTCATAATATTCGACTGTTTTCGCCATTTGAGGCACAAGTATGACCACAATGATTGTGAACTATGCCTAATCCATGTGAAACAATTGTGAAATTTTTTCTGTTTCATAGCTATTGACAAGCTTTAGTGTTATCAATAAAAGAATTTTGGAAACAGTGTATAAATCAAAATGCATATGTTAGTTCTAAACCACTGATCTCTAACTTCTTCATTGATTGCTTCAAATTTTGCAAGCAAATTCAGGAATATTTTTATATACGCTTCATTACAAACCACTCTTTTGTTTCGAAATGGTGGTCAAAAAACGCTTGTTGTTAAAGACTGTACCACTAAAATGGCTGTAACGAATTTAATAAAACTTAGTAAAAGTCTCCTCTGAAAGCCCTTTTAAGTTATGTATATAACATACTTCCCCAAAAAGAAACAAAAAAAAAATATAAACAATGGAATTTAAAATTAGAGCTCTATTATAAGAAATTTATATTTGACATATAGCTATAGTATGAGTACAATTTTTAAATGAAACAATTGGTACGGACCGAAGAAACAAAGTGGGTTCAAATATATTTTAAAGAAAGCTTTGTATTTCGTAGCTGGAAAACCCTTTAATAGAAAATTTCATAGCAATAGAAAAATTCAAATTTTTTTTCATCATGAATCACAAAATGTTTGATATTCTCAACACAACTCCAGCTATCTACATGAAATTTAGCAGTAATTTAGAGCCAGATGATCTACACATGATGGCATAAAGCGGATTTCCGTAAACATATTAAAAATAGAGTTATGAAATAAAAACATCTTAAAAGTTTTTCTTTATTAATTTCTCTTAAAAGTATTAAATCTATAAGTTATTGGTATAATTTTGAAGAATAATTCAGCTTTCCAATATAGTAACATTGAATTTGAGGAAAATGCTGAGGTGTTATGAATTATTTTAGTGAACTGCTGTGAAAAACAATTCTAACCAAAAGTATAGTGGTTTCCAGATAAGCATCTCATGATCTATATATATATATATATATATATATATCATTTTATATAAAACACTAATTCAGTACCTTTTTCTGCTCAGTTTCTTTAACGATTTTCTTTTCTTTTTTTTTATTTACTAGCAGTTGACTTCTATGACTTACAGCTATTGAAACTTAGCTAAAGTTTTCTCCTTGATGACCTCATATTTTTTTTTTAATGAATGAAAAAAAATTTATATTTTGTAATATATACCATTACAGGAGGTATGTACCATCATAAACATCATTACATTAAAAAAAATCTATAATGAAATACTACACAAATATAGAAATAAATCAGAGAAATATTCTTTTTACACAACAAAGATAAAATAAATATATAGATTATGATGAAAAAAGAAAAAGAAAAGACAGTTGCATAACAGTATAAATAAAAAACATTGACATTGAAAATATTTAAAAAAAAAATTAAATTTGAAGATTACAGAATGTATTATGATAAACATAAACATTAATATTTTTAGCATTTACTTGTTCATAATCAATCATCTGATTTGAAGGCTTCCCACTGTGAAATAAAATATATTGTTTAACTTTACCAGGTTTTCTATTGTTAATATATTATCCAGGATTGAATTGCTGTCTTCACTAATATATTTCTCTATGTAAAGGTCCCTCAAATCAGAAATCACAAATTTGTCCTTGGAAACATAGCGTCCTTAAGTCTCAGATCAATACTTATAATTGAGCTCAAAGCAAAGATGCTGTTTGCTTCCCTTGTTTTTACGAAAACCATTTTGTTCTTCCAGCAGTATCTTGTTGATTTCTGAGCATTCCATAAGACGGCTGTTCAGAATGTACTGGTACTGGTGGGGGGACTTAGTCCAGCAAGTGGACCTATTGGTCCTTTTTGCCAACCTCAAAAATAATACTATCATTGGTTGTCTATTATACCTTTTATTCTGTTTCAAACCTTTTTGTTCTTCTAATGAAGTTCAAAAGGTTGGACCATTTTATAGAGGCAGTTTTGCATACTTGGGTTCTGTCAGCTCCCAGAAGTCTGTATCTGAGTGACACAAATCGGTCACATTCCATTATGAAGTGAAGGGCAGTTTCAGGTGCTCTTCTGCAGAGATTACAGAGTTCATAATCCACTATCCCACAGATCTTTAAATGTCTTTCTTACATTTCTGTACTCCTCGAATCACCGTGGCTGTTCAGAACGCAAGTGAATATTTTGGTTATTGTATTTAATAGTGCTATGGTTCTATAGTTTGTCGGATCATTTTTGTTACTTTTTTTGGAAAATGGTTTTGTTATTATTTTTGCCCAGCTTTTGGTGATGCCTTCTTGGTGATAGATATCATTCATAGGATTGAGGTGAGGATATAGTGTTCCCACTCAGGTGTTAATAATTTGTAATATTCATAAGGTATCCCGTCATTCCAGAGGATTTATCTCTTTTCATGTGATGAATAGCTATTCGCAATTCTAACGATATTTCACAGTCAAGAAATGGATTTATTATTTTGAACGTTGTATCCATATCAGAATTTGGACAGGAATGGAAATTTCTATACAAATTCTCAAAAGTTTCTGATGATAATTCCAACTCAACTTTTTTTTTCTTTTTACCTTAATCATTTTATAGCTTGCCAGAATTCATTGTTATTTTTTGATTCAGAAATTTTATCAACTATAGGTTCTGTAATATTCCTTTTAAGGTTCCCTCAGAACGTGTTTATATATTTATCTTTATAATTTATATATATATATATATATATATATATGTGTGAGGATTCTGCTCTTAATACCACCTAATTAATTACCTCCATTTCTCTGTTGTTCCCCTCTTTAACAGGATTCTTCTAACACGTGTTGCTTTTTAGCATTCTGGTCAGGAAAGCCAGTTTAATTTAATACTATTATATCATTAAAAAATTTAATACAATAATACAACATTGTACAGTGAGATTTAATTACTAAAAAAAGAATATGATTAAATAAGTATGTAGAAGAACTGAATCATATTATAAAAAATAATTAAAACCTTTTTAATGAAAATCCTGATGATATACCATCCTAATTATTCATTTACTTTTAATGTTTACTATATAAAAAAAAACTTATAAAGTGTTAGTTTAATATGACCCAAATGTCATTCTTAAAGTTCCTTAAACTATTGATAGGTTTATGAATATATTCTCTCATATAATTTGTTTGTTTTAAGCTAAATTAATTAGTGATTAATTGTTTTTACATTAAAAATAACTTGTTTATATTTTAAGAAATTCACAAAAAATTGCTGAGGTGCGGCAACAGATCGAGCAAGCCAAAAAGGATGATTCCAGCATATCTGAACTTGAGGCACGTTTAGAGATGCTTTTAAGCGAAGGAGAAAAGTTGAAAAAGAAAGAAGATGAACTAAAACAGAAAGAAAAGGTTTGTTCTGTTGTCTCAGCATGCATATTAAACTTACTTTTCTTAATACTTTATTTTTTTTTATCTTAATAATTTGTTTAATCTATGAAAATATATTTTTTTTAATATGATTTTTGACAATATGACATGTATATATGTGAATATATTATTCCTACACAAATTTAAGTTTGAATTTTTTCAATGGTTTAATTTTTCAAGTGGTCGTTTGGTGTTCTTTTTACCATAAAAGGTGAGAAAAGTGTTTTTACTATTAATTTGGCCCTTTTCATTTACACTGAATTAGTGGCATATAAAGCCTTTGACATTTGAAAACTAACACTAAGATTCATAGTCAATCTCTTGTAACCCAAGATTGACAGATAGTCAGTAAAAAAGTTTACAGTTATGCTGTTGTAGGGTATATGTCATTGAATACCACTTGATGGTTTACAGTATATGAATATCGTAGAACATTGTTAACAGTGGCTTCTAAGAAAATATCTTGAATCATAGATCTCTTTCATTCCAACAAGAAGTGATTATTACACACAGTCATTTCGGGAGTATCCCCTTCTCGAGTTAGCATAACATGCACCTTACACTGAACATAAATTCTACATAAGCTCAAATCCAGTATAAATTCTTTACTGACCATCTCCAGAAAAACCTGACCACTCTTATCAGGAAGTGCTATGTTTTATGCAATTTCTGTTTGTTTTTTAGGTGACCCCTTGGAATGTTGATACTATTAGTAATCCAGGATTTACGAAGACTGTCATAAATAAACCAGGAGCGAGGAAAGTGGAACAGTTATCAGAAGAAGAGAGAGAGAAAAGAATGCAGATTTTTATTAAAGAAAACGAAAAACTTTTAAAAGAGTTTGGAATGCTAAGGAAATACGATGATAGCCAAAGATTTTTACAGGAACATCCACATCTTGTTTGTGAAGATACTGCAAATTACCTTGTTATATGGTGCATCACTTTAGAAATGGAAGATGTAAGGATAAGTATATCTAACTTACTTTATTTATATTTCAAAAATTATATCACTGTATAAACATTAGGTCATATTTCATGTAACTGTTATATGAAGTCCTTAAAGCTTTTTTCAAAATATGTTATTTTGCCAAACTTTTGTATTAATAAATTAAAACAATCATTGAAAAATTTGAGGTGTATAATCCACTATTTTAAGCATCATACTATAGTGGTAGAGCGGCCAACCCAAGACAAACCATGTGTCACACTGGGGATTTGGAATTGCCATGTAACCGCCCATTTGGTTTTTAAATATTTTGTTCTTAATTTTATCATTTAAAAAAAAAAACTTAAAAATAAAATTATTTTATAATTGGTAATTGGTTGACTGTCGTGGATAATGAAGAGAAGAATAGTTGGGTGCTCAGTCAAAAAGGAAGGCAAAAATAAATTATAATATTTATTTTTTACATCTGCCGACGTTTCATTCCACATCCCTACTCTCTCCACCTTCTTTGTAACGACTTCATTCTCACTTTGACATTTTAAGAGAAAGCCCTGATGATGGCCTGAACTTCAGGTCGAAACGTCGGCAGATGTAAAAAATAAATATTATAATTTATTTTTGCCTTCCTTTTTGACTGAGCACCCAACTATTCTTCTCTTCATTAAATTATTTTATATATTTATATAAATATTTCACTTTGCCAATTCGAATACTAGTCTTGATTGTTTGGATGGTTCAGTTGTAATAATGTCTAAATCAGCACCCAGTCTTTACTAAAACTAGTTTATAGAATGCTCTACTTCAATTTATAAAATATTTAGTTTGTAGGTTATCGAAAAAAAAAATATTTATATAATTGAGTTTAAAGATAAAGGGAGAGATAGTAGAAATAAAATATATATATTACAACAATAAAATATATAAATTACAGTGACATGAATAGACAAAGTGTAATTAATTAAGCAGTAAATGTAAGTAATATAAAAAAAATTTAATACCTTAAAAATTTATAATAAAGAGAAGGATGGTTAAATAATATTTATTTTTGCCATTTTTATTTTGACTGATCACCCCAACCATCCTTCTCTCCATTATTCATTACAGTCAACCATCAACCCACAATTAAAAATTTATAATTTTATGAAATATTTTTTTCAGTATTTTTAGCTCAGTATTGTTTTAGAAATGAAATTGAAAGGTTTTAAGTCAATTTAAGATGTCTTATATAACAAGGTTTGAAGATAACTAAATCTTGAAATTGAAATAATTAGAACATAAACATAAAATGAAAAATAAACCTTTAATTAATATTTATTTATATTAAAATTTACATTTGGCCTTGTTTCCTCTCTTACATTTGATATTTTTACTATTAGTTTATATCGAGAATATTAATATTAATTAAGTATTTATCCTATATTGCAGAAACAAATGCTGTCCCAACATGTAGCTCACCAGTGTATTTGTATGCAATACATTCTAGAACTGTCTAAACAGTTGGAAGTAGACCCTAGATCCTGTGTTGGAACATTTTTCTCAAAGTAAGATATATTTTATTACTTCTCAATTAACAAATTAAAGTGTTAGAATGTGAAACATCTTTATACAATCATTAAGATAATTTGATAATATAAATTTTGTCCACACATTAAGTGGGATTATTTAATCATTACAGGGTATTCTTTAATAGTTTTTGGTTAATTTATTAACCTTTTTTGTTACTTTAAAACTTCTTTTTAATGTACCTACTCCTATAATTTATAGTACTAATTTTACGATTGCTATTTAACAGCTAGCAAAGGATGTCTGAAATTTACTCGATTCTAAGCTTAAAAAATTTTAAACCAAAAAGTAGATCTCTGTTCTAGTCTTGCACACATACATTCATTCAACGACCAAGTGTGACAGGTATAAGAAGTTTGTGTCTATTTAAATAAAGATCATACAAATTTTATCACATTCACAATTTTCCCTCAAATTGCAATTACAGTTGCTGAAAACTTTTTTTAGCTCTAATTAACAACTCTAAAAAGTTGTCTAAATTGGTTTAAATGTTTTTCCATGAAAATTATACAAAATATCTGGGTTTTTGAGCTTCCGTCATTTTATTTTAAAATAGACAATGGGAGAAAACAAGTTTTAAAGATTGTAAAAGACCAATAATTGTAAGTGTAGAGTGATGATACCCTCCACCCTATAAAAACAAATAAACAACCTTGTACCACTGCAACCCATGAAGGGGGTTCAGTACTTTATAAGGAACTACTGCTTTAAGGCCAATTGTTGTGCCGAGAGGTGATCGGGCCGTAATTACGCTCAACCGCTATATTGTTTTCTCCTTTAGTTAATTATTTAACTAAGAGTACCCACTTTATAGATGCTGGGTTTGTCCCAGGGGTATCAAACCATGGCCAATGAAACAGAAATAATTATTTGCCATTAGCCAAGATTCAAACCCAGGACTTTGAGCTTAGGAAGTAAGCGCTTACCTACTCATCTACCCCACATCCTGATTTTATGCAATGAACTATTAAAATTATATGGTTTATGGGAATTCTCCATTAGCAAGAAATTCAATTTTCTGAGTTAGACCATTTTCTGGCCTTGATCTTGATGATATTGAATATAACTTTATATTTTTCAAGTTTGTAGATAGGCCTAAAAAAATAGCAATATATTAAATTGAAATTAAGTAATATTAATTTAAACATATTTTTCTCAAATATTCAGAATTCAAGTAGCAGAGCCAGAGTACAAGAAATCATTTGAAGATGAATTGAGTGCATTCAAAGAACGTGTGAAAAAGCGTGCCAAGGAAAAGTTAGAAGCAGCTCTTAGAGAAGACGAGGAAGAAGAGAAAAAAGCGCGTTTAGGCCCTGGTGGTTTGGATCCAGTTGAAGTTTTCGAATCACTACCTACTGTAAGTTGCGGCTCTTTTATTTTTCATGACCTTGTTAAAAATATCAATATTATTATTAAGGTCCCTCATTTTATCTTCGTATCTATGTAACTAGGTAATTTAAATAGGTTTACAGACAACTGTGGAGTCATTGCATCATTTTAGGCAGTCATTGGTTTGATCTCACGTTTTTGTTTTAAATTTGCTAATAATAACACTCCTTTAACATAAAATCATAGTATTAGTTCTGTCAATGAAAGGTAAAAAGGTACTTGTAGAGTGAATGGCGGACAGACAAGTATTTGACTTAGAAAATTTGTTGGGGTTACTTAGTAGGTGAACATACTAAAAGTCTCTGCCTCAGGGAAATTTTTTGGGATTAATTAGTAGGTAAACATACTAAAAGTTCCTGCCCCTACCTCTTCCGCTTCATGGTTGAGGGGCGCCATGAAGGTCAATTTTTCCAAATTTTCTCATGTATCTTGAAAATGTGACGTCGCAGATGAAAAATTGTTGTATAAAAGATCAAAACTCATAAAACGTTGAGAGGTGTCAGGACACCCGGCATGCAGACATGGAGTTGGTCTTCAATTGACGTTTCTCCATTTTTAAAACGTTAAAACCACTCGTAGACTCTGGGTTTTACTCAGCTTAGCATCCCTATAAGCAGTTTTAAACATTACAATAGTTTCCGCAGCCTATTTCCACAGCAGGAAACCAAATTTCACAGCTGGATGTTGGATCTCGACAATCGACCATCACGTTTTCATATACATATATACATTTATATATATGTCTCCAATTCCTAGAATGATGACAGCAACAATTCTTCTTCATTCCAAATAGAGGATTCAATATCCACGGTAGATGCTGGGAGTTAATCCAAATATCCTCATTATTCATCATCATTCATTATATTTGAAACTCTGTTCATACAGTTCCCATCCTGTCAAGAGCAGGAACAGTTTAATCTGCTCTATATCTGCCATTACCACTATCTGTAGTATATTTGCAGAATATAAAATCCAATTAACCTACTGTGTTTGAATTTTTAAGCGCAATAGGAATATTTTAACCATATAGAAGTGATAGAATAGTCAACAAACTTCTTTTCTTAAAATTTTCTCAAAACATTTTCATATGTTTTATTTTACCATAACCAACTAATGCCTCTCTTAAAAGATAGATACAATTTTTGTAATGTTAATTTTTTCATAAATAACTATATTTTACTTTACAATCAAATATTCTGTTATTGCAGCATGCATGAAAGGGTATCAAAGAATGGTTTTTCATATACATTGTAACGTTCTCTTTGTTAACCAAAACAAACAACGAGTTTCCTTTTTGAATATCTATTTATTTTAACACATAATATCAATTCTCAGGTTGGGTTCTGACAACTGAACACTCATTCACATTTAATAACTATAATTTACCAATTACTAAATACATATAAAGAAACAAGATACATACATTAAGAAATTATACTTCAAAAACCTTTATTGTCCCAGTCTAAACTTTGTGGCTGTTTCTATTTTCTCAGCTTGCTGGCTTCTCTCTTGACAGCTTGTCACATCTTCTCTTGGCGGCTCATAATCTTCTCTCTTGGCCGCTAGCACCTTCCCTCTGGGCGGCCCGTCGCAGTCTCTCTCCTATGAGCTTGCTTCCCCCACTTCTTCCCTGTAGTTCATGTTCTTGCCACTTTCGCACCACTATTTATATACCATGTAACGTTGACATTACAACATATATATATATATATATATATATATATATATATATATATATATATATTTGATATCTTTTCGTGCATGCTGCAATAAATAAATAAATAAATAAATATATATATATATTTACTGGCTGCCAATTACAGTTGATGAAGTCAAATTAAACGCTATGGACAAAAAATCATCAGCGGGACCCGATGGTATCACTGTAAAGCAGTGGGAATCTGTTGCCCCCTTACATAGGGCCATATTTTATAATATATATCTGTCCAACCCACCCCACTTACCAAAGTTAGCTGCGGCCCGGACTATATTCATTCCGAAAACGGATGATCCCGCTGGTCCTTGTGAATATAGACCCATCACAGTTGCTTCAGTCCCTCTTAGACAAATGCACAAGATAATTGCAACTCGTCTAAACGAAATGGATTTGCATCATGTAAACCAGCGAGCGTTTATTGCTTCCGATGTCACTGCAGAAAATATATTCTCATTACAGAGAATAATAGACGACTCTAAAATGAGAAAGAAGGAAATCCATGTAACGTTTATGGATATTGCCAAAGCTTTTGATAATCTGAGCCATAATGCACTTTATAGAATCTTAGAATGGAAGGGTATTCCAGCTGGACTTATTGGTTACATGAAGGGGCTATATAGCAAATGTTATACCCGCATTACAGACAAAAAGCAGCATACGGATCCTATTGTATGCGGAAGAGGTATAAGGCAGGGTGACCCATTATCCCCTAGTCTCTTTAACATGGCAATGGATTGGGTAATCCATTCCCTTCCAGATGGAATAGGCTACGATATGGGAGGAACAATGGTAAACTGCCTGGCATTTGCAGACGACCTAGTCTTAATCACATCCTCATCGAAAGGCATGAAAAGATTACTATCGGATGCAGCTGCAGCTATTCAAGATCTGGGAATGGAATCCAACCCAGCCAAATGCTTTAGCTTTTCTCTCGTCAAGGCCGTCAATTCTAATGTTATGAAGGTTGATAACAGATATCATTTCGTAGTAAATGGCGCTAGAATCAAGCAGTTGGGTATCTTGGATTGCTGGAAATACCTAGGAGCGAAATTTTCGTTGAACAACATGAATGCCGAAGGGATTATCGATGAATTATCATTATTGCTGCACAAAACAAACACTGCACCCCTAAAACCTCAACAAAAATTAGTGACTTTGAGAACTTATCTCATCCCGAAATTCATTCATCTCCTCACACTGAGCCCAAGCAAAATGAACGAGTTGAGAAAGTTGGATATCTCAACGAGAGCGGCAATACGTTCCTGGCTGCGACTGCCTCAGGATACCCCTACTCAGTATTTCCATTCTGCTTGTACTGATGGTGGTTTGGGAGTAATGAGCTTTAGCAGTGCTATACCCTCACTCAAGCTCGCGAGGTTACGACGTATGGAGTACTCTGGTTGCCCAGTAGCAAGAGCCGCCTATCATTCCTCCTTTATCACTAAGGAAATGAGAAAACTCACAAGCAACCTCACGAAAATGGGCCTCAACGCGGAAAACACTTCCAGTGAAGAACGAAAGAAAACGCTGTCCATGAAGTTATATCGTAGCGTTGATGGTAAGGCATTAAGGGAGTCAAAAAACTGCCACCCATCAACTCATTGGTTGACAGACTACGCGGCTCCGATAACCGGACGGACCTTCATACAGACGGTAAGAACTCATATAAATGCCCTCGCGACCCGAGTGAGATTATCCAGAGGACGTAGGGCTTTTATGCCGACCCAATGCAGAGCTGGGTGTCCTGCAAGCGAAACTGCCAGCCATATTATTCAACATTGCATTTTGTCTCACGGTGGTAGAGTGCGCCGGCATGATACAATAGTGAACATGTTGGAAATTGCTCTCCAAAAAAAAGGATACAGGGTCACAAAGGAGCAAATGTTTGTTGGTAATAGACGAAGGTGGAAGCCAGACCTGGTGTGCTCAGGACTAAGCGGACACTTCATTATAGATGCACAGGTCGTCGGGGATAACCCTAGCACCACTCACTGGAACAATGTCAAAGCCAATAAATATAGGGACCTAGATTGCAGGATGGCGATCGGGCGTACACTGGGAGTGCCAGGCGTGGACATAAAAGTACTGCCGCTCACAATAACTTGGAGAGGAATATGGTGTCGAAGATCTTTCCAAGACATGGATATGTTGGGAATTCCCAAGAGAACGATGAACGCTATTACAATAAGAGTCCTTAAAGGGTCCCACATGAATTACAGTAATTGGTTCAGGCTGCTTCCTCGTTTATAGCATGATACTCAATGATTATATCGATGTCATAATTTACATTTTTACGTTTTGTTTTATTTATCTTTATTTTTATTTTTTATCTATTTATTTATTTCATTTTTATTCGTTTAATTTTATGTTTATTTATTTACTTTTTTTTTTTATTATTTTATTTTTTTTTTTTTATTTATTTTATTTATTTATTTTTATTATTTTTTTTTTTATTTTTTTTTTTTTATTTATTTATTTATTTAGATATGTACTATAGTACTACTTTTTTATGACTTATATTGCGGAGGGATTGCTACCTCCGTTGTTTTTAAAATTACTTTATATATAGTGTGTATTTTATGTATGTATATGAATGTATGTATATTTTTCTTTTATACTTTTATCGACGCAGCTGCTTTTTGTATGTAAATGCAATGCTCAGTATATTATAACTTAATATTAGTATGTTTTCTTTTTTTTTTTATATATGATTCTTGGATTCCAATATCCAAGATAAAACGTTACGATGGTGAAGGTAGCACCAAATTGAATTGGAAATTGAGAAAGGTCTGGAGTTTTGTTACTTCGAAAAATATATTAACTATGTATGAACTACCAAATAAATAAATAAATAAATATATATATATATATATATATATATATATATATATATATATATATATATATATATATCTGCCATTACCACTATCTGTAGTATATTTGCAGAATATAAAATCCAATTAACCTACTGTGTTTGAATTTTTAAGCGCAATAGGAATATTTTAACCATATAGAAGTGATAGAATAGTCAACAAACTTCTTTTCTTAAAATTTTCTCAAAACATTTTCATATGTTTTATTTTACCATAACCAACTAATGCCTCTCTTAAAAGATAGATACAATTTTTGTAATGTTAATTTTTTCATAAATAACTATATTTTACTTTACAATCAAATATTCTGTTATTGCAGCATGCATGAAAGGGTATCAAAGAATGGTTTTTCATATACATTGTAACGTTCTCTTTGTTAACCAAAACAAACAACGAGTTTCCTTTTTGAATATCTATTTATTTTAACACATAATATCAATTCTCAGGTTGGGTTCTGACAACTGAACACTCATTCACATTTAATAACTATAATTTACCAATTACTAAATACATATAAAGAAACAAGATACATACATTAAGAAATTATACTTCAAAAACCTTTATTGTCCCAGTCTAAACTTTGTGGCTGTTTCTATTTTCTCAGCTTGCTGGCTTCTCTCTTGACAGCTTGTCACATCTTCTCTTGGCGGCTCATAATCTTCTCTCTTGGCCGCTAGCACCTTCCCTCTGGGCGGCCCGTCGCAGTCTCTCTCCTATGAGCTTGCTTCCCCCACTTCTTCCCTGTAGTTCATATTCTTGCCACTTTCGCGCCACTATTTATATACCATGTAATGTTGACATTACAACATATATATATATATATATATATATATATATATATATATATATATTTGATATCTTTTCGTGCATGCTGCAATAAATAAATAAATAAATAAATATATATATATATATATGAAAACGTGATGGTCAATTGTCGAGATCAACATCCAGCTGTCAAATTTTGTTTCCTGTTGTGGAAATAGGCTGCAGAAACTATTGTAATGTTTAAAACTGCTTATAGGGATGCTACACTGAGTAAAACCAGAGTCTATGAGTGGTTTTCACGTTTTAAATTGTCGTTTGAACAAGGTCTATTTTTGAGCAATCAAGCCATTGTCATCCCAGATTTATAATTTGCCTTATGATTTACTACAACAATTATTAATTGTTATTATAATTATTCCATATTAAACAGATTAAAAGTACTTGATTTACTAAATGTATTTTATTTATTAATACAGTTGTAAATGTCATGAATAAATAAAAAAATAAAATAAAAAAAGTACTTCAGAGTAAGTCATTATTAAAATTCGGCATTTTAGCACCTACCTGATATCAAAAACCTGTTAATTGTACATTGTCATTACAAGTTTAATCAAAATTATTTGAACCTTTTTCGAGAAAATTGTAAAAATATTAAAAATCAATAGTATAAAGTGACACTTCTGGTTAACCGATTTTGACACAATAGTTGTAATATCTCAGGTATATACAACATTCCTTAATTACCTAATTTTAGTTTTGTATGACCTCATTTTTAGGCTAGGCTGTTCACAAACACATAGACCATTTTACAAGACTTAATTATTTCATCTCAGGGAATCTCAAAATGTGTGTTTCCAATGAAAACTCTGATTTAAAAATTTTCATGATCTCAATGCTTTCTCTTGCTATGTATTTCATGTATAGTAAAATAATATACTAAATATCACCTCTTTTTCAATAATCTCTTCTACCTTTCGGTGTAGAAATTTTCATGTTTTTCATCCGCCTCTGTCGAGTACTGCTCTCCTGGCTTTCGCCCATCCAATTCCTTTAACTTTAAGAATATTTTTGAGATTATCTTCTCAAGTAATTCTTGGTCTTCCTCTACGTTGCTTTCCCCCTGGCTTAGCCTCCATAATTTTCTTTGCTGAACGGCAGTCATCCATCCTCATTACATGACTGAACCATCAAAGCTGCCCTTTCTCTATTATCTGGTTGAGGGGTTCAATTATGAGTGTATTCTGTATTGTTGTTACGTATCCGATCTCTCTTCATCTTTCTCTCAGATACCTCATTTCCATGCTTTGGAGGCGGCTCCGATCACATTGCTTTAGGGCCCAGGATTTGCTTCCATAAGTACATAGGATAAGGACGAACATCGAGCGATAGATAGCTAATCCTATATAGCAATATATTAAAAATAAGTAAAAGTAAAAATAGATACACTGAGTGCACTATGAGTTAATTTCACAGAAGAAAAAATCATTAAGAACTTTGTGATATAATTTTATGAATTGTTACTTTACTGACATGGTAACTACTTTATTTATTTTATTTGTTTGCTGATGTGATCAGCAATCAAGAGTACCAAACTCACATATAAAATTAATCTTAAAACTGAAGATTTGACAATGTTTGTAAATGGCCTTATGGATATGAATTTTTGGTGAATGCTATTTTTTATCCTCTGCGAATGTTTCTATAGTATTTTAAAACTAATTTTTGATTATTTTCTGTAGATATTACAAGAATGTTTTGAAAAACAAGACATTCCAATGCTTCAAGAAGCAATAGCTAAAATGCCTCAAGAAGAAGCTGCTTACCACATGAAGCGCTGCATAGACTCTGGTCTTTGGCTCCCCGATGGAGGAAAGAAGGAAGCTGCTGAGACATCAGAAACAGAACTAGTAGAAGGGGAAGAAAAATAAGGAAATGTAAATTTTTTGCCAGTTTATTTGCAATAATAAATTATTTCCTTTTTTCTGATTTTTGTACAAGTGTGAAATGTTTGTTTTAAACTTCAGTTTCTGATAGGTTTAGCTGATTAATTAATGAACTATTGAATTGAAACAATTACGATATATGTTAATTTAAATAAATTTATTATAAAATCTAGACTATCTGTTAAAGCTTCTATTCATTTGAAGGATAAATTCTGAAATTATTAGAGCCATTTACGGCAGTTTTATCTATCAAATAAAATTTTTTTTTTTAAGCAAGCAAAACTATTGTATTTATCATTTTATTTTATTAATATGAAATTCAATCGAATAAAAGAAAAGCAAAAAGAAATGTAATTATTTTAGAATATCATAAACAAAACATGAATAGATAAAGTCCAATTTAAGTAACTAAACAAAGTATGCTCAATGGTTTATGTATTGACAGCCAATGTATGTTAAATTTAATAGTGCAGTTTTAAGTTTTTGAGGTCAATTTCAGTCTTACGCATAATCAGGAAGACAAACCAAAAACGTTATTTAAAGCATTAGATCTTTGTTTTAAGCCTACAATAAAGAATTAAAGGAACTTCTAATATAGAAATACACAGTTAATTTCTTCTTATGAATAATATTTTACAATGTGGCTGTCGATATATTTTTTTAATGATGCTAATTTTTAATCATCTTTTCATAAAAGCCCAGAGTAAAAGGAAGTAATTGTCTGGAAGGTATACTCACTCACAAATATGTTTTCAGTCACTAATTGGTCAGTTAAATTTTTCTTTTAATTTTTCATTGCACAACCGTTGACCTAGAAACAATATTTTCCCTCAATAGTACTGACCCTCCCCCCTCCCCCCCCCCAAGATCCTTCATGGGTTATAGTGGTACAGGTAAATCTTTCTTTAAATTTCAAAATTAAAAATTTTGCTCTGATAAATTATTAAAACTGTTTGCTTTAATAAATTATGTTTTTAATCAAATGTGTACTTTAACATTAATCACTCCCTGACATTCCATGTACTACAACTTCATAAATAAATTGTAAATTAATTTTCTGAAATCATATTATTATTTAAATCATTTTTTGTAAGATTTTTTCCTATTCCTATAGGAATAATTCAAAACACAAGTTTCGCCTTATGAAATATGAATGTCACTATGAGATGATTTATTAGTCACACTATTTATATGTATTTTCTTTTTTTGTAAATTATTTTAAAGCAAGTATAATTATACTACCATAAAAATTCCTATGTTCGAAATTGGATTCTTCAATACCATCTGAAGCCTTTACTCTAAGGGTAAAAAATGAACTACTCTTACTAAAATTAAATATCAGGTTTTCAAAATTTAATATATATGTATATATACACACACACTTAACACTTTAATTTTTATTTTTGTATCAAACTCTTACTTATTATTGTGTGTGCTTGTTGTCGCAGGAAGAACTATATGTTGTAGATAATTTTAATTTTTTTTTAACTTGCTGTATTATGTGGTGTCAATAATTCTCAAATTTCTTTCTTTTTTTTATTTAAAATAAAATAAATACTTTTTATATGTTTTATTATTAATAAGAACACTACCAACTTAACCACTTAGTTTCCAATTTTTTTATGCTTTGCCTCAGGTACTTTTGCTATTGAAGCTATAAAAGTATAAAGGAGCAGTGTAGATTACCTCTTGAGAAATATTTAATGGCTTATTTTAATTATTATGGAATCATTTAATTAAATCTTACATGTAATAAAATTATAAAGCTACGTAGGATGTATATGCATTACTGATTATTACTTGACAAATGCTTTCTTTACTCCTATCTATTTTAATAATAAATGGTAATGAACTATTACTATATATTATTGTAAATTACAGATTATTATAATAATAAATTAATAACTCAAGTCTTTATTTTCTTAACATATTAATTCAAATTGCTAATCAGAATGATATTTTGTTACTTGTTCACGCGAAAGCTAAACTATTTATATATATATATATATATCTTGAAATATTTTAAAATTGTAATAAACAATTCAGTGTAACAAACTAGCAAAAGCAATTTGTTTGTTGTCGGCATCAAAAATAGTGTAAAATTGTTGAAGGAAAATATTTCCAAGGATCCATGGCCTATCCTTATTTTTTTCACTTCCAACAATGCCAATCATGCATCTGGTAAAGAAATATAAGTGTTTTCTCTGTAATACCAAAGTAAAATTAGTAATTTGACTACATACGCTTGTCATTTTTAAAGAACTATATAACTAAAATCACCTTGACTACGTAATCATGACCTTTGATAGAATAACTTCTATTGTTGATCGAAAATGTGATTGGTGGTAATTCATCAATTTTAGAGCAGTCCACCTATAAAGCCATATTAATATTTTAGTGATATTTTTATTAAAATAATAAACAGAAATTACATGTGATACGAATCACAATAATCTCAAATATAGGAATGATAGTGTAATAAATTATATAATGATTTTATAATAAGAACGTGTTTTTGAATGTAATCCATCAGTTTTATTAAAATAAACTGTTATTTACTGATCATTATCATTGAATTGTAGAAGATATTTTTTAATTACTACTTAAAAGTTATTGTTGGCTCACTGTTAACCTTTTATACATTTTATTTCTATATTATAAAATAAGGCTCTGTTTATTTTTTCACCATATTTATTTTAATTTTCATAGCTATGTATTGGCCGGTAAGCGATCTTCAAGCCATTTTATTCAACCATGCTTTTAGCAGGTAGTCCAAAGTTTAATTGAATTACATGCAAAAAGCATGGTTGAATAAAGTGGCTAAAAGATGGCTTACCGGCCAAAATGTAGCTATGAAAATTAAAATAAATATGGTGAAAAAATAAACAGAGCCTTATTTCATAATATTAAAATTTTCACCTAAAAAACAAGCACATATGTAATTTATTTCTATTTAGGCAGTTAATGTAAGTTAATCCTGAAATTGTTGTACTACATAGCAGCTAGAATTATCAGAAAAACGAGTGTTTTGCTTAGATATGCCATACTGACAGGTCTTAATTTAATGTATATACTGTGTTTATAAATTTTGGAATAATAAATGTTCTTTCTTCAAACTTAAGTGTTAATGATGTTCTTTACATAAAAATTCATAGATCTTGTGCAGCTATTTTTTTTTTTTTTTTTATATGATGCTCTAACTACTCAACTACCAAACAAAAGCATGGAGAGATATTAAAAAATATATTATATTACAATGTTATATTAAAAAATATATTATATTATAATGGTATGGAGATGGTTGACTTTGATTATAATATGAGGAGTTGGTCATGGGTGCAGTCAAATTAAATACTATTTATTATAGTAGTATTTTATTGGTAATAAAATAATAACCCCCGACCAACTCCTTCTTATATTATATTATACTGCATTGAGATATATCTCAGCATAATTAGTGAATCTCTCTTTAACTCTCTTTTTCTTTAATTTCATTCATCTATCTTGCTTTTCATCTAGCTTGACTGAAAGCAAACAGAAGAAGCAATACTTCTTTGTCAAAGGTACTAATGGGCATGTTGAATTGAAAACAAAAGAAGCAAACCCAATTTCAAGAAGGAATGAATTGGAGAAACCATACAATACATACTCTTGATAGCAAGTTTACATAATGGCTTGCCATGAATTGTCCACTTCCTGACAAACTTAAGAGAGAGAAAATCATCACATAGTGCCATTTGGGATTCACAAGATCAACACAATAAAAAAATATGATTTATAAAAAAAACATAATATAGACTATACCATTTTGGAACTATGGAACTTATGATATTCTTCAAGAGTTATTGTATGTGCTCAAAAGGATAGGGACTTCCATTAGTTAGCAAAAACTTCATTTGTTGAATAAACTAGAATAATGGTTATTAAAAAAATATTACTGAAGCTTCTGTTCCATGGATAGTGGCTCCAATTTTTTCATGAATTTTCCTAACAACATCTTTGTGACCTAAAATGAGAGCAGTTCCAGTGTCGACTAAACCCTGGCAAGCGTAGCACAACTGTTCTCCATCATCTGTATGCACACTTAAAAATAATTTAATAATTCGGGTGAGTTTAATTCTTATATAAATTTGTTAATTTTAGTTAAATTTGCACATATGAATTAGTTGATCATTATTAACTTAAAATGAAGGAAATTCATAGAAAAGTATGTAAAGACAAAATTAAATTTACATAAGCACTTACTATTTTATGTCAAATATCCATCTAGTATTGTCAGATAGTGGAATGTAATTCACTGACTTCAAGTCAAATTTACTTTCATCCCAATCACCGAAAATAATTTTACCAACTTCATTTTCCTTTTTATGCCTGTTGAATTCATAACATATCTCAGTAAATTTATTAAAACATTGTTGGATGTACTATACTTATTTATGGAGGTATAATTAAAAGGTTCTAAGGAGAAGAGTTTCAGCAATTTTTATCAAAATTGTTGGGCCATTTTGGGGCTGTATATATATATATATATATATATATATATATTTGAAATGGGAGGAGGCTTATCCTGAACTGCATTAGAAATTAAAGTATGTGAGACTAGAAATAGAGTTGTAACAAATACTTACTAGAAATGGTAGCTTTAGTGGTTTGTGGGCGGGGTGGCCGAATGGGCTAACGCGTGTGCACTGCACCACCTGATACATAAGACTTTGATAAAATAATAGTCACGAGTTCGCGTCCCAGTGCCCGGAGGAGTTTTTAAATCCCCACCCACATTCCATGGCTGGGAAAACCCCCGTATAGCCTTAAAGGAGAGGAAGGGGAAGACAAAAAAAAAAAAAAAAAAAAAAAAAAAAAAAAAAAAAAAAAAAAAAAAAAAAAAAAAGCTTTAGTGGTTTGGGCTTACTAAATATACAAGGCTTGAAATATTATTCAATGGGTTTTTATTAAACTTCTTTCAGTATAGCAACTGGAGGTTAGGTTAGGTCCAAAAATTAGCCATGTACATTTGTGTTTAGGACAATAATAGAACCTTATAAGTGAACTGATTAAGAAGCAAAGCCATTTTTTTGTTGAAGATGGATTTTATAGGCAAGCTAAATCTGGGAGTTAGGAAATTAGATGTTTAGGTTGCAGTCATTACAGATCTTAAAATTTTATGGTGCTAAATTAAAATTAATTAAAAACTTAAAATTTATTGAAAATCCCAGCCCTATATAAATCTTGTCTATTTTTAGCCCTAATGTCATGATTAACTGAAAAATTTTGTTATGATTGTGCTCAACTCACTTGTCAATAAAAAAAGAAAAAATATTCTTTTTTAAAAGGCCTTCGGAGATAATTGAAGTTAGCGGAGGTTTCCCAATGTACGTTTTCATAGGGAAAGCTAGCCCTATAACTCCATCATAAATGCCAAGGAATGGTGGCTTATCTGCTTCACCAAAAGTTATGTTGTTAATGATCATGTTGCCAAACTGAAAATTATTAAAAAAGCCGCATTAAGAATTGAATCAATAAAAAAAACTTTTGAATCTTGATATTGCCAAAATAATTAAGTATACCTCCAGAGTGTCTTCAGAAAGGACTCCAGATAATTTCCCGTAGAGGTCATTAATATGAAATGGTTTCCCATTTTTCCTATAAGTTGATGATTTGGAACTATCATAACCATTGTGATTCCCTTTGTTAAAACAAAATTAAATCCAAGTAGATGTTAAATGCACAAGATGAAAAAATCATAAGAAAATATCATTGGTGAAGTGCAAAGTCATTAAGTACACTTTTGATGGAGCTAAACTTTTAAGTACATTTTTGTTAGTTTCAACTGATGCAAAAACGCATAAAACACATTAAGTTAATAAAAATAGCACTAATCCTGTTTTGTCCAAAATAGATACACTAAATAAACAAGCTCTGCTTTCACTAAGGGAAAGTTTATTAAATTACTTACAAGTTAAGGATTTAAGGAAGTCTTAATTTAAGGAAGTTAAGGAAGGCTCACTGATTTCAATGAAACTTTTCTTAGTGATACTAGATCGAAAAATATTAGACCCTTGTCTGAGGGTTCTTACCAATGCGTCCTAGAAACCGAGAAAAAAAAAATTATTTTTTTGTTACGGTTTTCTGACTTTGCTCTGAATGGATTTATAAGTTGGTATACGTCAATCGATCTATTTTTTTTTTGTGTAAAATAAGAAAAACATATTGTTTATTGTATTAAACGAATTCTTGTATATAATAAATTACAAAAATCCATAGAGGCTTCCAGCAAAGTGGACCAAGTAAATTTTTGTCATGAACAAAATATTCAGATTCGTTTTTAGGATTCACTAAAACTCTTAAATACGTGTTTCTTTTGAAATAAAAAGATATAAAGTTATGAATGTCATTTTATGGTAGGATTTTTTTTCATGCCGTTTACTAAAATATTCATAACTCCTCAGGTTTTTCTCCTACGTCGACGTTACTAAAACCGTTTGAAAGCTAAATTATTTCATGACAAAAATTTACTTGGCCCACTTCGCTGGAAGCTAATTTATTATATATAAGAATTCGTTTAATGCAATAAGCAATATGTTTTTCTTATTTTACACAAAAAAAAAAACAACAAATCGATTGATATATACTAAGTTATAAATCCATTCAGAGCAGTCAGAAAACAGTAAAATAAAAAAATAATAAAATTTTTTTTCTCGGCTCCTAGGGCGCTTTGGCAAGAACCCTCAGACATGGGTCAAATATTTTTTCGACCAAGTATTACCAAAAAAGTTTCATTGAAATAGGTGACCCTACGTCCGTAACTTCCCCTTGTTAGTCATTTAATTTAATAAAATGATACCTAATGACTTTTCTGTATAAACTGTCAGTATGAATTAATTAGCTCATCCCAAAATAATATATTGCAGAATTAACTTGAGCCAGATGGTTTGGGGTTTGAAATCACGCTGAAACAAATCAATAAAGGCTGAAATTTGAAGGGTTTGATTTTAACTTGAAATACAAAAATAGATTAGTTAGTTCTTTATTGATATTTTAGAGGTTCGAATCTTATTTAATAACAATATTATAAGTGTATACTACAATTAATTTATCAATGTTTTGAGGTTTTGCTCTTTTGTATAATTAAGGATTATTTTATTTTAAACTTCAACTTTACGCCTTGTTAAAAATGATACAGATGTTTCTGTAAAGACAACACTAATATGGTCACAGTATCTCAAATACAACAATATCTAAGAAACTGAGATTTAAAATTGTAGTTCCTCTTATGCAGTGCAATAAGGCTAAATTAAAAAAAAAAATCATACTCTTAAGTGCTGAAAAAAAGCCTCCTGGAAAATTATAAGCACTCATTCGAAACACAATTAAATTCTACATAAAAGGAAATTCATTTAAATTGGACCAGTATTAGCAAAGATACATCTTCTTTTACTTGGTATCCATGTTTCATTCGAATGGTAGGTTCCTCTTAATGAGCAATAAGTCTGGAATTTGAATTTGAATTTTAAGAAATTCAAATGTGTAAAAGAAGTTATTGAAGACATTGTAATAATCTTTATAATAAGATTAAATTAAAATGAAATATTTGTGAGTGAAGGCATGGGTAACAGCTAGAAATTTAATAATTTTTTTATACGATTAAAAGTAATCAATTTTCTTATTTATCAAGCCAGTGAAATACATGTAAATATTTACAGCAAGCCATTCGAAACCAGCGGCATTTTTTCGATTGAATCCAAAAGTAGGGAAAACCAGTTGAAAAAAGAACTTTAAATGTTTGCTGAGGTTTACCTACAGATATCATCCCATAATATTCAGCCTAAAAAAAATAAATAAAAATAATAAAGCACAAGCATTGTATCAGTACAACTTCTTTTAAGAATCAAACTACTTACATCTCTATATTTCATCAAAATAACTGATAATCTTTGAGAAGAAACTGGATTCTGATGTTTATTAATCTGTTTAACTTCCCCATTAATAGAATAATTCTGGCTATCATGCTTGTGCAAAGGTACCCTAAAGTTCAACTTTTACAATTGTTATTCTATACCATAAAAGAAATAGGAAGTTAAAAAATAAATAAATCTAACTAACCTATAAAGACAAAATGAATTGGAAAACAATAAAATAATAGAAAAAATAAATAAAACTACATCCATTTTAGTTGTTCACAAAGGAAATCATACTGATTTAAGCTTACAGTCTCATTGAAAGATTAAAAAGAAACCTGATAACAATTGATACTTCAATTTATTTAATAACAGTTAAGCCTTTCAGTTAAGTAAATATTGAAACACTTAACTTAAAAAAGATATAATTTCTTTCATGTCCACCTGAAGAGATAAAGTAATTAATATATTACTGAGCAAATATTTGGGGAAAATTAAAATGTTAGTGATTATATCATGATGATTCATTCAATAGTAACAAGTAATATAGTAACAATTTAAATAATAAAAACACTCTTTAGATCACAATAATCCTACTTTATTTTTCCCGCTATGCTAACTTCTCAGCCCTTAGGCCATTTTCAAGAGAAGAAACCCATTTTAAAATAAACTAAAATTCATATGGGCTGAGTTGAATTGCCCATACTTAATTTTTAGTATTACACTACTAACTTATTGTGACAAGGGCAAAGCAGCCCATATGAACTTTAATTTATTTTAAAATAGGTTTCTTCTCTTGAAAATGGCCTATGGGCTGAGAAGTTAGCATAGTGGGAAAAATAAAATAGGATTATTGTGATCTAAGTATTAAGAGTGTTGTTACTTGTTAATTGTTACTGACAAAGTGAAATATAAAATATTTATTTGTTATGATATTAAATTAAAAAAAAAATGGAGATATTTTATTTTTTAACCTTAAACAAGCCATATGAATAGCTATTGTCACTTTTGCAAAAAAAAAAAAAATATATATATATTAAAATAAAAGAAAAGTTAATTGGATTAACATACCATATGTTCCTTAATAGGAACATTGACCCTCTACTGATTAAGCTATTTTATTATATAAATATTTTTTTAAATTTAAGTAACAGAGAGGATATTATATTATCTGACCTTGAGGAGAACTGACGTGTCTGCTTAGACTTTCTTCGTACCTTCAAGGGCCGTTGTTTGGTTTTGTTAATACCAATAGTACTTAAATATATTTTTTTCATATAGCTCCTTTATTTGTTGCTGTACAAAGTGAAACAATTGTAAAAGAAAACTTCATAATTGTTAAAATTGCATCAAATACCGAGTAGGGGTCAGTAATTATGGCATTGTACTCCTATACTTAAGGACCCAAGTTCGAATCTGGCTGTTTTTTATGGATCTCACAATATCCATACGTCATGGATGAAGAAACAAACTGATTTTGTGTCTTGGAGTAATAATATTAAGTTTCCTTATATATAAAACAATAACAGAGAAATGAATTTTAATTTAAGAAAAACAATTATATTTGAAAAAAATATTTATTCACCATTGAATGAAAACTTGGCTTTTAGTGAACTATTTCTAATATCACTAATATGTATAATACATAATAATGCAGCCAACATTTACAAATGCACTTAAATTTAATCAATATAATCAATGGTTAGAAATAAATTCATCGAATATCAATTAATAATTATTATATTCTATAGTTGCAAAATTTTAACAAACTACATGCAAATTAATAAATGCTTGATGCAATAATTAAAATTTAAACAATAGTCATGCTTTGCTTTTGCATTTTTGAAATATAGTTTAAATAAATAAAATAATTTTATACCAACACCAATTAATTAATTAATATAAAACAAAAAGTAATTCAGTAATGAATTATTCAATAAATTAATTACAAACATATCAATTTAATTTAAAAACATAATATAATGTATATAAATTAGTATAACACATTCCAATTACAATCAATATTTTAAATACCAAATTTCTCAAATCACATTTGAGGTTGTGTCAATAAATTAATTCAATATCATAATTTTAAATTTTACTATAAAAGTTAACTTAAATAAATAAATTATGTGAAATAATAACTTATTTCCTATGATAATAAATAAAACATAATATATAATTAATTGACAACTATCTTTTTTATTTATTATAGGATATTTTACTGTTTCCCTTGAGCAAGTACGATGGTCATCTAATAAGAACGTAAATTTATCTACTTAAAATGCTGTTGAGTAAGACCATTTCCATAGAATATGGTACCATCTTTTTTTTTTTTTTTCTCTTTTTCAAGTTCCGAAGTGGGTTATTTTTTTAAACCTGATCTAAAATCTTCTAAGGTATTCCCTCTAAGAAACGATTTTTTCGATGGTACTCTAGGCAATTGAAGATCTCGTTTTACTGGACCTTCATGCAAAAGTGGAGGTAATCTGTAATAAAATCAGTCAAATATATATATATATTGTAATGTTATATATTTGAATATATATTGGAAGTGGGTAAAAAGGGTTTAATAAATTAATGTTCAAGAGTTAAAAAGGCAAGCTCATATAGTTCTACTAGTTCAGGGAAAATAAAATGGCTGCACTGTAGTTTCCCAGAAAGGAAGATCCCAAAAGAGGAGAGGTGTTTGGCTGGGGTGAAGAGGGGATGGGATCCAGGCCCCAATGGGTAAAACCTAGTAATAGTATTATCATCTTGGAAGTTTTTTGGCAGAGAAACTAGTTGTTTGAAATCACAAGAGAGAGGATCTCCCTTAGAGAGGAGCTTCAGTTAAGTAGAAGAAAGTGTCACCATTTTGGAAGATGTACTTAGCAGAACATAGGAAAATGTTAGAAGACAAATGAATTTATTGTAACAAAGGAAGAAACAGTATATATAGAAAAAAGGTTAGCTTGACAATCGATACCTGACTTTATTTTAAAACCAAACAGTGTTTAGTGTAGTTAATGTTAGTCTGTCTGAGTGTTTTGATGTGATTATCAGTAAACCCTACCTTGAGATAAAATAATTATAAAGGTTAGTTTAATAAATTAATACTCTTATAATTTTCTTTATTATTTAATAACCTCTTATTTATTTGGGAAGTATCCCAACGGTATGAAGTGAGCTTCCGAGGTTATATTATTATTATTTGTAAAATATAAGAGAGATATTACAATATATATCAAGTTACTGTTAATCAATACAATATTATATACATTAATAGTATTAATAATTGATTCCGAGAGATGTTGTAATCTTTTTTCAGGTCGCAAAAAGTTGACATAAAAAATGAGATCTTCAGGGACTCTTGCCACTAGTTAGAAATGAAAAATGTATACAAAACTTATTAAAATAATTAATTTTAGCCAATCAATAAGGCAGAGGATGGGATGGCCGAGCACGTTAGGGCGTGGGTCCCAGTGTACCCGATTCTGAACATAAAGTGTCTCCCCACTCAGTACTAGTATCAACAAGGCAACTGTATTAGAGAAATGTTGAATGGAATAAAATTATATAATATATTATTTAATAATACCTATTGAATTGACCAATTCTGATTGAATTGTAATTCTTTTGTGTGAATTACTTTCTTTCACCTGCACATCTCTACTAGGCATTAGTATAACCGAAATTCATTGTTTTTTAATAATTTTATTAATTTACCAGAAGCTTTTTGTAAAATAAAACTATATAAATACAAATATAGGGCTCAGCAAAGTTGAAAATAAAATGTAATAATGTTCCTTTTTGGTCTCATGAAAAGTAGCTGTATTCACTTTCATTTTTTAAATGGGATGGTGGTAATATAGTCAGGGAGCGATGATTTTAATAAATATCAGTAGATATAAACAGACTAATAATAGTACTAGGGGATTCGAAAGAAATATGGTGAGTTTATGCAAAAGATAGAAAGACAGCAAAACAACTGAATTCGGCATCAAGCAACACCAGGGGTACCCAGAAGGGGGTTGCAAAGCATAAGTAGTGCCATGAAAATTTTTCAAAGAGGCATATATTTTTACAGGGTTTTGAATTTTTGAGGGGGCACATTTTTTGGGGGTTTTGTAGGATTTCAATTCAAAGGAACTCTCAAACCAAAAAGAGAGAGGAAAGCAATACAATTTTGTTGGAGGGGAGGAGTCTTGCACCATCTTGCTTAGGCAGGGGAGGGGATGGACATTCCTGAGCAATATTCTGAAGATAAACAATTTTACTGCAGGTTGAAAAAAGATTAAATAACAATTACTAAGTTTTATCGAAATTGGGCAAGTCTTTCTAAAGTGATGATTTTTCATTCAAAGTTTAAAAAAAAAAAAAAAAAAAAAAAGAACTACCTATTTGTGTAACAGATATTTTTCAGCTTAAATTGCAGTTGACAATTTTTCAAAGGAAATAACTATGTTGTTAGCAGCTTATATACGATCTTTGGAGTAACCGAGGGCTATCCACTAGTAATCTTTGTTACAGAGGATAAGTAACCAAATATTTTGTGTCTTATAACTTCCCTTTAACAGAAACGTTTCAAAATAGGATTGTTATGGAAGATATAGAGAGTCACTTTGAATGTCTGTGCATTCTCCAATGAAATGCTATGCTGCAGCTGAAATGTTATTTCTGTCTGATGGAACTGCAAACCTAAATTATTTATATTTAAAGTTTTTTATAATTATATTGTAATGTACATCTTTATTGGAAGTGAGTAAAGAGGGTTTAGTAAATTAATATTGAACAATTAAAAGGCAAGCTAATCTAGTTCTACTAGTGCAGGGAAAAGAAAATGGCTACTCTGTAATTTCCCAAGAAGGAAAATCCCAAAGAGGAGAGGGACAACAGTTGTTTTGGCAAACAGTTATTGTGTGACTGTAATGAAGAGAGGATAGGAGAAAGAATCCTGGATCCAGTGAGTGAAACCCAGTAACAGTATTACCATTTTGGAAGATGTGTTTGGCAGAACTTAGGAAAATTTGTGAAGACAAATGAATTTAGTGCAACAAAGGAAGGAACAGTGTATATAGAAATACTGTTAGCTTGCCAATCCATATTTGACTTTGAGAAGGAGTTAGTCGAGGGTGCGGTCAAATAAATAAAAAATTAAAATATATTAATTATTTTAATTTTTCATTTATTTGACCGCACCCTCGACTAACTCCTTCTCATATTATATCAACGGTCAAACATCTCTACATCATATTTTACTTTATTTTAAAATCAAACAATGTTTAGTATAAATAATAATAGTTTGTCTGGGTTGATCTGATTGTCAGTAACCCACACCTGAGATGAATAAATATATTAATACTTTTATAATTTTGTTTATTATTATACAACCTCTTAACCTCTTACATCCAAATGGTAAGAAGTGAGCTTCCGAGGTTATATTATTATTATTTGTAAAATATAAGAGGGATGTTACAATATATTAATGGATAAAAAGAGATATCTTGTATATGAAAATGTCTACTTCACGATAAAAAAAGAAAAACTGTTTTAAAACTGTCCAAAAATTGTCCAAGACAAATCTTAGACATTGATATATTTCTTGATCTGTTTGAATTTCATAAAACAGAAAGCTAAAACAAAGAGTTAAAATAAAAACTTACTTCATGTTAAGGTAACGATTACAGTTTTCGAACCCAGGTTTAAGGTCTAAAGATTTCATTTCTTTAAGTTTGTTTGGAATGTCCTGAACCTCACCAACTCCACCTATTCCAGCAGTAGGGACCTTCAAAGTTTAATAATGCATTCATTATCCAAATATAAAATCTACAGGAAAAAACACATAGAAATGTTAATCGAATACTGCACTACTACAAATCTAATACAGCTATCGAATATCTATTGACTATTCCTCCACACCAAAAATGTCTAATCAGCAATAGATATAGGTTACTGGCTGCTATCAATGTATTTGATGGTATAACTGACTTTTTATTAGAGGGAAAATATTAGCTACAATAATAAAGCAACTTCCTTATAACATTATCAATAGTTCGGAAGGGTAGTAAGGAATTGGTCGCTTGTTTTGAAAACAATAAATACAAATGAAAGGTCAAATGGATGCAGATGAAGAGTAAAATATTTACAGTACTGAAAAAATTAAATTTCAAACAGTTTTTTAATTGGTGGAAAAAATATATAATTTTGATGAAAAAAAAGATAAATAAATATACCAGATCTGAATTTTATTTATTACAATTTTCTTTTTGAATCATAGTATAATGGATAAAGCACTTTAGGTTCAAATATGAGTAGAAGTATATTTAACTGTAAATTAATAGTCTTATTTGAAAATTCAGATCTTTAAAAATATTTATTAAAGTAAAGATTGTATTAAATTCTATTTTTTATTTATATTTTATGCAATTTGCACCTGCGCGGCAAATTTATCTAGCAAATTTGTTGTGTTTGCACAGTCTTGGTGTTTTTTCTTGATTTGGTTTTTATTGATGTAGTAAGTCTCTTGGCCATTTTCTTCTTAATCTGCGTTGTTCAGGTGACAGGGAGCAGGAGATAGAAAGAACCAGAGGATTGGAGTGATTTTGGGTTGAAGAATGAAATGTAGTGTATTTGTCGTGGATGTAGGATTTTACTGTTGGGGTGTTTAAGTCATTATGTATAGTAGTATTTGAAATGTACCAAGGTGCGTTAACAATTTTTCGTAAAATTTTTTATTGTGCTGTTTGTATTTTGTTTATGTGTGTTTGTTATGCAGAACCCTAAAGTTCTGCTCCATATGCCCATATTGGTCTCAGTAAGGTGTTGTAGATCAGTCTCTTGTTTCATAAGTTAAGTGAAGATCTGTAGACCAGAAGATGGGAAAGTTGGCTATATCGTCTAGTAAGTTCTTGTCTTTTTAATTTCGTATGTATGTTCCAAGTAAGTCTTTTGTCTAAGTAGAGTCCAAGGTACCGTACATAGTTCTTTGAAGGCACAGGATTATTGGCAATCCTCAATTAAATTCTAATTTAAAAAAATAAAACAAACATGTTATAAAAAAATTTACTTTTCCAATTTTTTTCATATTTTTCTGTAAAATTTGAATTAATTCGCCAATGTACCTATTTTACATACTTTTTATGCCATTTGAGTTTACTAAGTTCTCCTTACCAAGTCTACGATTAAATTTCTTTGAGTGACTGATTTTTAGGACTTCGATTTTAATTGTGCTGCAACATCTGCCGACCTGTTAATTTTTTTTTAAACAAAACATCAAAGTGACACTAATAGCAGTCCAAAAGCTGTATCAATCAGTGAGTAGTTTTGATGCAGTGATTCACCACAAAAGTATTCGATAGTTTTACCAAGACTACATAATTCAAGTGACCAGAGTTGGGCAGTAATTAAATTAAGTACATGAGTGTTTAATTTAATCTTCAATTATAAGAGAAAAGCTGAAACATGAGGAAACTAACCCACAATCAGATTTTGAATAAACTCAAGTTAAAACTGAGTACTTTTTTTTCTTGTCACACAATGTTGCCAACATTTTATCCATAAAATAAAATACTACTTGGTATGTATCACCGGTTCATTGCAAAAAGTCATCGAGTGACATTTCAAAACCTCAAATAATTAAGAACTTTGATGAATTTTCCCTTTGAGAAATTGGAAAATTGTGCACTTAGTGTAACCATATATGGTAAATAAAGTCGAAATTTAAAAGAACATATTTGAGAGTTAACCTATATAAAAAATGCACGTAGTGATTTTTTGCAATAAACTGACAGATCCAATATTAATATTAAATTAAAAAAAAAAAATTAAAATGTTAGATAGTTAAAAAGGAAATCAAAAGGTAAAAAAAAAAGGAGACAATTACATTTCAATTTTTTTATTTTATTGGTATTTATTGTTATGTCGAGATTATGACTTATTTTTAACAGAAAACATCTCTTGGCTCAGGTATCTTCAATACATAACAAAAGCAAAAAAAGAATTGAAATAGAATGCGACATTTCTATTTTTAAAAGAATGTGAATTATATTACAATTTCTTTTTTAATTGAAGATAGACGCTATCTAAGATAAGTTTGAGGGTAAGTAAAGGGGGAGAGAGGTGCAAAACATTTTCCTTCCAATTCCCCACTCTTTTGTCTTCTCTACTCATCCATATGTACTTCTAAATTTTTCTTTACAAGTAGAAATTTCTTTTATAACTGTTTTTTTTTTCATTTCTTTTTCTATTTTCTACATTGATTCACGGAAAGATTGGCTGTTTACATTCTGCAATTCATTTGATTCGAGCTAATACAGTACAGTATAAAATAATATATATGTGGACAATTCTCTTTACTTACATTCCGAAGTTCCTCCCCATTATTGAATATCCGAAAACGTAGTATCGGATTCTTTCCTGTTCTATATTTTCCATCTATTTCTTGATTTTTTTTTTATAATCTATTTCTAGGTAAATTTATATCGACAGATCCTAGTAATAACATCGAGTTCTGTGAACAGTAGACCTCGCGAATTCATTTTTTATTTTTCTTAATTTGGTTATTTAACCAACTTTTTCATTGTTTTATTTTATTATTTTTTAAATTAAAATCCCTACCTTTAATATACATTTGTGGGAAATTTGAAGAAAATGGAATAATGCTTTCCCGGTATAAGGTGATTGCTATGGTGAAGAGGGGAAGTGGAATTGGGGAAAAGCTGCACGAGCATTCTTCCCCTACACTCAAATTAGATGCACTATACCTGAGCCATATACATATATATATATATATATATATATATATATATATATATATATATATATATATATATATATATATATAGAGAGAGAGAGAGAGAGAGAGAGAGAGAGAGAGATGGTCAGGGGCGGCAGTCATAACAAACTTAAAATAGGTTTTTATTATTTTTATTGTTTTTTAGGAATGCCACCCTATATCAACCGTTGAGTATCTATTAAAAAAATATAGAAAACCTAATTCTGGTCACCTTGTATAATTAAATATAAATAAAAATGTATTGCTGTAATGGGAAAAGCTGCACTCAATAACATTAGTTTTTCCTTAAGACATGATTTACAACAAAATTCAAACTGACCTAATGTTGTAGCATACTTAATTGCAAGTTTGACAAGCACGCATTATCTATCTTATTGTACAAGCACAGGGAACCTCACTTTAACACCATACAATATGCTTGAACAAGAGCCAATTTGCAATTGGACAATGTTAAACTTGAACAAAGCATTTGCTTTGGTGTTTCAATTCACCGAAATTCAATTCTATCAGAACACTATCTAGCTGTGTTGGACAACTGGGCTGCATAAGACGAGATCTGTCAGCTAGAGAAAAAGAAGTTGATTTCTTATGTGACCAGATTATAGATTTCACCAGAGTAATTCCTACCCATAATTTCCTTATTTTATTCCTATTCACACCACTTAACAATATTCTCCATCATTATTATCTGCCCTTAACTAACTCCTAAACTATGAATTTCTAAGATTCATAAATTAATCAGTATGAAATTCTATATCAAATGAGTATCATATATCAAGCTGTTAGAAAAATATATGCATCAGAATGACACAAACCATTTTATATCATTGGTTTATTGCAATAAGTCACAAAGTACATTTTTAATGGAGCTTAAATTTCAATCTCATTTTTATGGATTTTGACCCTATTCATAAATATAAAAACATATTAAATGCACAAAAATAAAATATTGTTTTATAAACCATGAAAGAGAGAGAAAATTCATTAAAGTATTTAGAAATTTAATTTTATGAAAAGTTGTTTAGTGACTTACTGCAATAAACCCAAGCTATATTAAACATGGTTACCCTAAACACACAATTTCAGAGAGTGGAAATTTATCAAAGTACATAGTGATTTAATGTTATAACATGTTACATAATGAATTTTTGCATTAAATCAATATGCTTGTTATTTCAACTCACACAGCTTCCTAATGGCTTAATATGATTTGTAATGTATGGTACTTATTCGGCAGAGAATACCATGCTCTTTAATTTATAGAAGAGTAAAATTTTCTTTAAAATTTCATAATTTAGGAGTTATTAGTAAAAAATTCAAAAGAAGTAAAAAAAAATTCAACCTCTTTTTACCAGCAAATAGAGAGATTAAAATTGCTCCTAATTTTCAATGACTTACTCAGCCTTCAAAGTTTTAACCCTTTTTTGACCTTGTTACCTGGCCCTATTAGTTAATTTACCAAGTCAATTAACAATATATCCATGTGATCTAGTATTTACCTAAAAATGAACGAAGAGACTGATATGATATGATTATGAGCCCTTTGCCACTCCTGACACCTTTTATTAAACAGAAGAATACACAAATAAGACAAGAAAAACCCTTCATGAAAGAAAAATAGCTACATAACAATATCTCATGACCTGTAAGATCTGATATTTTAATCTACAATTTTACCATTGGCTCTGTATTACATAGCTCCAAACCTGAAAGATTGATGTTTGTACAAGCCAGCATATCCTCCATACATGTATTCAGTTCCGATTGAGCATGAGTGTCCTGTACAAGCTTGCTTGATTACAAAAAAAAAATTTTATGCTTGTCAAGCTTGCAGTTACATTTAAACCACAAACAGTAAGAAACAAATAAAGCTGAACTATCATTGGGACAAACTATTACTGTTCTTACTTGGTAAGTTTTGGAACAAAGCCGCTCTTTGAGTTTCATAAGAGAATTGTTGGATGTCTTCCAGTCACCCGGTCCTGTTCCCAAGTTGAGGCTAGGTGGATCTCTAGGAATTTCCTCCTTCACATTTACTACTTCCTTAGATGTTTTCTTCTGGGCAGGCATTACCTAAAAGAAGGAAGGCAATGATAGCGATACAGTAACTTTTAGTTAACACATAGATAAATAATATATCATAATGCATATAGTAGAAAAACTTGAAGATTAGACATAAATAGTAATAATACATTACAGATTGGGTAGAGGAAAGGGGAAAAAAGTTACTACTTTACATGTGGTCCTCCACTTAGATATAATTATCAAGATGTCATGATCACATTATAACTGGAATTCCAAGAATGGATGAGTGTATCCCAAAAGTAGACAGAGCAGAGCAAACCACCTAGTAAGGCCACGACATCCAATGAAAAAGACCCGCTGGTTTTTTTTCATCTCTTTTGAGCAAGCGGAAGTTGCAAGCAGTTATGTAATTAAGGCACTGCTTCTAACTGAAAAGGATCAGTTGGAAGTTTGTGCAAATTATAATCAAGATATAAAAGGGAAGTTATAGTGGTGGTGAACCATCACCAATTTAATTCCATTAATAGTGAGACCATGGGTTTTGAGACCACCCATCAAGGTGGGACAACACTACTTCAGTAGTGCTTAAAACAAGACCGATTATTATGTACATATTCTAAATTGTAAATTTTATTAAATAAACTTATTATTATTATATTATTAATGATTTTTTGTTTTATTTCTCGATTTTTTTTTTTTTATACTTTATTTATTAATCTTTTTAATACCCTTTAGTTAGAATGTTTTATTCTCAGGACAACAAAACATAATGGGACTTTATTTGGAGAGAAGTTGATTGGGGTTTTTAGTCAATGAAAGAACTAAATAAAAATAAATTATACTTATTTTTGTCCGGAAGTTTGGCCAAAGTTTCAGGCCATCATCAGGGCTGTTCCTTCAAAGGGTGTTGGAGGAATGCACGTAACGACATTGTCATGGGATTTTCGGAATGATCAGATGAAAGAGAGGTTTTTGAAAAAATTGAAGAGGATGGATGGGGAGGTGGGGTGGGTGAAGGTAATTAGAAATAATGTTGCAAATGTAAAAGTACGACAATTCGTGTTGAAAAGGTCATATGTATAGATATATGATAAATTGTGGGGTAATTTTGATAGAGATGCTGCAGGTTGAAAAATTAGGGCATAGACTTAATATATTTAAAACTTTAGAAGGGATATCTATCAATGATATATTGTGTGCCCATTCTTCTTCACCTTCACCTAATGGATAAATTTTATGTTTAGTAGTTATTGATCAAGATTTTTGAATTTGGAAATGAGTGGTTGTTTTTTCTGTGATTTGGTCAAATTAAAAATATTAGAAATACAAATAGAAACATTCATGTCATCTTGATTTATGTTAACACTTAAAAACTGGGTGAGGATAAAATTTTTTAAATTTTTTTAAATGTAATTTAGAAGCATACAAGTGATAGATAGCATATTTATAAATAATTGAAAAAAAAATAACTAACCAAAAGTATGAATAATATTGGAGTGAATTAAGGTAGTTGTACACAATAGGTAAGTGGAGAGGCGGGACCTGGTGAGCCAAATAACTTTTTTTGAATAAAATTTATCTAATGCTCAATAATAATATTTGTTTGGAATAATATTTCTTGACTATTAATAATATTTCTACGATCTTGAACAAAATCTAACATGGATTATTATTTCGAGCAAACATTTGACAATAAATAGTTAATTACATTTAAATAGAAAAAGAGAATAACATCCCTTCATCCGGAAAAAAAAAAAAAAAAGATAAATCTATATCCTAACGTAATGGTTTCATCCACTACGTTGGCATGGAGTGCTTTTCTGATAAAGTAATACTACTGGTGCACAATAACGTGTTGCTTCTCCACACTGACATAGTGTGTTTCTGACAACCCTCTGAGACATATGAAAAGATGGCCAGAGATCTCCTAAATTAATCTAATCATTGAAGTGTTACATTCTTCAAAGTTCCCATCATGTATTATATTCTTATAAGAAATTTACTTGTTGTATTTAATTATACAGTAGTAAATTTCAATAAATGAAGACAAAAAAAAAAAAAAAAAACTCTTGCTCTTAAATATTTTTCTACCAGAAAAAAATATGACAAATTGTATATAATGGGAATTTGATCAACTTATGCAATATAAATTTTAAAATGTAATGCATCCATTTAAGATACAAGAGGGATTTCATAGAATTATATTTAAGTGAACATAAATATAATCAATAAAGCTAAAAAAATCTCTGGTGAATATATATAAAATACTTTTGTCACTTTTGGTTTCTTTCTCTTTTCATTAGTTAAAAATGACAACAAAGCAGGATTTCTCCAAGACGTTTTGTTCAAAGAACCAGAACCTATAGTAGTCCATGAAAAGTTCGAGCTGATACCAGAATTGTGCTCTCTAAAAAAAAAAAAAAGAATAAAAAAATATTTTAAAAACTTACTGTTGTAACAATGATTAAGTTTAAAATGAACTAGTCACAATGGTTAATGAATTAAACATCTTGTACACTAATTAAATATTAAATAGAACCATAGTAGTAATATTATAAAATTTAATTATTGTTTTCTTTTGAAATTATTGGGAACTTGTATTGTTTCACAATATAACAAAATTTTATGCTTATTACAATACTCGGAAACATACATATTTATAAAAAAAAATATTTCTTAATCTATACCTTAAGTCGTCGAAGTACTTGTGTTCTACAAGTCTACGAATATTGATTCTAGACTCTGGATCATAAACGATCATTTGTTTCAAGACTTCCCTGCCCATATCCGATATAAAAGGAATCAGAGGATTAAGACCAGTCCCTTGTTTAGTAGGGAAATTGACATTACAATTCCTCGGTTTGCTAAAACATAGTATCCGTAGATTGAGAATATGATTATAGTGAGATCAGATATAAGTTAATATACTAACAAAAGATATATCATCATACATGAAGTGGTAAAACATTAACCAATTAATAATTAACTCTTTGATCTTAGCTTAGGAGCCTAAAGGATTTTGATTTAATATATATTAATTATAATTTGCATCATCATATTTGAGTTTTTAATATCACCTCTTTGATCAATATATCTGAAATGGTAGTCCATAAATATCAGTTACATAGTTCAACTTTTGGTCTTAAAACCCTACAACAAACTACAAATAGGGTGGCCACCAGACAGTTAAAGTAAAATTCTCTGACATTTTTCTATTTAATGATAGTTTTCCCGGAGCAATATGTCTTGGGAGACAATCTATAATTTATAACTAAATTTATTTATTATACATGAAAAAAAATTGAATACAAAATGACTTCAGTAAAAAAAAATAATATGAGTCGTTTAAATAACAAATACAATGTTTTAGAGGAACCAATTTTTAATTTAGGAAACTAACCTTTTAGTCATTTATTTTTATCGCCTTTATTTTATTTTCATAAACTGAGAGGAGATAAAAGTTGGTACTTGACATATATAGCTCTGATTTTCTTTATTATAAAATCAACTGAGCTGAGGGGATTCTAATATTAATTTAGTTCCTTCTAAGTAATTTAGTTTCTTTATTACTATAAACAGTATAATAATTATCCATATCTTCAGCACCATGTTAAAGCAACAAATGTGCGATGTTAAACAGGCTCGCAATTTTACTTAAACATGATGGTGATAATATGACACCAACAGTGACATTTCTGGTTAATAAATAAGCTTTTAAGGAGCACAACGGATCGAAGAATGAGAGCTTGTCAGCCAGATCTTAGATATATAAAGATTTATAAGAAATAGTAGCACATCAAAAGTTTGAATAATTTACAATACCTTCCTTTGATTCATTTGATCAACTTAATAGCAGAAGGAAGGTAAAAATAAATTATGAAATGTTTATGACTAAAGAAAAGCTGTAAGTTTTAACACACTTTACTTAATTAACACATTTCACTGAAAATACTGAAACCTTAATGAAGATTAGGAAAAACAAAAGCAGATTTAGATTAAGTAACTATTGTTGGAATTAAAAGATAAAAACATTACAGGTAAATTAAAAGAAAATTTGTTTGTTTAAAAATGAGATAGCTGTATAGGGACTATTATTTTGACCAGCTGATGCAAAAAATCGATCAAAAACATTGATCTGAATCAAAGAACATACTCTATACTCAGATTTATCGACCATCATCATCCATAAATCCCTAGTATGCATGTCACATTGCCTCAAAAAATAATTTATCTTAAAATATAAAATAACAATTACTAAGTAAACAATTGCAATCAATAACAAAACTATGGTTTTAATATGAATAAACTGAATCTTATATAATGTCATGTAAATAACTGAAAGAACTTATTTATTAAAGGAAAAAAAATCTTACTGTCTTTTGAATTTCGATAAAAGCCTAGGATTTGGAGTTCCTAGGACGCTATGGATTTTGGCAATTTGATCAACTTCACTACTCCCTGGGAAAAGAGGCTTCAACCTGCAAAGTAATCACAACAATCTCTTTTAATCCAAAAAATCAAATTTATAAGATCCATGCTAAACAGCTATTATGACACTTTTCTTATTTTAACTTATATCAACTAATAATAGGTTTGTTTACTTAATAATTACTTAAATAATTTAATTTTTTTTAAAAGAAGTATTAGCACATTAAAGAAAATTATAATTAGCTTAATATACTTTCTCACAATATCGATTCCTATTATATTAATACTATAATAAACAAATATTTTCGTTATTAAAATTACAGTTTCATATTTACAGCCCTGGTAGTACATAGTAAATAAAAAATGTATGAAAATTCAAATTGTAATAAAACAAGTAATTATAGTAACTTATAATTAATTATTTACTCAAGTTTCTATAAAATGATTAATGATCTTTAAGATGATATGATTGTATTTAAATGAATCTAATTTATTTATAAGTAAATTATACTATTATCGAATTTACTCAGTGGATATAGTTAGTAACAAAAACTAGATAAATAAGATTATTTATTTAGATATCTTTTAATTACTGACCACACCTCTCCCCCTCTCCCCTCCCAACTTCTTTTAGAATCAGTTCTATATTTAACAATACCTCTAACATTATAAATTATTCTATAAAAGTAGAATTTTTTGCTAACTTCAGCTCACGCTTTCTATACAACATACTCGCCTAGTTACGATGTAATCATATGATACAGGACTTTTTTTCAATCTTCGTTACTAATTGATCATTTGTATAGTCTATCAAACCAGATTGATGTAATGGAAAATCATTGTCAACAAAAGCCAATTTTTACCAACTTCTAGATATTGATTTCTCTGAAGATATATAATTATTTTTATTATTTATTAGATGTTACTTGATGATTTGTTTACAAATATATGTCTTTTCACCATTACAATTTAATTTAACCTGATAACGAGTCTCAAGTTTATAAAAAGGATAACTAAAATGCACATAATAACTTGAATTAAACACATACATTTTTTAAGAAGTAATTAATTTTTGTAGTATTATAATTTTACATTTTTGATAAAATAAAGAATATGGCTTTAATAATATTTACACTCAAAACTCAATGTAACTACATACAAAGTTTAAAAATATATAGATAGAACTGGGTTCTATGGAAAAATGTTAATAAATCTTTGATATAAAATAAAATACTCTGTGTTCTAGCATATACTTATCGGATTTAGATAATTTATGATTTCTTTAATTTCGTAGAGAATTCGAATAGTTTTTAAATGAATGCCTATAATTTAATAGAATAAATGTAATTTTTGAGCTATTCGAAAACAATTGTTACTTTTAGGATTTTTAAATAATTTTTTTTTAACCACGTAGAGCACTGATTTTTTCAAACCCGACCTTACTCCAAATCTCAGCATAAGGGGAAAGTTAAAATTTCTGCTTCGAAATATTGATCAATAAATAAATCAGTTAGCAATTGATGCATTTTCTTTAAATATTCAGAGATTATCATGATATAAATATAGTGGAAAATTAACCTATATTTCAACAAAAAAAAGTAGATATACTATTATACTTATTCTGGAATACATTTAACTTTTTCAAACTAACAATATTGCCAAATACTGTTAATAAGAATAATATACATATTGATACGTGTAACTATTTACGTGAGGAGCTCAAAGAACACACATCCAATGGCCCAGACATCCATTTTAGGACCATAAAAACCAGTAGTAAGAAGGCATTCAGGGGATCGATACCATCTTGTTGAAATATATTCTGTATAGGGTTGCTTGGTGTATATGCCCTTGATGGAACCAAGGTCTGATATTTTTATGACATCTCCCTAAAAATAAAAGATTTATAGATTACTATTCCAGTCAAATAAGGATTCAATCTCTGAATTGATTCCTTAAACTGTGGAAGAAAAATGCAGAAAAGCGAACGAGAGCAGGTGGTATATGTTCTGAATTTTATACACATATGCTATACCAATGAACATAATTAATGGTACAGAAAAATACTTACTTTGATCAATATATTTTCGGGCTTGATATCACGGTGAAAGATCCCATGATGATGGATATGATCTATACCTTTAACAATTTGGAAAAGGTAATGTTTGGCTTTAGTTTCAGGAATGCATCTAAAACAAGAATTATAATTAATGTAGCTCTTTATAAAATTTTATTTCAAGTTCTTGGGTTCAATAAATTTTAATCTTTGGAGAGTTGAATTAAATTGAAGTTGATATAAAAATTGAAGTTTCATAAGCACTTTTCACTGATCTTTATACAAATTTAATTACATACACTATACAGTGTATTATATTTATGTTTAATTAAAACAAAAATTGATTTTTTTTTTTGTAACCCTGTGTTGCCTTTTAGTCTACACGGGGTTTTTCACGGGCTGGAGGAGAGGATGGGGGAATTATTCCGACTTAAAAAGTCCCACCGGGCACTGGGATTTAAACTTCTAATTATTTTTTATATCAAACTTCTGTTATCAGGATAGTGGGCACATGCGTTAGTCTACTCAGCTACTATGCTCCCCTCCCTCCATCCCGAAACAAAAATTGATTGTCATTTATCATATTAAGACATATAAAATACATTTTTAAAGTACTTAGGTATTATGGTATAAAAAAAATGTTTCATCCCTAATGACAGTAAATAGGATTTAAATAATACAATTAATATATGTTTAAATTTAAAATTATTACTTTTTTCTGCTTCTAATTAAATCATACAGACTCATGTCCATTAATTCAAAAACCAGAGTAACTTTCCCCGTTTCTTTATCACTGAAACAAAAGAAAAGAAGAAAATATATTGAATGTCTAAAGACTATATCCCAAGAAAAAATTATTAAAAATAGATTTCAGACATAAAAAGTTATAAATCAAGTAAAGAATTAAAACAGTTTCACCTACAAATGTGACTCAATCATGTGTAAAATGTTTGGATGCCTTGTCAGCTTGCGCATTGCAATTAATTCTGGCATCTCCTCTGCTTGTGCAGCACTAATAACAAAATTGAATCAATTAGATAAAGGAGACAGATTTTAAAAATACAACAAATTATTTCTATAACAAACAATTACCTCCGAAAACTTCTTTTTAACTGCTTTGCGGCTATACATATTCCGGAATGTCTGTCTATACATTTTAAAACTTCTGAAAATGATCCTTCTCCGATTTTGCATTGTACTCGATATTCTAAACATTCATTCATATTAGTTACACTTTTTAGTTTTTTAATTTATAAAATATTAGGTTTATTTCAGTAAACAAATGAAATCTCATATAAACAATAATTTTTAATAAATAGAAATAATATATCAAGTAAGTTTATCTGAGTTAAAAAAAATAATTTATTATACTTTTTAGTATATTACTTCTATTATTCTTTGAACTAGGCTCATACAATATAAAGCAGCAGTAAAATAAAAATCATAACTAGCTATTCAAAATAAATTAAGATGTAATTAAAAAATAAAAAGACAACTGAACTGCTTAACTCTCTATAACCATCTAGTGGTGTTGATAAGAAAGAACAAAAGATGATATTAAGTTATATAGTATGGCAATAACTTTAAATTTTTAAACAAAAAAAGAATTATGGAATGGAAGTTTGAGGAGATTTAAACATTTATTTCTCATAGAACACTGGGGTAAGTAATGATAAACATTGTTTCGACTTAATAAAAAATAATAGAAGTAGAGAGCTCTATGGTTCACATCCTTGAATATTAGCTACTGCATTTTTCTTTTTTTTTTTTATAGGTACCTAAAGTAAAGTTTAAAGGTAATTTAGGCATTTCTCAATTACAAATCAAAATCTATTAATTAAATACAATCAAGGGAAGCAATTTGACACCTAAAGGACTTGCTTTTTATCAGGCATCATCTTTTTTATAAAATTACTAAAGTGTAAAAGAATTACTATGTTCAATTCTCACATGTACAGGAATTTAAAAAAAAAATATCCAAATAACATATTTCACTAACACCACAAAAAAAAAAAAAAAAATTATAAAAGTTTTTCATAAAAATAATACATAGTAGTAAAGCAACAAAAATAGAAGTACAAAAATAATGTGTTATGTTTATGTCTCACACTACAAATATTCAATGAAAGTTGAAGTTTAATGTTAATGATATAAACACTTTAAAAATATTTAAAAAATCATATGAATTGTTATTAGGAAACTGACATGATCACCTTAACAATGAATTGAAAAATATATACATCAAAGGTTGAAAATAATAAGTTTTTACAAGCAGGATGTAATGATTGATTAATAATATTTGTTTTAAAATCACAGAAAAGGTGTTAAAAATAAATAATACAAATTATTAAAAGAATGATACTTGCAAACTAAGTTTTAACTTCTTATATTTTAGAAGTATGAAACATTGATTTTCACAAAATAATAAATGAAGAATCTGAAGAAGCTATACATACTAGTTCTAAAATTAGAGAGCATTATACTGGCTCAAGGATTGGTGAATAATATTGCTCACATAATGATATTTTAACAAATATACAAAAATTTCCATGATAAGGTTACATTCAAAATAAATCAAGTTTATACCATCTGAAAAAAGATCTAATTTGATGCATGGTTTCAATTCCATATGGTGCTTATTAGCATTAGGGCTCTTCAACCAAACCATGATTGTGAATAAAGTGCACAAACTGCACAAAAACAAATCAAAAGTTCAAATTCCATTTTCGCCGAGTCCAGGATGGGACCTTCTTAATAAATATTAAAGGTTTTCAAAATCCAATTAATTCTTAGAACATGAAATATTAAAACTTATTGTTAAAATTATTATATTCTAGATTAAAAGAATAGTGCCATTTCCGCAATTTGTTATTTCAAATGAACAGTTTATAATAAGCAGTTATTGGGCATTTTTTAAATTTGTCTTTTGTTTTAATAATAGTTTCATTCGTTTTAAAAATTTTCATATAAATAGGATAGTAGTAATTTTGAGTTAATTAAGATAATAAATGAAAATACAGAAGATTGAACGGCGGGTTATTTAAATACTGTAATTGTAACCAAGTATTACCTTCCAAACATTGTTTATATTTTCGATGTCTTAATTAAGTACATTAGTTAACTTAATGACACTTTTTAAGATCTTTGATGGAACAGAATCAATCTACAGAGAGAATTAAAGTTAAACTAAAAAGCCCCAATCCATTGTTTGAAAAGTGGTTGTTAAAATGGCATGAAGAAGAAGTTGATGCAGGAAAGATTGAAACAACTTATAGTAAGGTAAATATACTCATTGTTTTATTTTTTTCCGTATATTGGATTTTTATACTAGATTAAAGAGCAATATTATATCTGTAGTCAAAAATAATAAGTGTGTACTTGTTCACAAGTGTCATGCCTGGTTGATTAGTGGGTCAAGATCATATTTGATCATCCTGTTCAAACACGCCCAAATGTAACAGAGTTAGCCCACAGATATAAAGAAGTATTTGATTTCCATTATGCTTTAACACCAGTTACATGATTGAGAGAGTAGTGCAGGGATCTCTTGGAGTCCTGCTTTTCCCTCTATAGTTGGAGGGGCAAGCCTGGGTTGGGGTTCCCTACCTGATTGTAAATATTGGATATAGGTATGCCTGTTTTTTTTTAATGTTTTATAATTTATTAATCTTTAAGTTATATTATTATTTATTGTTGTGAGTTGATGGTTGACTGTCGTGAATAATGAAGAGAAGGATGGTTGGGGTTATCAGTCAGAAATAAAAAGACTAAAATACATTACAATATTTATTTTATAGGTATATAAGTAAAAATAGTTTTTTCTTCACAGTCATTTATTCTCCCATTTTTCCCCCCACTCAATTGTATCATTAAATATAATGTTTCGGTCCACGAAACGTCAACGTAACGATCCACTTATATCCCATCTTCAGACAGTATCTTGCATCATCTTAATTCTCCATAAGACTTGTCATGTTAATAAAATGTTTTATTTTTTGTCTTATTGCTGGTAATCTTTTTAAGTCTCCTCTAGGGAGAGTCTACTGATTCAGTATCTCCAGGCTATCTGAACTCCCGCAATCAACATACGTAAGGAGACCACATTTCGCAGCCAAAGATATTCATGGTCTGTAGTGCCAACCCAAAAAAAAAAAAAAATATATATATATATATATATAAATAATATATATATATATATATATATATATATATATATATATATATATATATATATATATATATATATATATATATATATATATATATATATATATATATATATATATGTATTGGTATGATTATTAGTTTACATCAATAGGCCATAAACATAATTGCAATGAAAAAGTAAGAAAGAATAGCATGTTTTAATGAATATGAATATAAGAAAAAAGATGTTCTTACATATAAGAGAAAGATTGATTATTAAGGGAATGGAGAGATAATTTATGTTTAAATGATGGTTATTCCATTACTATGCATTTTTTGTTCCATAGCTCTCTTTTCTTTTAATTGTTTAGGCACTTGAATCATTAAGAAAGTTTCCATTGGTACTGAACAGTGGTTTTGAATGTATTATATTAGAACACTTCGATAAACAACTTTGTCTAAAACTTACCCATCAACTAAATGAATATGAAGCTTCCAGTAAGTATAATTTAAATGATTATTTTCATTATCTATCATTTATGACTAAATAATTAATGTATTTTTGTGTTTTGAAATAGATGGCAAAAAGTTTAGTGAAGGAACAGATGTTCAGGATATGTCAAATGGTCTTAGAGAAAGTGAAAGTAGTTGTGATGTCAGAAAGGAAGATACAAATGATCTCACTTCTCCTGAAAGATCCTTAAAAAATAAGGAAAATGGAAAGGAACAAAAGGTAAGAAATATGTACAAAAGAGGGTTTTGATTGAAGACCTATTTGGGTTTATGAATTTGAAACTTCCATATTAAGATAAATTTTCATTGATTCTACCAATCATAATGGCTGGAAGTAATTGCTCCGCTGAGGGCATCTGTTGTTTTTCTTGAAGTAAATAGGCCATATTTTATTGGCTGCCTAGTTGCTGGTTATTTCACTTCCTGATAGTTCCTACATTTTCTTTGCATTTTTTGTCATGTCATTCTAAATTATAAAAAATATTGTTAAAATAAAAATAGAAATAATATATATATATATATATATATATATATATATATATATATATATATATATATATATATATTTAGTCAACCAATTTTATAGAATTGAAATAACAACAGTTTCATTGTATTTTAAATCATATACTAATCTTTTGGATACGTATATAAATTCATTTAACATTAAATAAATTAAGTAATAAAAAAAAATTCATAAGAAAATACTTACATTCTTCTCTTCTTCTTTTACCTTTATTAGTGTAGGGTAGTGTTTAAACAGGATTTTCACTCTCCCCTATTTCTTACCATTTTATTTATTTTATCTATTTATCTTGTGATTTTATTACTGTTAATTGTATGATAATAGCTGTGATCTACTAAATTTTGATTATACCTGCCTGTTTCATACAGATGATGAGTGCATGAACATGTGTGCCTGATAGACGGAATAAAATCCAAAATCATGTGAAGTACAGAATAATCAATCTATAAAAAAAATTATGATGAAGTATGTCTTCAGTTTGATAGCATTTTACTTACTAAGTTTTTTACAGACAATATGCTTTAAACTATTTAAAGAAAAATTACATTACTGTACAATAATCAATATTTTTAGTATTTTCTTCCCATTTTACAATTGTATCCTGGCTTTATCCATTGATTGATCTTTATAAGAAAACAGTAATTCCTTAACTCGATATAATTAAAACAACATATGCAATGGCCTCTCCTGTTTCTGAGAATCTCTCATTTTCATTAAGTAATTACTCAAAATTCAGTATGTAGTGGTTAGTTAGGAGTCATCAAGAATGCAAGAGTTATGAGTAAATCTTTCAAGATTGAGTTAGAGGCAACCAAAAATCTGTTAAGTTTTTTTTTTTTTATATTATGTTAAAATATATGTTTATACAATACCAAATATAGAATATATACATATAATGTTCTTCTGTTTCAGAAAAAGATAAAGAAACGTATATATATACCAATGAAAAGATCTGCTGCTTATGGAATTTTACTGAGCCTTTTATTGAAAGAAAATGAACCCAACTATATAGGTGTGTTTCTGATTTTAGTTTTCTTATTTAAAAAAATATATTTTTTTTCTTTACAGTTTGAAGTCATTTATCAGACCTAGGTTTTAGGTTTTTCAACTAAGGCTGAAGTTATTGCAGCAGCTCAACGGCACACTGATGTATCAATGAAAAAAGCTGTTTCTGGTGGTTTTTATACCGGATGGTCCTCGATGTCCCAACTGGTTTCTAAAGGCCTTGTTGAAAAATTCAGCAATCCAGCTAAGTAATTATTATTTTATTTTATGTGTTTGTGACCTTTAGACTTGGAATAATTGACATTTGATCCCTTCATTCGTTGAGACTTAGCTGTTTAGCATCTTTTTATGCAAGAGCTGAATTGAAACGGCCAATCTGGAACTGAATAATTTTGGATCATTTATTATTTTAGATCACTTAGGTCTCTTTCATATTAGTTATTTTAAATTAAAAAAAATATTGTAGGTATAAACTAACTGAAGAAGGCAGAATGCTTGCAATTAGACTAAAAAATGATTGTTCTATCTTCACTGATGAGCAACCAAAAGATCCGATTTTATCTCTTGAATCTGCCTCAGAACTGATTGCTCCTCATAAACCAAGAGGTAGAAAAAACAAGGTATTGTCACATCTAATTGTTTTCATTGTTTAATGATCTGATACATCTTTTATTATTTAATTTAATTGTATATTCATTTTTCTTTTAGATTATAAATTTTGAAAGTACTTCTTCTCAAAGCTATGATGTAATTGCTTCTTTACAAACTGAAAATAAATCTGCTAGTAGTTCTCAGAATCATGAGTTTTCAGAAGGGGCTTCAAACAGCCAAAAGCTTTCAGATAACCTTTCCCAAAATAATAAAGTCATAGAAGGATGTGATTTTGAAGAGAACCAAGACTTACCTGGAACTTTGTCTTCTCAAAGTCAAGAATTTGAAACTCAGGAAATGATTTTTCTCCCTGATAATTTTGATATCATACTTTTAGTCGATAATCAAGAAACTGAAGGGTAATTTAAATTTTCTATATACTTCCATATTGTCTTGATATTATTTCATTACAACTATCTGTACCATAAAAGTACCCACCTATAAACAAGAAATATAATTCAAAACTACTTATATATTCAGGGCAAGTAAATATTATAATAAAAAATTCATTATTATTTGTGTTTTACAGAAAGGAGAAAAAAGATGAATCTGAAATTTTAGTTTTACTGGAGAGCTTAAATATAAAATTTGAGGTTAGAGGCCTCAAGGTAGGAGATTACCTTTGGGTCGCCAGGGATTGTATTGGAAGAGAAATGGTACTGCCATACATAATTGAAAGGAAACGTTTTGATGACTTATCCCGTAGTATAAAAGATGGAAGATTTCATGAACAAAAAGTAATTTAATACAGTTTACTTTTTAAAAAACAACCTGTACCTCTACAACCCATGAAGGGTCTTGGGTTCAGTACTATTTAGGGAAAGCACTGTTTCTTGGGTTACGGTTTGTGTAAGAAGATAATTTGACCAAGATCTCATTCAACTGCCAGGTTTTCCCCTTAATCAATTATTTTAATTAAGGATACCCACTTTATAGAGGCTGGGTGTGCCTCTATAAAGCCTAGGAGGGTCTACCTACCCAGGGTCACCTCACGGCCAATGAAACAGAATATATAATTTTTCTGCCATGAGCCGGTTTTTGAACCTGGGACCTTTAGCATTAGAAGCTCAGTACCTTACCACTGAGCCACCTCACTCCCCTATACTTTTTAAAGATTTTTTTAAAAATCTTTTCATTATTATTATATATCCCGTAGTTAAAAGTATTAGAAGTAATTTAAATACTGTAATGTAATGTTTAAACTAAATGATAATATAAACACTGATTATGGTTGTCTAATTGTAATAAATAATTATATACTATAAGGTAAACTGCAGCTAATAATTAGAGAAATTAATTTATTGATAATCACTATGAGTACATTATCTCATGTGAAATATATTCATATAACTAAGAGTTCAGTTAATTTTGTTAAATAAGAAGCTATAACAAAAAAATCACTTTGTTTTAGTAACTACCAATTGTAGTATAGTAAGCAAGACAAAATTTTCCTTTTGTTCTATCAACCGCTGATATTACTTACCCTAATGGCAGCTTCCCTGAACTAACCGGAGTAGAATTTTCAAGATTTATTTCTCAAGACCACCGGAAAATAAATATCAACTTACACAGGTAGAAATCGGAATCCTAATATACCGAACTGGGGACTTTGGAACCCTCACCCCAATCGTCTTAGCCATGACATTCTCAAAAATCTATGATCGTAGCATATATTCTATATTTATTATTGAAGGAATTCTTAATGTGTATTTCTTTATGTTTTTTCCAGTTTCGTCTAAAATTGTGTGGCTTGCAAAATAAGATATATCTGGTCGAAAGTCATGGCTTTGAACACACTCAAGCTACGGAATACCTTTACCAAGCTATTACAAATACTATGGTGAGAATTAAGTAGAATTTTTTTTTTTTTTGCTATATTGAGAATTAATGTTCTTAAATTATTAAATTTTATCTGTAAATTCTATGTCTGTGTTATTATAACTATTGTTTCAACTTATTATTATTACTTTCGGGTAGAAATTAAATTATTAAATAAAATGTTTTGAAGTACCTATTAACATTAATGTGATATTTCATTTATTTTGTCTCAATTTCAGGTTTGTGATAAGTTCACTGTGAGATTTTCTAAAAATCTAAAAGATACGGCTAGATATCTAGCAACTGTTACAAAAATTCTCAAAAATTTATTCCAGGTAATTAAATTATTATTTATCTACTAAAATGAGTGTGTACAATTTTAGGTATAGTTTCCATTTATACTTTTAAATCTCACAACAGTTTTCTTTAATGAGCGTTTTTACCGCTTATGCAATACAATCTCATTGATTAGGCCAGGTAATCGTTGGTATGCCCAAAATTTTTGGATTAGAGGATGTTTATTAACAAACAAAAGTAAAATGAAAAATTCATAAAGAGACTTTCCAAAGTACTTAATATTTCCCTTAAAATTGGTCATAGGAATTTCTAATCTATAATAAAAATCTCTATTATTACATGAAGAAAATATTTTCAACAATGCATTAATGTACTCTATATAATTTTTAAAACAAGAAAAGATTATACCATACTAAATAAAAATTTTAAATATGTGCATTCCTATACTTGTTTGAATTACAATAAATAACTAGAAGAAATGTGCACAAAAGTCATCCTTTTTCATAACTTTGTATGAAATGTAAAACATCTTTATCTTTTCTGTATGTATTTAGCCAGGAATAGTTTAGTATCAGTTTTTCTCTAGTATGAGCCAAACAGTTTCACTCTAGCATGATTGTAGTTAACTTGTGAAAACACTCATTAAAGTTTTTTTTCCACTTAAATTATTCATTACTCTTGAAGAATGATTTAATGCTTGGAACTCAATATTGCCATCCTTCATTTTGTTTCAAAATCGTAAACAAATAGAGATTTCATATATTATTCTATTCTATATGATGAGTTAAAAAACACTGATCTGTATACAATTACCATATATTTAAAATAACATTAGGGACTTTTATTATTGTAATTTGGGTAATTTTTATTGTATTTTTTTATTTACTTTTTTTTCTCATTAGAGCAAAACACTTTTCTCTTGTAAAAAGGATTCAGTTTCTGAAACCATTGATTTGAAGGATGATGTTGTATCGTTACTTTCCTACCAAGAATTTTCTCGAGATATGGAAAAAACAAAAGTAAGTTAAATTATAAGATATCTTTATATTTTTTAACATGTTTAGTATATTAGGTTCTATTTGTTACTTATTTAATTGTTAATGAAGTTTTATTTAGTTGAATGGAGTAGAGCGTTTTTATTTGATGCTAAAATATACAGCTAAAATATTTCTTATTTTATGAGTTTGAAAAGTAATTAGTTCTGAATTCAGTAGATTTCCAGTAATTTCAAACTTTTATAAGTGCCATGATATCAGTTTCTTAAAAATCCAACTGAAAAACTTATAGCAGAAGTATGAACAAAGCTTTCAACGTCACGGTAAAAATGATGAGGCATTTGAAAATTCATAATGAAATCTGTTTAGGATTCTGATGTTAACTTTCATAATTATTAAGTTTAATTTAAAAATATCACATATTTTGAATAATTTTGTTCTTACTCCCTGGCTGCTTTAACATTCGGTGACTTGATCTTTATGAAGGATTGTATGTTAGTAGTTCAGACTCCATGGTATCTACCAATTGAAACATTCAGGAATTTATAGGGTAGCGAATTCAATTTTGCCAAAGTTGAGAAAGTCTACATTAGTTTTAATCTTCCAATTTTCATTTCCTTACTCTCTGGCTCTACTGGACTTTGTGACCATCGGCCTTTCAGACGATATCCCTCCATTCGTTCCAGTCACTGGCAGCGCTCCTCCAATTCACGACACCTAAGCATCTCTAGCCACCTCATCCTTCCAGCTTCTCCTCGGTCTACCTATTTTTTCCAATGATTGCCATGCCTAACATCTTCTTCTGAACCCTCTCATCGTTCATTCTGGCAACATGACATGCCCATCACAGCTTATCTGCTTTTATATAATTAACTAAATTTTGTTTTTTCATAAAGCTGAAATTTCTGTATTGCTCTTGATCCTCCACTTCTTATCAATCTGTATATCCTTCTTATAATTCTTATCTCAAAAACTCTCAGTTTTTGACAGTTTGTCGATAGTAGGCACTAGGTTTCCGACCCGTAAGTGACAATCGGCTTGATCAGAGTATTATATATCTTTGGTTTGTTCTTCCTAGAAAGAATCTTTGATTTGTGGAGTTTCAAGGTCGTATAATATGCCCTATTATTTTCAATTTTCATATTCTGTGGTAAGACTAATGTTGGCTGTTAATGAATGAAGTCTCTTGACTTCTTTTAAGATATTGTAGCTGAACAAGAAATAGATATCTACTGCTTAGCTCTTTCACTCAGGAGTTATCTTTTCCTTTGTCTATAACTATTTTTCATTTTTCTTGATTCCATTGTTTGTTGCCCAATAGTGTGATGGGCAATATAGGAATAACATATGTGAGATAACCTATACATTCAAAAGTTGTATTCAGATATTTTCTAATGATCCACATGTGAAAGAAAAGAAGTATAACACGATTATGTAATCAATCAAAGGTAAAAAAAGTTTGTTTCTTTTAAATTACTAAAAGAGGATAGCAAGTCCAAGAAGATTACTTGATGAAATAAAAGAACTTGAAGCAAAACAAAATATACATTTTCGAATAAAAACAAAATTCAAATTGAATTTTCTTTTTTCCTTTTTCTCTCCTCCATACTTGTTAGTTATAATTTGAAAAGGTGAATAATTTTTTTTTTAAATAAATAAAAAAGGTGGTTGTTACTATGCTGAAAAGTATCTATGACCTTGGTTTCTCAAGTCACTGACATAACTCTGAAAACATCCACAAGGTCAAATTAGCTGTTCTGAGTAGGCAGCTCCCCTACTCTCTCATATATAAGTTTACTTATGAACCTCTTCAAAAATGGCCATTAATTATATTAATCTATTGTCAAGCCATAATTAAATATTATTTAAACATCTTATTTCCCGGATGAAGTCATTGAGTGTGGAATGATTTTAGTGTAACAATGCCAGTTGAAATTTGTCTGTTTTTTCTTTTGTTATTCATTTATTACTCATGTTGATGCTTTTTCACTTTTAACAAAATTATTGTAGATGATTTTTTGAAACAGGAATTGACTGCTAGAGAAGACTTTGCGTTACAATTAGTCCAACTAAAAGGCATGTCAAGCGATAAGGCATGGGCGATAACTGAAGTTTATCCTACACCAAAAACCCTCATTGAAGGTTTCTTATATAGTGATGCTGAAAACGTCATATCTGAGCTTAGGAGTGGCTTGATGAAAAACAAAATTGGACCTCAGATAGCATCAGTATTACGAACTTTTTACACTTCAAAAGAGTTCACTGGTTGAAATTAGAAGTTATTTTTATTTTTTAGACTGCATCATGGTTTCATTGGTTTTTTTTTTAAAACGTTAAAGTACTTTAATATTTCTTTTCTACATATTTGATCACTGTTTATAAATTAGTTTTATTGTCATGTTATTCATGATTTGGTGTTGTAATAATTAAAAGTCGGTTGTGATTTTATTAATTTTAATTTAATCAACATAATTTAAAAATTCAATCTATCTGTTATTATATTATATGAATGTATTTTATGAAATTTAAGTATCAATAACTGTAATAAATTGATTATAATATTTTCTTTGTTTTTAATAATAAATATTTGTATTTTTATTTGTTTTATATTTAAATCTTATACAGTTTTTATTTTGTCACCTTGTACACGGAAACAATTATACTAAATACAAAAATGTTGATGAAAGCTGGTAAAGACCTGTGGCTTGAAATAAAATACAGATAAAATAAAATATATGGTTAGCTCCAAAAACAGCGACAATTTCGGTGATATTGATATAGAAGGGAGTGTGTTTGAACAAGTAGAGAATTTTAGGTATCTAGGGTCTACGATAACTAATAAAAACAAAATTGAAGAGAAGATTAATCTTAGGTTGAAAGTGGGAAATGCTAGTTATTTTTCTTCGTCAAAACTACATTGCTCATGCTTCCTGTCCTGAAACTTAAAAATTAGAATTTACAAAACCATTATCCTTCCTACGGTTCTTTATGAAAGTGAAATGTGGCCACTTACATTAAGTGATGAGCAACATCCTTAAGGTTTTTAAAAATAACGTATTGCACAGAATATTCGGACTGAAAAAGGATGAGTCAACTAGAGAATTTAGGCAGTTACACAACACTGAATTGCTCAAACTGTACCTGATTAATATAATTGAAATGATTAAGTTGAATTGAATAAAATGAGCCTGGAAAATCGCTAGGCTTAGTAACAAAAGAATTTCTAAAAACTTTAAATGCGCTGTGCCGACTAGAAAGCGTCCGAGGAGTAGACCTATGCAAAGGTGGGGAGATTGTGTTAAGGCTCATCTGGCGTACACAAGGGGACCAATAATAGTAAGGCATAGCAAACCCAAACATTTGATGCCGATAACACCAGTCGGTGTCTACATTCCCTATCCACTGGGCACCATCTACACCAGTATTGCACAGACTATTCGGACAGAAGAAGGATGAGTCAACCAGAGAATTTAGGCAGTTAAACAATGCTGAATTGTGGGAACTGTACCCAGTTAATATCTGGCCATCAGCCTTAACGCAATCTTCCCATCTTTGCTTTGGTCAATTCCTTGGATGCTTGATACTCGACACAGCGCATTTAAACTTTTTAGGAATTCTTTTGTTACTAGGCCTGGCGAGTTTATGTGCCCATTTTATTCGCTTCAACTTAATCATCTCAATTATATTAATGGTACAGTTCGTGCAATTTAACATTGTGTAACCACCTAAATTTTCTGGTTGGCTCATCCTTCTTCGGTCCAAATATTCTGTACAATACTGGACTGGATTTGTTAAGCCTTATTATTATTTGTATCCTTGTACATTCTTGGAATATTTCATCTGAATTGATCTGTTCCATTGTAAAAGTAATGGAAATTTTTTTCCATACTCTAAATTATTCAAATTTAAAATATGTATAGTGGATTGATAGTTGACTGTCATAGATATATCGGAGAGAAGTTGGTTGGGATGTTCAATCAAAGATAGAACTAAGTAAATTGTATTTCCTTTGTGCCTGCAAAGTAGTAAATGGTGTTAATTACATTAAATTATTATTCACACAGAAGATTATGCATATATGTAATTTTAAACCACAAATAATATATTAGTAAACCAAAGTGTGAAAAACCAGGGAGATGTAAATTGTTAGAATTGAGAAATCTTTTCTTTTTCTTGAGGGATACCAACTCCAATAGTTAAGGGATAGACTACCTGCATAATAGTTTGCCGCACGATGTTAACAATAATGTAAGAGACTATTAACTTATTTTTATAAAAGTAATCTTGTGTAACACTTGTTTGTTTACCTTATGTATTTAGTATGTTTATGTTTTTGTTTCGATTTTCATTGAAACCGAAAGTTTATTAAGTCAAATTCCATTCACAGGATTCTATAACTGAAGATAAAAAAAAAATAAACTAAACATAAAATAAGTTTAGGCGTTAACCGATTACTTGCGGGTAAATATACAAATATATTTATATCACTGATAAACAATAATAATTAACATATTTAAAACACCATGTATATAAACAAAATTGTCAATTTTGTTTTAAATATTTTTTTACTGACAAACAATGCTGTCAAAAGAAAAGGCAAGAGGAATAAGTGCTAAATATAAATAATTTTAAAAACTAATAAGAAAATAATAATGACTTCTTACTAAAAATATTGTAGATATTGATTGACACTAATTGAATAATTTTCTTTTTAGAAAAAAATAGTGAAATTAAATAATTTTTGTTGTTATTTTTCCTGAAAATACAGATACTCTGGGGTGACAGAATATAAATTCACATCATTTTTTAACACAACCAGAGGATAAAACTCTATTCTACAACAAACCTCAACTAAATTGATTTAAAATTAAAGCTTATTAAACGAGCAAGTTTTTATAAGAGTGCGGTATCTGTTGGATGATAAAAAAAATTACAAATTATCCATAATTTAATAAAAAATGCAACTTTTGTAATTAAAGGCAATTGTATCTAGTTTAGCATATAGCATTTTTTAATTATCTGAATTAAAAAATGTTTGTTTTATCAATTTTATACATCAAATGAAATTTGTTGTTGGTGTTCTTTTAAGGTGTTAACAAATAAAAATATTATTTATTATAATTATTGCTATTTAAAATATATGAATTATTACTTTAAATTCATACTTAGCACTTATTCCTCTTATCTTTTTGGCAATATTGTCTGTCAGTAAAAAAATATTTAAAACAAAATTAATTTTTTTGTTTATATTACATATAATATTGTATGGCAATCTTTATCCATAATTTTTTTTCTAAGAAGAACATTATTCAATTAGTGTCAGTCAATATCTACAATATTTTAGGTAAAAAGTGCTCATTATTATTTTCTTATAATCTTAGTCCTTATTATGTTTTTAAACTAGTTACACTTAGCACTGATTCCTCTTGCCTTTTGACAGTATTGGTTGTCACTAAAAAAATATTTAAAACAAAATTAATAATTTTGTTAATATATATATATAACATTAATCAACAATAATAATTTATATATATATATATATATATATATATATATATATATATATATATATTGTTATATCTCTTATATTTGACAAATATTAATAATATAACCTCGGAAGCTCACTTCTTATCATTGGGATACTTCCTAAAGATGAAATGTCTGAATAGGTATAGGGTTTGACCAGTAGAGATAGAGTGTCTGAATCCATATAGGGATTGTAAATATGCAACATGGAATCAGGAGCTGATGTGTAAGACATAGGGATAGCTCACCTTGTGTGAATCTCTGGGTGGGAACATTACTGTCTCCATTGAGGAATCAAAACCTGGCTGCAGGGGTGTAAGTAGTCTGGTAATGCCTAAACTTATTTTATGTTTATTTTATTTCTTTTTGTAAAAAAAAAATGTATATTTTGGTAATAGTTTACATCATGCCCGCAGCTTTTTGGGATGGAGTGGGGGCGCTTATTCCAGAGGATTGTTTAAGCTATATTTTTTTCTGTTGGTAGTAAAAATGTGAATATATTTCTGAAATATAATCAGAATATATTATTTTTCTGTTGGTAGTAACAATTTGAATGTATTTCTGAAATGTAATGTGAATAAATAGTTTTTTAAATAGTGAAGAGAGAAGAGATGTCTTAAATTTTTTTTTTTGTAAATTGTTCCAAAAAGCAGCTATTTAAAGAAAGGAGAAATATAGGGCAAATTCGTCCTCATAGACGATGAATTTCCTAATGTAATATAAAAAAATTACTATCGTGACCAGCACTTGCGAAACCTGCCAGGGGTATGCAATTGATAAGTTAGGGAGAATGTAATTAAGTCAAGTTTCAGGTTATTCTGTCTTTTATAACAGTACGTTTATCTTAGGTCATTTCGTTTTTAAGATGGGTATGCTGCTAACATATAGACCTACACAGACGATTTTGGGAGGCCTGGTTATTTGTATTCAGGGAACATTTATTTCGGTTGACAACTAGAATTTGGTGCTGGATTTATTCGATCGATTGATTTTTTCAATGATTTACTACTTAAACTTAATAATTTGATTAAGTGGTATGGTAGAAAACCATTCGATTTTTACCAAATTTGTCAAAAACTGAGTCAAATTACTCTAAATGGCCATGTAGCTTGGAAATTAGGTCCTTGTGAGGAAAAAATTATAGAATCAAAGTTGTGGAGCATGAAATTCTACATCTTTTGATTATCAACAGCTTTAATGTAGGTTACTCTGCACCACTAGCGGATCCAGGATTTAATTTTTGGGGGGCTAATTACTTTATTAAGACACAAAGAAACTAACTACCTATATGAAATGGTGTTTAAGTTATTCCTTAAGTACTTTTAAATATAGTTACACGAACAATAATACTTTAAGAGGCATTTTTTAAACTTTTTTTCCTATAAAACATGGTTATATTTTTCCATTTTGGGGCCGGCTTCAGCCCGAAAGCCCCCCCCCCCCCCCCGTAGATCCGCCCGTGCTCCGCACGAAATATGTAATCTCCCGATGGCTTCGAATTGGTAATGAACGTATGAGTGATTTTCAATATTTTAACAGTATGGGTGTTTATTCTACTGAGTTATTCTTGTTTAGAGTCTGTTACATGCAGTATGAACCTTGTTTTCTCCTCTCCGCAGCGACGGATTTTGAGATGAGGTGTCAAAAGAAACTGATCTTCATGATGAAATAACAAATCCCTATTAAAGAGATATAATTGACCAACATTAAAACTGTTGGTAATCAGAAGATGCAGAATTTCATGCTCTACAACTTTGATTCTGTGAGTTGTTCCTCTCAGGAAACTAATTTCCAAGCTACAGGGCCATTTAGAGTAATTTGTCTTAGTTTTTGAGAAATTTGGTAAAAATCGGCGTTCGTTCACCGTGGTTTTCTACCATACATAACCAAATTATTAAGTTTATTTACTCGTTCGACGCACAATTTAACGTTCCTTAATTTCTTAAAGAGTTCATTTTTCACTTCGATGCACTGTTTCGGAGTTTTATGTGAAAAACAGAAAAAGGTCGAAAAAATATAGCTTTTTCAGCTGTAAAAAGTTTTCCCTTGGTGGCTCGAGTTAGAAATTTAGGATTTTACATGTTTAAACTCATATATATATATATATATATATATATATATATATATATATATATATATAAGTTAAACAACTTTTCCCACATTTTTCATAATATATTTCCAGTTTCGATCCTCATTTTACAGGTCTAATATTCTTTAAAACTCTGGAATAGCAGACAAGGTTCGTTTTATTTAGGATAACATACACTTTCGTAATTTAGATTCAAACCTTCGTCTGCGATGAGGTCGATTTTTAGGTCAGGGTTCCAGGGCTATGAAATGTTACAACAACTTATTTATTAAAATCGACTAACCAAAAGTGGTTCTTCATATAACCAATTTTACACGTTACGATTTTTTAAAAAATTGTTCTACTAGTTTTGATTGAAAACCGTAGTGCTGACCTTTTAGGGTGGGGCATCCCGAGCAATTGCCTCAGGGCACTAGCGGATCCAGGATTTAATTTTGGGGGGGGGCTTCAGCCCGACAGCTGTTTTTTTCATAAAAATAACGATAATTACTTTGGAAAAAAATAAAGAAACTAACTACCTGTATGAAATGGTGTTTAAGTGATTCCTAAAGCTCTTTTAAATGTAATTACACAAACAATAATACTTTAAGAGATACTTTTTTAATATTTTTTTTTCGATAAAACGGCTATATTTTACCATTTTGGAGGGAGGGGGCTTCAGCCCGAAAGCCTCCCCCCCCCCCCGTAGATCCGCCCGTGCCTCAGGGCGCCGACCTGGAAAGACGCCCGTTGGGGGTGCCGTTCAATCTTTAGGGGCGCATACCACTTGTTAGAAATTAAAAACAATGCAAAACGTATTAAAATAATCAATTTCAGCCAATTAATAAAACGACTGTATTAGAGAAATTTTGAATGAAATAAAATTCAAATATTAAATAATATAAAACACCTTAAGAAATAAATTTAATCTTTTTAGGAGGAAGGAAGATTACCCGGAGGCACCGAATGTGTAAGACCAGCAATGATTGATCTCGTTTTATCAATGTAAAATTAAATGGATTTTAAAATTAGGCAGATCCTTTCCTGATTAAAACAGTTTGGGAGGACTTAAATATCGAATTTTCAAATCGGCATCTTTAATGTGGTATATTTGAAATGAAGAATAGTCTCTCGTGATTATTAGTAATAAGTAATGGTCAAACATGAACTATGAAAGATTTTGATGATTAACAAAAGAAGACACATTTTCCTCGATTGAAAACAAATTTCCCGAAATAAGAGTAGTATTATATATGTATGGGTTGATAAAAAATATGTTAATAATAATCTACAGCCTGAAAGTCCTCTCCCCCCCCCCGTAGACCACCTTTGATTGGCCCTATCTGAGTAAAAATTAAATTAGGTTGGTAAGTGTAAGTTGGGTGGTGAACGCAGCACCAGATATTTTAAATGTGGGAAGCACCAGAAATTTAAAATATATTTATCATAATGAAATTGTTTATTTAAAATGCTTATATTTAGAGTACTAAATTAATATTTAAAAATATAATGGATGCTTATATGTTGTTCGTGATAAATATTGGGCTGCCTCTTGAATCTTTAGAATATCAGCTGCTAGCGGTGTCAAATATTTGACAAGTGAAATTAGTGAATCTTGTGGAGGTTCTTAGTTTTTGTAGTCATGTAATATGATGCAAATTATGTTTCATCATGGATTTGTTAAATGAACTACCAAACATTTGTGGTTATGTCCACATTACTTATATTCTCACTAACGACTGTTAACTCATATCTAATCAATTAAAACATGGATGAACGTGTGGAAATGCAATCTCTTGTGGAGGAGGAAAATTCTCGGGAGAATAGTGAAAGACGAACTAATTTCAAACGTTTTAGTTGGAAATCTAATCCATACTTGGGTATAACTTTAGCTTTTATATCATCATTTTTTTTCTCTATTTGTTCAGTGATAGTGAAATGGATGGTTAGTGTTCATCCAATGGAACTAGCTGCCTTCAGATTTGTTGGAGTGCTCCTACCTTCAATTCCAATAGCGATTTGGAGGAGAGAAAATGTTTTCCCTAAAGGAAAGAGATTAATGCTGATACTACGGTCTGTTGTTGGTACTACAGGACTAATGTTAAGTTTCTATGCCTTTCGTCACATGCCTCTTGCAGATGCTTCTGTCATTGTTTTTAGTGTGCCAGTTTTTGTTGCCATTTTTGCCCTTGTGTTTTTGAAAGAACCCTGTGATGCTTTTAGTATTTTAACAATATGCTTAACACTCACTGGTGTTCTTCTTATTACTAGGCCTATTTCAATTTTTGGAAGTTCTGTCCCATCATTGGGATCTGAAGAAAATGTTCGAACAGACATATGGGGTGGGGTTGCAGCTTTTTCAGCCACATTATTTGGTGCTAATGCATACATTTTATTGAGAGTTCTTAAAGGTCTCCACTTTTCAGTAATTATGATCAATTTTGGTGTCTATGCCCTTATAGAAACCATCTTTGTATCTTGGTATCTTGGGGTCTTATGTTTACCTCAGTGTGGTGTGGAGAGACTGCTTATATTAACATTAGGTATTTTCAGCTTTAGTGGTCAAATATTGTTGACAATATCCTTACAATTAGAACAAGCTGGACCAGTTTCAATTGCTAGGTCTGCTGATATAGTTTTTGCTTTTATTTGGCAAGTCCTTTTCTTTAAAGAAGTTCCTAATATATATAGTATAGTTGGAGCTATTTTTGTCACGAGTTCAGTTATATTAATCGGCTTAAGAAAATGGGCAACAAATCTTCCAGATAATTCTATCATTAAATCGGCATTAGCCAAACTGAGTAAATAAGAGGAAATTTTATGTATTCAATGTTATGCACATGAGCTATAAATTCTTATTTATTTAAAAAAACCAGCTTGCTAGTATCTTTCTTTACACAAATATTTTCCTGTGATTATTGCTTTACTATATAATTAGGTATATTACTTTATATTTTTTTATATTATTAGATATGTTTTTATAAGATCCTTCCTTTAGCAAAGCACAAATTAGTTTCATGTTTTTGTTGACTGCAGTATACTGGGTGATATTTTAATTGGTAATGTTTATTTATAGTTCAAAAGAAAATATTATTATTTAATTTAAAGTCTGAAACCAAAGAAATCACGCTTCAGTATTTATTTACGAGTCTGATATATTTATTTAATTTTAAATTAGTATTAATATAATCCTCAAAATAATATTTGAATAATCTTGCTTCAGTTACAGACATAAACTTTGTAGTTTGTTTGTTTTTTGTTCATTTCATCTGTTTCGTTTGAATGGATGAAATTATGGTGTGTATATTTGTTTATTATTCATAGATAGAGCTGGTTAGGTTGACCGAGTATTAATTCTAAATTGAGTTTTATTGAGTTCATATATGACAGTTTTTTAATTTTTATATAACATTATTTAGTTTTCTTTAATAAAAACGTGCATAACAAGAAGCAAATAAAAATATTGAAATTTTTTACTGGTGGAAAATAATTATAATTGATGGAATGGGACCAGATATGAGTATGTAAATTATAATTCACATTATTGTATCTCAGAGGTAAACTACTTTATTAATGTTATCTTTTTATTTTAAGATTTTATCGTAATTGACATTAAAATTTTTTATTTTCAAATCTTAAACTGATTCCATGTAGTGTCAGGAAAACGATAAACTTAATTACCCATACAATTTTTCTGATAGTTTATCTTTGTGGTCTTTTTTTATTTGCTTACCTAATTATGTCTTTTGAGTGTAGCTGTTAATCTTTAATTTTTTTAATTTATGTAGTTTGTAATAGATGTATTTTAAATGTTGTGGGTACTCAGTGGCTGTCAAATATCACCTAACATAAAAGATATTTATTTTTTTTGAAAATGGAATTGAATGTTTTGTTTCTCTTGTGATAATCACTGAGGCCTTGTGTCTTAAAAGAGATTTCGAGACATGGATTGTTATTCCTATAGCTCAGTTGTTTATAAAATTGAATCTTTGATGTTGGTTTTATTTTATTTTAATTTTGATCAGTTGATATGAATCATTTATTAACGGTCTATAGTTATGTAATCTGAAAAAAAATTATTATTTCTGATCCTTGTCATTCGTAGATTTATTTCAATTCTAGTCCAGAACAAAGGTTCTTTCTTGAATGATATATATTATGTTAAAATTGAGAAGTATTGAAATCTATTCCCACTTTTTTTAGTATTGTCATTTATTTTAGAATATTAGTTTCATTGTTGATATAATTTTCTTCTTTATCTTTCTTTTAATTTAATTTTTTACCGTTCCATGATCTATTAGGTCAGCCTTTTTGTTACTTCATACTTCTTGTTAATGCCATTTTATTAATTATTTTGATTAATCCAATAAATGTTTTAACGATTATCTGTTACCGTTTTTTATTTATTCAATTTGTTAAAATGTTTTTTATTTTCATATTTTTAATTATTTTTGAAATTTGTTTTTTATTTATTTTTTTACAAAGAAGAATTGCGTATTTATAAATTCTTGACCTAATTTGACCAAAGTAGCTCTTATTACTAGGGTATTGGCCTGATATTAGTGAGGAAACGGTGTTAGTTTAGCAAATAGGCCTATTGATTCTTTCTAACCAAAGAGTTAAGATTTATTTTGCAGTACCGCATTTTGAGTCAGGACCTATAGAATTAAGCTTTGCTCCCATGCTATAGTTATTATGCCTTCTCACCAAAGTACATGGTTAATCTTTGAAATAAGTATATAGTGAGAATCCTGCTCACTATATCTATAATATTCATAAATGAAATGATACTTGGGGTCTTTTTTAAAATGCTCCATCCCTTGATTTTTATTTAGAGTGACGGTGATTATTCATAAACTTTATTTAAGCATTATAAAATATGTTACTTAGCAAATATTGTTTGAAAATGAATCTAGTCGATTTGTGTATAGTTCTTTATAATGATGAAACAAAAGCTTTTAAAATATTTCCTGATAAAGGAATAATACATAATGACAGAAAATATATAAACGGTTATCAATTGAAGATGATTCAGAAGTTTATTTTATGTTGATTAAAAATGATTATAATAAATTAAGCAAGTGTTCTATTAATATGAAATCACTGTCACTGCAAATAAATTAAAATGTGATGGAATGAGCTTTGACCTCTACTTGTTCAGAACATACACTATGTTATTTCAACATAATTTTATTTTATGAGGAGTTGGTCTGGGGGGGGGGAGCATATAAATATTATATTATAAGAATAGTATTTTATTTGTTACGCCAACGTTTCCACTATCTTTGTAGATCTTCATCAGGGTGTGACATCGGGCACTGCAGGAAGCAGTTGGTAGATGACTATAATTTTATTTTATTTGGTACATTTATTCTGTTGAACTGTTTTAAATTTTTTGTTTTTAAGTTGTCACATTTAATCTGTTGAATTGTTTTATATTATTTTGTTTTTATTTTTATTTCTGTTGTGATATCAATATTATTTATTTTTTATTTTGATCATTCTCATGGTCTTGTCTTAAAACTATGAACTATGAAACAGTTGTTGTTAATACTTTCTGTGAAATCTCTCTATAAAGATAAAAGCACATTTTTTTGTGTATGTGTGTGTGTCCTCTCACACTGTGTTACATGCTAAATTGTGTGTATAAAATAAATGATTAATTAGATCTTGAAATACAAATTTTAATATTTGAAAGGGGAGAAAATACAAGATATTGTTCATATCTTTTTTTTTTTTCCAATCTTCCTTTTTTACTTCTTTCCTATTGTCCTGCAACCTCATTAACCTCATTGCTTATTTTTATGTATTTCATTAAATATTTTACTATTTATTACTGAAACGGGGTTCAATCAATTCTTATTCATATATCAATATGCCTATAGAAGAATTCATGATGGTATATTTGACATAGCAGCTATCTGAAGTTATTTATATGGAGAAGACTTTTTTCTCCTTAGTTTTGGTTAATTTTAATCTCTAGAAACATTAAACAAAATTTGAATATGAATTTATTACGTAGTTTTTCTTTTCAATTAAGTCTGTTATGATTTTAAATTGTTTGAGATTTTAAGAAATATCAGACATGTTGAATTTGATAGCCACATCACTATAAACTCATGTTCATTAGTGTCATGTTAATGTTATCTGAAAATAATAAAATTGTAATGCACCATGTTTAAAGTTATTTTTTCCCACCTTTTATTAACTTTAACTTATGAATTTTTGGTCTGTCTACATTTATTATATTGTCGGTTTATTGCAAAAAGTCATTAAGTTTTCTTTCCTAAACTTAAATCACCAAGTATGTTGATTAATTTTCCCTCTATGAAAACTGTATATTGTGCCCTTAGTATGTATGGTATATAAAAGAGTTTGTGCCATTTCGAAACAGTACTGTTTTTTTTTTTTGTATTAATATATAATACAAATTTATTCATTCACTTAAAGGTTTAGCTCCATCAGAAATTAGTGATTTTTGCAATATACCAATGATACACCTCTGACTGCTTTTATAAATGAAAATATGCTACAAAGGAATCTGAGATTTCACTGTTACATTTTCATAAGTAATGATTTGTCTATGAAGTTGCCTTAACATTTTGTATATTGCCTTGTTAACTAAGATTATTAAAATGTTTTTGTAAACATTTATTAAACATATTTTTTACTGTTCTTAGGAACCTTAGTTTCAATAAAACTTCAGCTTGTGATAAGAAAAAAAGTTAAGTGTGTACTTAATTTTCTGTATTAATTTATTATTTTTAAAAAAAAATTGTTTTTGTAAAATGTGTGGATCTCATTGTTGAACAATAATACTGAAATGGATATTATAATTTTTATTTGTTTAATGTTTTGTTGTGTAGTGTACAATTATAAATAAACTATTAATGGAAACCTGAGTTCTATTTTATTTTAAATGTGTAAGTTGTTAAACAATGTTTGTATTTGTGAAAGTTATGTAAAAAATTGTATATTTAAATGAAATAAAATTTATATTCTACACTTAGTATTATTGACCATTCTATGATCTGTTATTAGCAATTACTAAAAATGTTGAATTGGAGAAATATGCTGGAATCCAGGTTGAAAAGAGTATTTTGAGATATATTATGATTCATAACTTTACTCTAATCTTAAAGAGAATTTACAGACATTGGAAAGTAGTTTAAATTGTATAGGTAGACCTCATCAATGTAGTTCAACATACATTAAATGATGAATTTTCAAAATTTCTTCCTCTTTATAAGTATTTTTAATTTGGTTTATTTTAATTAATAAACTGTCTCCCATTGTCAGTAGTAATGAGAAGGCTCATGCCACCAATGACCCTCTAAGGTATAAGCGATTACATATATAAAAATAAGGCTCAAAATGAACTATGAAAGAATTGATAATTGACTAAAAGGAGAAATAAGGGAAAAATATCTTTTCAGATCAAGAATGAATTTATTATTATTATTATTTATAAACAGTATAATATAATGTTGGAAAGAGGACGAGTTTAGAAAAATGATATGTTATTAAGTCATATAGTAGGTTTTTAGCTCAAATGAAAGAAAATCAGTTAAAAACAATTTTAATTGTTCCACATAATAATTGTGGAATAGTACTAAACATAATTTATAAATGGCTGATAATTTCAAACTGCTGATTTCAGATCAATTGCACAGCACAATTTTGTTCTCCAACAAATTATTTATATATCTTCATGTTAATTTTATCAAATGAAAATATATAAACAAAACCTTGGCCAATAAATTTTTTTTTATTTTTTTATTTATTCATGATATTTACAACTGTATTAAAAAATTAAATACATTAAGTAAATTTGATAACAGAAAATAAAAACATGAAATGACTTGTTGAGAAACTACCGACTGGTAGGACTCTAAAGGCCAATAAATAAAAAGGAAATTTGTTAATATTTAAATTAATCACAATTATGTAATTTTCTTTGTTTCTCTTTTCTTTCTTTTTTTTTTTTGAATATGCATTGTTTATATGTTTTTCAGTGACAAAAAATAAATGTATGCTTAAATGTTATACTGAGAATCCATTTATTTTTTTTAATGTCAGTCAAAACTGAATAATTTTTAAGAATACATTTTTATAATGATTTTTTAAACATTTTGGTTTCATCTTTATTCTCTTTCATTTTCTTTTTCTAAATCCATCAAAACAAATATATTTGGGGTAAATATTCCCTATTAGTGTTTTTAAATGATTAAATTCTAAAATATGATATAATATTTGGTAAATGAACATTATGTTTTAGAGCTTATAGTTAAAAATTTTAAACAGAAAAATGAAATAAATTTAGCTGCTACCAGTTTTACCTTTTAGTGACTGACCTTTCTGCCTTTCAGCATCTCTGACTCATTAATTTTTTTAAATGTTATTAAACAAAAATATCATGATTGAGGTATGTATTAATAGTTTTAATTAAAACAATAAACTTGTCTTTTACTGTGGTTGAAGATGAGAGAACAATCTTGGGAGTAAACTAATGCAGACTGGTCAACTTATGCTTGGTCTTTGACAGACATTAGTCTCCTTCAATACCTTTTATGTCTAGTTATTAAACCTGTATAAAAAAAAAAAAAAATGGATATATATTATAAATGATGGTGAAGTAATTAATCTTAGATATTATATTTCATAATTTTTGTCATGATAATCATTCATTCCTAATTTCAGGTACAAAAAAACAATTTTAAGAAAAAATTAAAGACATTTATCTAGATATTCAAATTGAAAAGATCGTTGAGAAACAGTAGTAATATCATTTCTTTGCTCTTTAAAAAAAGTAATTGAACTTTCTCAAATGATAGAGAATCTTTATATGTTATTTCTCAAAGGTGTTTTTTCATTGATATGCCTTCTCAATTCTTCATCAAATCCAATGATCATTGAAAATGATAATTCGATTTTTAAGGTTATTTTTTCCTTCAGTTCTAAAAAATAAGCATATCCCCCAGGTAAGTTAAAAAAAAATTATGAAGGAAAGAAAATGTTAACCAAAAAAGTATACAATTATGACTAGACCCATAATTCGAGACATTTCTAAATCCCCTAAATAAAGAAAATAAAAAATAAAAAAATTGAAATTGGACTATTATTAGTAAAGATACAGCAAATTGTGATATGGACACAAATTTTGGTTTATTATTTTGAATAATAGTAATAACTGACCAAGAAAAAAAAATTACCTTATATATTTCCTGATATATTCCTTTTATATATATATATATATATATATATATATATATATATATATATATATATATATATATATATATATATATATATATATATATATATATAAATACATACATACATACATACATACATACATATATACATACTGACACCACTCCACCATCCTTTTTCTACTTAGTTCCTTCATTTAACATTCTTATTTCCTCTATTGTAAAATCCCTCTCTGAAATCTTGCTGACTCTTCTTTTCATCTACAATTTCCTCCCCTCCCCTCTCCCCCCTAAAAACTCAATATTTCCTACCTCTAGGAAGAAAGCCTTCAAGGCACCCATGAAAAGATATTGTTCTTAAATAGCACGTAAAGCAAATCTTACAGTCAGCAGAGTCAAGTCTGATGTATATGTTCGACCAGATATATATATACAAGATCGACTCTTGTATGAATTCTATTCCTGCATTCATTTTTAGTAAACAAAATATGTAATTAAAATAATGACCTCTCCTGGAGTGTTGGCAGCGTCACTTGAATCTTTTGCTTTGAGTATAAAGAAATAAAGTAAAGCAGCACAGATACCACCTAGGATAGGTCCAATCCAATAAACCTGGTAAATAGAGCATTTATTGTAAATATATATTCATAATCAATTGGTTATAGGCTATTTATTATTCTATATTTAACAAAAAAATCAAGTTTAATAGAGTTTATATATGTATTTGTCACCCAGTATTTTTATTTAATATGAAAATTTATGTTATTTTATTTTATTTATTGTTATTTTGTTTCTGTTTGTTTTATACTTTTTTGTACATATAGTGTGAATGTTATCCTATCTCACTATAACTAATGTCCAAGTGACAGATTGTTGTAATATTCAATAAATAAATAGAATTATTTATTTATTTGATTTTTTTTTGTTGCCTTTAAATAGAATTAAAAAAAAATAGAATAAAAAAAAAAGAAGATATTTATATGTTTGGTAAGAAATAAAAGTTGTAATAAACTAATGATTTTGTATTATAGATCTCAATATTTTTCCTCATCAAACAATATTTTTTCCCAAAATGTATTTATTCTATTTTCTCCATGCACTAATCTATTTAACTTTGTCTAAACAATTATACCATCTAGAAAAGTCATATAGAGGAAAAACATCTCACTGCATAATCAACTTGCATTCAAATTCATGTGTTAATGGGATCAAATAGGATAGATACTATCAAATGGTTTTGGTGTCTCATGTAAAGCTTTTAAAAATGGGTTGAGCTGGTTTTGAAACTATCTACACAAAAAAAAAAAAAAAAAAATTACCCAAAGATTCTCCCAATTATTAGAAACAACAGCTGGTCCAAGACTCCTTGCTGGATTCATGCTTGCCCCGGTATATTGTATCTGAAAATAATGATAATAAGAAGAAATTAAATTTTATTCTGGGACATTTAGACCTCTAAGAATAATAAAAATGAACAATAGCAATTACATTTAGAATTGTCTGTTGCATAATGACAGGCAAAGTATAATTACATTACAAAGTTGTTATAATATTAAAGCTAAAAAAAAAAGAAAAAAAAAAAAGAAAAAAAAAAGAAAAAAAAAGTACTAGTATAAATAAATATAAAAAATTATAGGTAAATAAATGTCCATTTGTTTACATATTTGCACAGGTAAGCAATTTAAATAATAACAGTAAAATGACGTATAATGAGATTGGCAACACTAAAATATGAATATTTAATTCTTACATATATTCAGAAGATTGATAGCTAATGAAGAGGTGGAAAATTAAAAAGAAGTTTAAGATGAGGTTTTGCCTATGAAGGATTCCTAAACAATGCATCATGCACTATAAAGGATTTTTCAAAGTAATCAGTTCTATGAGAAGAAATATACAGATTTGTAGGCTGGGATCTCGTGGGTAGAATGGACAGAGGAGCAATGAGTAAACAAATAAAAAAGGTAATCGGTATTTTTTTGTTTCAAAAATTTGAAAAAGAAATACACCTAAGAAATGTTACTTTCGGAAACGGGAATACAGCCACTTCAACTGGGCATGCCAACTAGAGAAATGGGAGCGTCTGGAGACTCCAAAGATGAATCTAATCAAACGATTCACTAGTCTCTTCAATCTAATCTCATGCCCACCAGACAGTCCATTTTATATAAGGCAGCCATAATCAATTTGAAAATAAGAGAGGAAACTAGTAGCTGATGGATTTAAGCGGAATAGAATCACAGAATCTCAGGAACTGTTTGAGGGTAGCATCAGATTTTCAGATGATTTGAGAAATATGGTTATTCCAGGAAAAATATATATATTAAAAATTATACCAATATTTCTAACGGAAGTGTGGAAGCGAATAGGTAGGCCATTAAGGTAGAGTTGTGGATCATAAGGAATGGAATTCAGAAGATGCAAGAAGACCTAATGAGAATGACTTTGGTCTTCACCTCAAATCATTGCTAGCAGTCCTTGCGTTGATATTTTTTATATCTTCTTGATGTCTTTAAATCACCTCAAGCATCTCGATAGGATGAAAGGATTGGTAGATTTAAAGGTCATTGGAATATAAATGGTATTGTGAATGGTGGATGAAATCAGAAGGATCGTTAATATAGATGGAGAAAAGGGTTGGTGAAAAGGAATATCCCAGAGGAACACCATAACTGTTTGAATATTGAAAACTGTTAGCATTGATATTATTATAATGTCACTACGATCCTGCAAGAACACAGACCTTCTTCACTACAATCATCTAATCTCCAAGGTACTGTGCTGTCTCCCTCCATTTTCAAACACCCACCTGCCTCAATCATCCTTAATATCCTCTAGCCATCTGAACTGAGGGCGTCTTCTACTTCTTTTGGAATCAGGCTTCTCATAGAGCATCATCTTTAGCATTCTTTGGTTGGTCATTTTTTCCACATGTCTTATCCATCTTATTTGGGCTCTATTTATCAATGCCAAGCAATCAGTTTCCTCAAACAGTTCTTGCAGCTCCTCATTCCTATTTCTTCTTCAAATCCCATTCTCATCGACTATGCCCTATGTTCTTCTTAACAATTTTCTCACCCAGAAGTTGAGTATGCATTCTGATTTTTTGGTTAAGGTCCATGTGTCAAAACCATACATAACCATTGTCCTTACTGTCGTTTTGTAGATAAGAATTTTGATTCTTTTAGGGAGTTGCCTATATTTCAAATATCTTTGCAGTGAGAAATAGCACCTATTTCTTGCTGCTATCCTGACCATTATTTCATTCTCTTCTTTGTTATTGCATGTAACCAGGCTTCTCAGGTACTTGAACTGGTTTACAGACCTAAAGTTATTTCCTTATTCACTTCTTTATCCTTTCTGGAACTTTCCATATTCACCGTCTTATTTTTATTTAGCCCCTGCCTCTTTAGATTCATAGAATGTTCCTGATAATGCTGCTTGGGTTCTAAAGGTAATGGCATCATCCGCATACGCCAGATGTTGAAACAGATGATTGTAGATGGGTCCTCCTGGATTTGTTCTACTAGAACGAAAATCAACTTCCAGATATAGATTAAAAAGGAAGTCCAATCTTCAGACATTTTTTCTTCCATCCATATCTCCCAAATTAGGGCATAATTTTCCTCCCGAAGATCACTGCCACCACATTTTAACATATCTGGGGTGACCTTGTTTAGACCTGGCGACTTATGTTTCTTCATCGACATAATTATGCTAATTACGTGACAGCACATTTTTCCTTAAAATCGACCAACTGGAAGTGACACTTTATATCAACGCTGAAACACATTTTTACAATTTTCTCAAAAACGGCTCTAACGATTTCGATTAAACTCGGTGTATTACTGTATAATTTAGAAGTCTTTAATATTATTTAGGTCTTATCCCCGTTGACGTCACTTTACATGGCTTAAACGCCCAATGTTCATATGCTTCTTCCTCTAAATATGGTTTATTTTAAATAGTTATAAACTATATCTCATTATTAAGAGTTACGAAAAAATGCTAAATATGACTTTTGAAAGAATTCGATAATTGAATAAAGGAGAAAAAATAAAAATGCTTATCTAGGTCGAAAATGAATCTCCGGAAACACTGGTCAGAAGGTATAAAGTCGTTAAGGAGTTATAGGTGAAAAAACCAAAAATATCGAAGAAATTTAACTTATTTGGCTGTAAAAAGTTTTCTCTTGGTGGTCCGCCTCAGCAATTTTGTTTTTTACATGTCTAACCCTATATATATAAGTTATAAAAATAAAACATTTCTCACATTTTTCGCAATGGATTTCTCGTTTCGATCCTCAAATTACTGGCCTAATATTGTTTAAACCAGCTGCCATTTTTGAAAGCAGCTGCTCTGGAATGACAGACAAAGTTCTTTTTACTCAGAATAACACACACTTTCGTAATTTACAACCAAACCTTCGCCTGCGATGAGGTCGATTTTTGGGCCCTGGATCCAGAGCTATGTGTGTATGTGTGTGTGTGCTCTATCCGTTTTACCTTACAGGTATATCGTAACGTGTATGCCGGCCTAACGAACACACAATTTTTGACGGGACACGGAGAAACCAAAACTGTTTATCAAATTAACTTATGACAAAATGTGTGTGATATAAAAGTAGACAGATGCAGAGACAAATTGGTCACTGTTGCTATGTTGAACAAAGACCAATTAGTCCGAGAGGCCGTGTAAATAAATTGACATCATCTGAATAAAATTTAGAAAGCATTTTTTGAATATTCTAAACATTTATATTAAAAAAATTAGAGCCTGCCAGTCAGATCATACTACCTGAAAAAGTGGTGGCTGATTTAAAGAATATTATGTCAGTAACTTGAGGATCGAAATTATTGCAAAAAATGTGGGAAAAGTTTTTATTTTGTCAACTTGTATATATGGGTTACATCATGCAAAAAAAATGTATGCAAAAGAGAAAACATTTTACAGCCATAAAAGGCAGAATTTTTCGATATTTTTTTTTGTTTTTTCATCTATAATTTATAAATAGTGCACAGAAGCGAAAAATGTAATCTTTAAGAAATTATAGGACGGTAAATCGTGCGTGGAACGAGTATCTAAATTCAATAATTGGGTTTAGTGGTATGACCATCCTTATTCCAATCCTTCGGATCGCGCTTTATTGCTGGAAGAGACTATAACGCTAAACACCAACGATGGGGTTGTCGAGCATCCAACTCCCGTGGTAATATACTATCTTCTGTCTCAACTTCTAATAGTTACTCCATCCTCTCACCTATGAATCCTACCTATTGGCCAACCTCCCTCAAAAAACGACCTGATATCTTGGACATATTTGTCACCTCCCAGATTTCCTCTTCCTACGTCACTATCAAATCACTGGATGAAGTGGCATAGGACTAGATACCCATCAGACAAGTCATATTACAATAAGTTAACTAACCAACTAAAAGCTGAAATTAGGAAATACAAAATCCAAAGTTTACTTAACTTAACAGAAAATCTAACAACTACTGACAAATCACTATGGTTGACCACTAAGAAGCTCTTAAAATTCAAAGATTTTAACCACCCACTTCTTACCGAAACCCAAACCTGGTCTAGATCTGATGAAGAAAAATCTGAAATATTTGCTCAACACCTCTTCAAAACATTTAATCCACACCCAGATATCCTAAATCCAATCCACCTTGAGTGTATTGAAGCAGAACTCGATATTCCACTCCAATTGACCCTTCCACCTAAAGCATTTCATCCTTCAGAAATATCCAATATCATTCATAGATTACCTTCCCGCAAAGCTCCTGGCCATGACCTAATCACATCCCAGATCCTAAAACTGCTTCCTCAGAAAGCCGTATTATTCCTCACCTATATATATAATGCCGTGCTCCGAACTACATACTTTCCTGACTCTTGGAAACTACCCATAGTCAAAATGATACCGAAACCCACAAAGCCGCCAAAATACCCATCCTCTTACCGTCCTATCTCTCTTTTACCCATTATGGGCAAAATCCTAGAAAAACTCATCTTAAAACGCCTGTATCCCATCCTAGATTCTAATAACATAATCCCAGATCACCAATTTGGATTCCGTACATCTCACTCCACTATTCAGCAATGTCATCGTGTGGTAGACGTGGTTTCCTCTGCATTGGAGCGCGGAATGTACTGCACGGGAGTCTTTCTCGACGTTGAACAGGCGTTTGATCGAGTCTGGCATCCGGGACTGGTGTACAAACTCCGTAAATTCCTACCACCTACATACTTCCTCATTATCCGTTCTTACCTTAGTGATAGATACTTCAAAGTAAACCACAAAAATGCGTGTTCATCTCTTTTATCGCAATTTGCTGGTGTTCCTCAAGGTAGTATCCTAGGTCCTATCCTTTACACAGTTTATACAGTTGACATTCCAACCCATCCCAACACAGTCATCACCACCTATGCCGATGACACGTGTATCCTGTCAGTTAACAACGATCCATCAATTGCATCCCAAACACTCCAATTACACATCACAAATCTTGAAGAATGGTGTCAAAACTGGAGGATTAAAATAAACTCCAATAAATCCCATCAAATTACCTTTACCCTGCGTCGCAAACCTATGACCTCCTGTCCTACAGTATTCTTTAACAATTCCCCACTTATCCCAGTTGAACAAATTCGTTACCTAGGACTCCACCTCGACAAACGACTCACATGGAATCCTCATACAAGACTGAAACGACAAGAAACCGCTCGACGTTTCCGACTACTCCAACACTTACTAGACAAAAGCTCTAAGCTTTCACTCAATTACAAACGACTCATATATATGACAATAATAAGACCTATTTGGACCTACGGAATTGAGCTCTGGGGCTCCACTAAGCCATCGGATTCCTCTCGTATCCAATCCTTATAATCCAAAATCCTTCGTAAAATCCTCAACGCTCCTTACTTTGTCACAAACAAAATCATCCATAAAGACCTTAATGTTCCATATGTTTCCGATTTGGCCCAATCCAGATACCTATCCTTCCATAACAAACTGCAGAACCATCCGAACCCTCTTGTTTGCTTCCTCATAAACATTGCTTCCTCCTCTATCCCTGATAACTCTCCGAGGTGTCTGAAAAGAAGATGGCCTCGGGATCTTCTAATATAGAGCTTTAATTTGAGTTCTACCAATGGGTAGTTTCTCTTCATATTTTACATGACATGTTACCAATGTCACATTTACCTGTTGTATTTTTAATGTAATACAGTTGTAAATTTCAATAAAATTATATATATAAAAAAAAAAGTGGTATGACCGATAACCACGATCAACGAACGCTGACTTTTACCAATATAATTGGCCTTGCACAATGGAAATGACTTTCCTAGGAGAAAAACCTCATAGAATAAAATTTAAAGAGCATTAAATTCCGCGTCCACTGTTCTGTTTAAAACTTAACCCAAATTTAGTTTTATGAATAAGTAAAGTAACTTTAAAATCAAAATTAAAACTAATCACATAAATATATACCGTTTCTTTCAAACTTTTCTATTTACTTACTGAAGATAAATGACCACCAGCCACAGTAAGACCAACGGCTAGAGCAGCTGCAGGTTTAGCTAGAGGTTTCTTTTTGTCACTGACACCAAATACTACAAGTACTAAAAAAAATCCTAAAACGAATTCTACTACTAATGCTTGCTCTACTTTTACAGTGACTGATGTTAGCCCCAGTTTACCCCGGGATTCACTAGGAGTCACTCCCTGAAAATGAACAATATAATATTAATCAATTGTAGGTGAAATTATTAGTTAAAAAAAAAGTCTAAAAATGTATTTGAAATTTTAAAACATTTTAGGTAAAAATCAATCAACAAAAATAGTTTAAAAATATTACTTAGTTGGTATTTTATATTTGTTTTTACTGTTTCTACGCCAATGGTTGTGTAAGAAGGTGATTTGGCCTGGATCACTCACAACTCACAGGTTTCCCCTCTGATTAAGGGTACTCACTTCATAGATAAAGAGAGATAAATGATTAAATAGAGCGAAATTTTTATATTTTTTACTATACAGAACACCTCTAGTGGATCCAGGATTTAATTGGAGGGGAGAGGGGAGGTGGGGTTCAGCATGATAGGTTTATTTTTCATTTTATTTATAATGATAATTACTTTGGAAAATAAGAAAAGAAACTAACTACCTATATGAAATGGTGTTTAAGTCATACTTGAAGTCCTATTAAATATAATTACACGAGAGAAACACTTTATTTTCATAAAATATAAAATATAAAGGATTGCTGCCCAATTATATATGGTTGCTATATACACAGCATACTCTTCAATCCTTAGGACAATATATGAACTTATATATAAATATACAGAAGTATTAGTTAATATTAGTAAAAAAAAAATATATATATATATATATATATATATATATATATATATACATTTTTATTATTTTATTTTTTTTCCATTTTTTTTTTTTCCTTTTTCCTTCCTTTCATTGTTCATGCTTTTTTTTTTTTTTTTTTTTTAACATTCAGTTTCCCTTTCTCTCACTTCTCTCTCTTTATCTCTACTGTTTTCAATTATTCATTAAATAAATAAATAAATACATAAATTAAAACTCTCGGGCTAGCTATGCACGTGGTGGTGAATGATTCCCAGGGAGTCGAGGACTATATTTTCAGCCAAGTTGGATATAACTTTAAGAGATAATTTTTTAATATTTTTTCCCATAAAAGAGGGTAACATTTTATCATTTGGGGAGAGGGCTTCAGCCCTAAAGACTCCTTCTCCCCCGTAGATCCGCCTGTGTAGAACACCTTCTATTCCGGGCAAATAAAGTCTAACCATAGACGCCTTTGAGTGTTGAACTTTTGCATTTGACATTATTGTCGGCTTCAAATTTTTAAGCTTGGTAGTTGACCATCTGATAATACCAAAACTATAAGCTACCAATGGAATCGTACACATGAATTTTATTTTTACGCGATAGATACTATTCAGAACTGCTGATAGATATATAGATACTCCTGCAGCATTTTCTTAAACTTAAAAGTTATTTCGCTTGGGATCTTTCTATTTACTGTTGATAACTTGTTTAAGACCCAGCTCTTTGGAAAACTCTCCAAGAGGCAGACGACTTAGGATAGCTTCTGATCTAAGTTGTAGAGAACTGTTGTCCTTTATTTTTTCTTTAATAGGATTTACCACAGCGCATTTTTCGAGACCAAAAGACATAGAAATCGATGTACTAAATAATGATGCAAGGTCCATCATACTCTCCACCTGTTTTATGTTTTTAGCATACAACTTTAAATCATCCATTTATCCATTTATAGACTATGGATGCTTTGGAGGATACCACAGAGAACTCAGGCAATCTCCCTGAATTCCTCGACAGATTTTTATTGTAATCTGAGTGACCTCTTCCTGCTGTTAGTGTAGTGTTCCATGACCCCAAAAGTTTCCTTAGGTTTATTTTGCTTGGGTGGGCTTTTTATAATTATAGCATTTGCATTAACCAACCGTGTGGTACAGTGTCAAAACATTTTTTGTTGTCAATACAAGTAATTGATAAACTTCGTATTTTTTTTTTTGCCATTTGAATAGATATAAATGAGTCTATCACAAGTAATTCTTTGCCACCTCGAGCTCCTCTTCTACATTCCAATTACTCAGGTGAAAAGATATCATTATTCATCGAGACATGGTTGATTTTTTAAGAAATTATGGATATTAAGAGTCTTCAGTATGTCAATGATGAGATGGGGTGAATACCAAACGATTTTACATCCGAAAATATACGAAAAATACACTCCTCTTATCCTAGGATCAGTTTGAACAATCCTAAATTTTGGGTATAATGATCTTTTTTTTTGGTGAACAATGAATTTACCTATAAATTGAGCTGGGTATCTTTTAAAGTATTATGAGGTTTTGAATTATTTGAGACTATTCCAGACCAGTATCTCTAAAAGTATTCTTGTTTCTGCAATTACATTTAATAGAACTTCAAGAACCACTTAAACATCATTTCATATAGGTTGTTAATATCTTTCTTTTTTTTCAAAATTAATTACAGTTATATATATATATATATATATATATATATATATATATATATATATATATATATATATATATATGAAAAAAGAAAGCTTTCGGGCTGAAGGCCCCACTCAAAATTAATTCCTGGATCCGCTAGAGCTCTGCACTAGAACCATTCATTAAGACGATTGTTCTTTACCTGCTATATTTCAATAGCTAAAGAATGATTTAATTAAAGTTTATAAATACCATCAAGACTAAAGCTCCAATTACCGCACCCAAACTCTGCACAAGAAGATAAAACAATCCTCTGATGACGGGTATCGATGTTACTACCATGAAACCAACGGTCACCGCTGGATTGAAATGACCTCCACTTACATGTCCAAGGGCCTGAAATCAAATGAGAAATAGAATAGTTATTAGTTCTCAGTTCGAGTTAGAATTTCTTGCTTTGTAGGATGTTCATCATTATACTTTCATATTAGATAGAGTAAATTTATATTAAAGCTTTCTGAATGAATGGATTGGCGTATATCACAAATGTCAGCTCTTCTTCTACGTCTAAGGGAGGCGTAATAAATTGGCCAAATAGAAAAAAAAACAATAATATATTCATAGCAGGTGTTCTCAAATTTAGTTCACGTGACCCCTCTTGAATTAAACTTATTTTTGACAGACCTCTCATCCCAACTATAGACATTTTGCTTCTTTGCTTTAATAATTAGTAATGTTAGTGAGGAGTTGGATAACATAAAAAACAAAATGTCTTTATCATATAGAAGTTTTATTAAATAAGTTATTTAAATGAAATCAATGTTGATAACAAAAATACAATTTACACTGTCAGTAATATTATATATTAAAATGTATGGTACAAATAATACATACGAAATCAATTAATAAAATGAACTAACAACTTTCGTATATAAAAATAAGCAAATTTATTCAAATAAGATTTTACCAGATTTTAAAGTTATTAATTAAATTTTAGTTTCTTCAGTGACGTAACTAAGGATGAAGGCATTCAAAATAAATTTTTGAAACGATATTACTTAACACGCACAGCTAACGTTTGACATTAACTAGCAGCGATGCATTTTACCGTTGTCCAACGATATTCCTCAGATTTCGATCGTCCAGAAGACGTGCATTAGGAAGAGCTTATCTCTGGAATTTTACCAACTGAAGAACAACGGGGAAGCAAAGGCAGTTTGTCTATTGAGGCTTTGAGGTGTAAAACCCTAGAGTCACTAACGCCTGTTCGTACCTTATTTTTGTTCTCTGGGTCTCAGAAAAAAAATTATAAAATATATATATATATATATATATATATATATATATATATATATATATATATATATATTTCTATATTCTGTTAAATAATCGAGCAGTTTTAGGGAAGTTTATATTTGATCCGTCATTATTTAATAAAGCTGAAATATCCGCTCTGAATGATAATCTATTTATGGTTGTGGTGTAATAGGAGCACACCTGAAAAATATGGCTGACAGTGAGAGGGCTATTGCATGTTGGAGGTGGTTGTTTGTTGGTAAGGTATAAATGAGTCAAATTTTTGTGGGCCGAATGGGCTAACGCGTTGTGCACAGCACCACCGTTGCCCGGCAACCTGATATATGACAAACGTGTTACAAAAATAGTCAGGAGTTCGCGTCCCGGTGTCAAGGGGTATTTTAATAGCCTTAATGGAGAGGAAGTGGAGGACCCCCCTCCCCTCCAAAAAAAGATTCAAATTTATATGACTTATTCTCATCCTAGTCAAGGCGATCCCCTCTCTGCGATTAGAATAGTTTGATGTGATCATCCAGAGCTTTGCTGATTTTTTGATAACTTTCAACTTGCTGGGTAGACTCTCTTTCCACATGAACTGAACATGAACCAGCTGTCGGATATTTCCTTTTTGAGAGGAAGACTCATTTCTAGAGGTGATAGGATAGCAGTACATTACCCCGGCGTGGAAGCTCGAGGGCTTGTTAGGCAGCCACATCTGCAAACTCATTTCTTACTATTCCTATGTGACTAGGAAGTAAAGGCAGTTTTAATGGAGTATATAATTTAATCATGAAAGGAAAAAAACAAAAAAAACAATGGGCTATCAGATAACGTTTAGCTATGTGCAAAAAACTGTAACTTTCGATATACCATAAAGCCATTATCTTGTTGGAAAGTGTTTGGAATCGTTATCCTGTTGAAATATAAAATTATGAGTAATCCTTATTTTTGCAGCACTGGTAACTAAATTATTCCGCAAAATATTTGCACACTTCTCAGCTGCCTATTATCAATGATAACAATGTTTCCCATGCCATGGTAAGAGACACATCACCGGATCATTACATTTCTTCTTCCATGTTTAACTGTCGGAAGTAAATTTCTCTGTTCTAATTCTTGGTTTGTCCTTCGCCTAATGTAATTTTTCCATCACTTCCAAATAAAACTAATTAAAGCAGGTTTTATCACTAAGAAGAACGTTTTTCCAAAAGTCTTATATGTAAATTATTTAGCAAATTTCAAGCCTTTTCCGCCTGTTAACCTCAGAAATGATAATGGATCTTTCTAAGAGTAGAAACACTCACATACTTCTAAGATGTTGAAGCATCGTTTGCAGCGAGTTGACAGCAGTTTGTAGAAGGGTTCTTTTTAATTAGTTTTAGGATGTCACGACACTCCCTTCAAATCAAAACTCTTGATCTTTTAGAGCGAGGTTTATTATGGGTGTTATTTGTCTCATCATATCTATTTATAATATATCGCAGTTTATATGTAATATTTTGTCGGTCTTACTGCGTATTTCATAAATTATTCTTTTTTTTTTGTTGAGAGTGAATTAGATTGAGCCCTCAGATCTCCGATGTGGCCTGGAGTAGACTAATTGAAGTATTTTTGCATATGGATTAAAATATCATAAAAATCGGACCTGCATGATGTTAGGAAGGAAAATGTTCATTATTTCATCCTCTTTGTAATGAGTTATTGTTCAAAATTGTATCTTAACGCGACCACTTGTTAGAGAGGCAAAAAGAGAAAAAAATTGTCTCGAAAACTAAATTATAACAAATTTTATTGAAGGATTAAAATATCTCAGAAATTAAAATTCGGACCTGCATACTGTAAGCGCAGGAAATGTTCAGCATTTCATCCTCTTTATAATGAACTATTATTTATAATTTATATTTCATGTTAATAATCTCGCCTTGTAGATGTTTCTTCTACTTCTTTCTACTAGTCATAAGCACACCCCTTAGTTTTTTTTTTCGTCTCCTCTCCATAGTTAATTTTTCTGGATACACCTCTGCCCGCAACTCAGTTATCTCACATAACCAAGGTTTTATATTCTCTTAGAGAATATTTAAGTAATAATTTATTGAAAAAGTAAATCTAATGCGTCATCTACTGAATTTGTACTACGTTCAACTTCTCCATATAGTTTCTAATAATCTATGCTAATGTTAGTTTATCTAAAACTCATGGATAGCCATAACTATAGTTTGGGGTTTGTCATAGAACGTATGATTTGGATAATGTTTTGATAGCTAAAAAGTTTATTTGTGCTGGAGGTTCCACCAGTCGATGGTAGTAGTGAAAATTTATTATTCATACCATCTATGAACAATAACAATGAAAATGACAACAATATTTTGACAACCCCAGCGCAAAAGCCTTTAAATTCAAAAACTAAAATTATTCAGACGAAACAATCAGGGTAGTTCCAATTTTGGGAACTAGATTTTCTCTTGAAATGATTGTCGCTTGCTTAAGTTTATTTGAATGAATAAAATTTCACATGGAGGGTTTTGCTGTGTGGCTGTCGTTATAACTCATTCGATTACCTGGACGGATACCATGACGACGAAGCCGAAGGTGAGCGCAATCAAGACGATGCTTTTGAGGCTTATCAAATTCCCCAAGTTGATGCAGGACATGCAGCCGAAGTAGGTAATGAAGAAAGTACCAATGAACTCTGCCAGCAAGGCCTTCAAGAGTTCAATCGCTTTATCCTTCTCCGTCACTTCAACCGTCCCAAGTATTTCCATCATATCCTTCATCTTCCTACAACATGTAAGTAAAATAAGTTAAAATTCATACCCGATGAGGTTTCAATTATAGAAATATAAGTAAATTAAAATGATTGAATGTTAAATAAAATTCTAAGCTTAGAAAGGAAATTAATCATACACCCATTTGATCGACAAATAGTTTTAAGCATATTACCTTACTAGACACTAATTAGCATGAAAATTATGGACAATGAGACGGCAGACCAGATTATTGCTGCGTTGAAGTTAGTTATAACAAACAAATCTAATACTTTCAAATCTAGGATTGGTTGGAACGAAATAATGATAATTTCAAAATGTAATGATAACACACAAAAAAATTATAAAATTATTCTGAAATTAGAGCATGTGACGCCAAGGCCACTCAATTCAGAAGCACCAAAGAAATTCAAAAGTAAAGTTAATTTCAATTACCAAAGCAAAGGATCGTCATTCTCCTCTCTCTAAAAAATTTAAAAATAACAATGTTTTTTTTTACATTCAGCTAAGGCCACCAAAAGCTTCCTTCGGAAGCTTGAAATCCCTTTTGAACTATTATTGAATGTTACAGATGAATGATTGAAGTACTTTATGTAAAGTATGGTGTTAAACAAATAGTTTTTTACTTTCGCTTTCATATGTATGAAATGTATAGCAAGAGAATGTATTTGGAATATATATTTTAGTTTTAAACGGAAATAAATATTTTATGATCGCCTTGATCCAAATAATTGCGAAACGGTTCTGTATGTCTGTGTTTTTGTGAAGCTGAAAAACGAAAAGTTGAACGGTACTGAAATGACGTATTCATGATAGCTTTATGCCTGGGTTGTTCATTTATTGGCGGGGCAGCTTCTTAAATCGATCCTTCGTCTGACCAGTCTCCAAGTTCGGTCTTGTCAGCTCATTCGGTGCTGCTGTCTGTGCATCAGATGTACTTATTCTCAGTTTCCTGAAATCGAATAGGATTTTATCTCTCCATCTTCCCTTGGGCCTTTAATCCTTCAACACGGTTCACTCTTCTTGTCATTCTTTCTTCATTCATTCTAAGCAAGAGACCAAGCAACTCCATCCTCTGTATTCTGATAAAAGAGGAGATGCTCAAGTCACCATTGAATTAATATATAAATAGGTAAAGACAGAACAGTTCAATACCATTATTTCCTCTGTAAACTGATTTTCTATTTTTGTTGTTGTTGTGTTTATTAGCTATTGACAAGCTTTATTGTTATCAATAGAAATCAACATGGAAATAAACGAAGTGTTCGTTTGTTTAAAGCCACTCCGAAAGTTCTTCACCGAATGCAATGAAATTTCGAAGCAACGAATTCAAGAGTGATTTTATATAAAATCCATTGCCACTTATATAATAAAAGGCTGTAACGATTTTAATGAAACATGGCTAAATTATCCTCCTCGAAGCCTACTTAGTTTATGTATATAACATACTTCCCCGGAAAGACGCTGAAAAAAATTAATGATTATTTTCAGTTGAAAATAAAATAAAAAGTACACAAATGGTACTGAAATGTATTGCATTGTATTAAAGGGTAAATATAAAAAGGGTATGCTCTCAGATATACAATGGAAGACGATATTAAAGTAGAAAAAATGTTGGAAACTTGCACATTTATATATGTTTTCCTCAAGTTTTGACTAATGATAGTCGATTTTCGACTACTCAGCGGACACTAGTATGCGCGATTTTCCGCCAAAATTCATCTTCTTCATTCGTAGTTTCTTTTAATTCTGATTCTGATTTCTTCTTCCTTTCTTTCATTCTATTCATTGTTGACGGATTCGAAGAATTGAGAGCTGTGAACCATCTCAGAACTGTGCGTCCTAGAAGGATAATGAGTGCTGAAGAGTTAAAAACTGCCAAATAGTTAATAAAGCCTCATTTGATTCCTGAAATGATTTCCTGACATCACACATGGAGTAATTGAATTAAGTCATGGGGAAGAGGAGCGGCTGGGTGCTATCCCCCTCCTCACGGGCGGATCTACGGGGGGGAGGGGAGCTTTCGGGCTGAAGCCCCCCCCCAAAATGGTGAAATATAACCACGTTTTATCGAAAAAAATATTAAAAAAGTATCTCTTAAAGTATTATTGTTCGTGTAATTACATTTAAAAGGGCTTTAGGAATCACTTAAACACCATTTCATATAGGTAGTTAGTTTCGTTTTTTTTTCAAAGTAATTATCGTTATTTTTATGAAAAAAAAAACTTCCGGGCTTAAGCCCCTCCCCCCCCAAAAATAAATCCTGGATCCGCTAGTGCTCCTTCTCATACCCGACAAGTCAGTTTCATTATTATTTTTGTATTAGAACTTCTGCTGATTGTCAACAGTTCGACGACAGGTGCGGATTAATATTTGAGGTCATTGATGTATTAATCCCCACCTATATATGTAATATATAATCAGAGAAAATATCGAGGTCGTGAAAATTTTCGAATCTGAGTTTTAAACGGAAATACACGTTTCGAGGTTCTTTGAATCCAAATAACCAAGTCCCGCAAAATGATCTGTACATGTGTGAAAAGGCTTCTTAAGACTGGTATTACTGGTAAACTGGTATTACGTATTTAAGAGAAATATATGCCTTAGATTAGATATGCCTAGCAACTTTCCTGAAAATCGGCTAACCGGAAGTGCCACTTCATATCATCGATTTTACACATTTTTTTCGAATTTCTCAAACAGGGCTCTAGCGATTTTTATTAAACTCGGTATATCAATTTACAATTAAATTTTCTTTAACATAATATGGATATTAACCTCATTGATGAGGCTTAACAGGGCTTAAATGCCGAGAATTACTTTTAATTTGATTTATGCTATGTAGTTAACTGTGTCTCATTGTTAACAGCAATAAAAAAAAGGCTGAATATAAACTATGAAAAAATTTGATAATTGACTAAACTGGAAAAAAATAATGATTTTTTTTTCCGAATGTAATAGTCAGATGGTGTACGTTTCGTACTCGTTATGTCATTGGAAAGCAGAGAATTTTAGAAAAAACAATGTCTGACATACAAAGACTGTCAGTAATATTACATCAGTCTGTCACCATTTCTGAAAACTAATATTATTTAACGGAAACCATGTGTTTCCAAGGAAATGAAATGAAGTTTCGTAACTAAAAATGTAAACATTTGAAACTATTTTTAAGTTTGAAAAAAAAGTATCTAAAATCCACCGAATCAATGCAATGACATTGTTTAAATACTTATTTCATTGTACTTGTGAGAAAAAAGAAGTGATTTATAAAAATATTTCATAGATGTCTAAAACATATGTTTATAATCTTAAATACATTTACAATAGTAAAAACTCTGGATTTGATAATCATTATATAAATAGGCAAAGACAAAATGGTTCAGCTCCTTTTTCTCCTCTATTATTCAACTGATTTTCTTCCTTCTTTTTTTATTTAATAACTATTGACGAGCTTTAGTTTTATTAATAAATAAAAATATGAAATAGTGTGTGAGTAAAAATATCAATGGTAGTTTGTTCAGAACGCCTAATCTCCGAAAGTTCTTTACCGATTTCTTTTAAATTTTGGCAAAACGTCGCGATAATATTTAAAAGTTTTTTATATACGTTTCATTACCATCAGGCCTTTCTTTTCGAAATTGTGGCAGAAAAACGTGATTCACTTTAGACTGTAGCGCCAATATGGCTTCAACGATTTCAATGGAACTTGGCTAAAGTCTTCCCCTTGAAACCTTTATAATTTATGTATATAACATACTTTCCCGAAAACAAGCTGCATACATTTTTATGATGAATTCGGTATTTTATTTGCGAATAAATCAAAAATTACACTTTTTTTATTGATAATACCAATATTTATTTGAAAGATTCCTGGATTCCCTATAAAATAAAAAAATAAAAATCGAAATCGGACTATTTGTTGCAGAGATATATCAATTCAAACATTGAGTACTTTTTCTTTTGCAAAGTCCGATTTCCTCTATTTTGGTTTTTAATAAATCGAAAACTTTATCATGGAATGTTACCTCATAAATTATATTTAAAAATAAATTCTATAGTTATACTCATTCTTAACTTAAATACTGCACATACAGTAGTTAATTGAAGTACTGAAGGGAGCTATTTTAAATAAAAGAATTTTAATTCCAAGAATTAATTTAATATTTTCTGGTACAATACTTCCATTCGAATTTCAAAGAACAACGTTCTTATTAATAGCTGCATTTGCTATGACCATTATCAAATCGCAGGTTTAAACTTTTGAAAAAATTTGTGTATTATTGCGACGTCCAGTAATTTCGCATGGACAATTATATGTAGCAGCAAGTAGAGCACGCTAAAATTAAAATCAAAATTTTGAAATTTATATTTTCAATGGCAATGGTCAAGGCTATGTTCTAAACAATAACAGAACATTAAAAAAGAACATTGTTTCAGAGAATTTCTGCATAAAAATGGATTTAAACTCAGTTGAAATTGCTAATTTAAATTATTTTTTACTTGCTTAATCATAACATTAATTCATTGTGATAATAACAAAGATAAATTAAAATGGAAATTAAATATTTTGAATGAGTCTACTTTGTATTACTTATAAATAATTTTAGGTAGTTTAATCTCAATTTTTAATTGAAATTGAAGTTTTGTTTATGTTAATAACTGAGGATTTTTGAATCGTGATTAACTCTTTATTTATTGAATTTATTTTTAATTTAATTATGTTTTTCTCAAATTTGTAATGGCTATGATCGAATTTCGACCACTGGGCGAATACTAGTATATTTTAAATACTTAGATATCTATTGTTGGTTAATTTCCAAATATAACAACCCAGTATTTTAGAGAATTAAATTAGTGAATAATTCTGTATGTTCCCTCTATGAAATCACATGTTCCACTTAATTAGTATGACAACTTTTGAACTATCGATCGTAGGCGATGAAAATCTCGTAACTCCATTTTAGTAAACTTTCCTATGGAAAAATAATAGTTTAATAACTAATAGCAGTACAATCCATAATCATTTATAGGTTAAATATACAAAGGTACTTTCAAATCTGTCTGTCATATATAGCTCAAAGACAGGAGTTATGTGGTTTTAAAAAACAGATGGGGTTAGGAGATTTTTATTATCTACCGTCGATATAATAAATAGAATTTGCGTTATTTTAATGATCCTAATGAGTTGTTGCAGATTAGCTGTAAGGTTTGAGGTTTAGCTCTGTTAAAAATAAACCTCTAAAATTTTATGTACCATAGCCCAATATTGCCAGAAAATAATTTCTATTCAAAGTAGAGTGGTTAGTGAAATTTTTGAGATGCATACACCAGATTTTTAGTTGTAATCCAGATGAAAAACCCAGATATATATATCGAGCAGCTGAAGAAATATCTTGCATACAGTCTAATGATTATAGTTTTTTTTTTTAACCCTTCTTCTATCTAATGCGTTAAGAGGAAGATTTAAAGTTTGTGAACAATTATTTGAGGAGCATAATGAGAGAAGTTCAAATAAAATGGTTATTCCTGTATACAGTGCCACAAATTTTAAATTAAATTGACACTTGTAAAATTATTGCTGAATTTGCAAGAAAAAACAAGGCGGAAATTACAGAAATTTTTTTTAATAATTGTATTTAATTTTTTTATGATATGGCAAATTTGTATTACTTTTCTTTTTTTGTTAAAAGGTTTCAGTTTTTTTTTTTAACATATTTTTGGGACCATCAAATTTTGACTCTTTAGGCCTCCTCCCCAAAAAAAGTTGATTCACCATAGTGTGGTTACAACATAGCCACATAGTTATCAGTTAAGTATACACTTTCAGCAACTTCTCCTTTTTAATGTGACTAGTTGTTCTTTATTTTTATCAATTAATTTAGTTATTGTCTTAATAATTAATATGTTATGATTGGAAATTCAAAATTTAATGCTAATTTGACTTCTGCTAAGGGAAGTATATGAGATGATGAAACAAGTAATGAAAAACAAATTAGCAATTATTGATAATTAAAAAATAATCTTATAAGTCTAATTATTAGTGAAAATTCTGACTGCTTTTTATATAAGATGACTCTATTTATATAATTTGTGAGTATTCAGTTTGTCTGCATGGATAACAATTATACATGTATAAAACTTAGGTTAATTGGATAGGGTAAGTTTTATAGAAAATTATAACTTTTATTTTTATTCTTTTTTTTATTTACAAATATAGTAAAAACTCTAGACAAATAACAAATATAAGAATAAACAATTACATTCACAAATACATTATGGCAGTAAGGGTGTATACAAAGAACTGTTGCAATATTTTATTTGAAGTTAATAAATATTAAATATTTTATATTTGTATTGGTGTCTAAACTTAGTTAAGAATAATTTTAGAATATTATTTTTAATTCATATGCATGTAATCAACTTTGAAAGAAAATCAATTAAAACACTTTTAACTAATTACAACTAACATAATAACTAATTATAAAATAGCATTAAAAATTATTTATAAATGGCTGTTAATTTCAAACTACTGCTTTCAGATCAGTTGCACTGCCTATATTCAGTCAACAAACTATTTATATGAACATCTTCATGTTTCTTTTAACAAATTAAAATAAATAAAACCTTGGTCCATGAATAAGGCACAATGTTATAACATTAAAACTTAACATATTTATATAATTTTCTTTGGTTCTCTTTTTTTCTTCCTATGCATTATTTCCATGTTTTTCAATAACCAAAAATAAATATATGCTTAAATGTTTAATTGAGAACCTATTTAATTTAAAAATCAGTTAAAACTGAATCATCTAGAATATATTCTTGCAAAATGATTTTTTAAACCTTTTTTCATACTGTTTTTCATTTTTAATTATTTTTCTAAATCCGACTAAATAAATATATTAGAAGATAAATATTCCCAATTATTATTTTTAAAAGGCTAAATAATAAAATTCTAAACTGTGACTGATTTGAATATGATGAAATATTTGGCAAATGAACATAGTGTTTTAGAACTTAGAATTATTTATAATTAAAAATTTTATACAGAAAAAATAAAATAAATTAACAATATAAAATTTGTTCAACACAGTGAACAAAATTGTCACTCTAGCAATAATGTACACTTAACTGCTACCAGTTCCACCTTTTAGTGACTAAATACAAATATATTTATATCATTCAGCATCTTTGACTCATTAATTTTTTTTTATGTTATTATTAAACCAACTTACCATGATTGTGGTAAGCATTAATAGTTTTAATTAAAACAACAAACTTGTCTTATACTATGGGGGATGATAAGGGAACAATCTTGGGAGTAAACAAACTTAAATTGGTCAACTTGGGCATGTTCTTTGACAGGGATCAGGCATTTTCTTCTTCTTTTCCATCCAACCTTTTCATCTGTACAAAAAATTGGAAATATATTAGTATCAATGGTGAAGAAAATAATCTGATATACTGCACTTAATATTTTTTATTATGAATTGTTTGGCTGGATCTTTTATGAATTCCTATCTAAACTTTCTTTTAAAAAAACATAATATCTGGAATTTAAATAATGACCTGCACTGGAGAGTACTGAGTGGTTATTGGAGGTGCGGCGAATACAAAGGTATAAAGTAAAGCAGCTGCAATGCCTCCCAGGCAAGGTCCAAGCCAATAAACCTGAAAAACAAAGCATTTCTTGTTAATATATATTCATTGTCAATTGATCATGGATTATTCATTGATCTTTGAATTCATTGAATTTTTTAAATTTCCATGTATTAGATACTTCATTAAATATGTATTTTTTGTGCCATATTTTTATTTAAACTAGAATATGATTTGTATGATAAGAAATAAAAGTTGTAATGAACTCAATGATACATGAGTATTATGTAAATGTAATAGAGTACAGTTCATTAAACATATTTATTTTATTTTTCTTAAGTTCTCCATGTACTGCATCACCTAGCAACACCAAATAGACAGAATACATTTCAATCTAGTATTAATGTGGATTCAAATTCATCCCCCCCCCATCGTTAGGGTTATCTGGTCAAATAGGACACAATCAAGTAGTGTAGTTGTCTCATGCAAGTTTTAAAAAATGGATTGAACTGATTTTGAAACTAATTACAGAATAAGAAAAAAAATACATGAAAATAAAGTAATAATCAAATTTACCCAATGATTAGCCCAATTATTTGAAGCAATGGCTGATCCAAGACTCCTTGCTGGATTCATGCTGGAGCCGGTATATTGAATCTGCAAATAGTGATAATCAGAATTTATTGTAATCTTAAATTTATTAATAGTCATTCATATATTTGTAATTTGTAGGAATTATCTGTATATGTAAACTAAGTTTGTAACTTTAATATGAATGAAAAATATTCCTCCATAAAATTACTTATCTACACAATTAAAATAAAAATAAATAAAATAAATTTAGAGAATTGAAAAATTAAAAAGTTATCTTACTAACACAATTTTTATGGGATATAGAACAGCCAAAAGCTATTTGTTCAGATGCAAATTAACTTATAAAAAAATTTGTAAGTATGAGAAATACATACTTTTATATTAATATACTTAATTAGATAGACACAGACAGAAATAGTTCTGTGTAGTATTTTTTATTTGTTTCAACCAAATAAACTGGACCTTTTGTACAGAAGAACTGTGTACAAGTTTAAAATTTAATCCACTATTTCCTAATGTGAATAAGTAAATTAAATTTAAAAACCAAATTAAAATTAATGACATGGGTCTAGTAAATAAATCAAATGAACATGTACTACTTCCTACATCTGTTCATACATTTTCAATATTTTCTATTTACTTACCGAAGATAAATGACCAATAACTACAGCGAGACCAATGGCAAGAGGAGCTGGAATTTTTGCTTCAGGTTTGTTAGGGTCAGTGACACCAAATACCACAAATATCAAAACAAATCCTAGAAGGAATTCCACAGCGATTGCTTGCGGTATTGTTAGAGGCTCACTCACTAATGTGGACCCCAATGTTTGTTGGAATTCTGTAGGAGTCACTGCCTGAAAAAGAAGAATGCAAAGTTACTCAATAGAACATGGAAGTATAAATTAAAAAATTCTCTTGTCTAAATATGTCTTTGAGATTATATTCATTTTTAATCCACATTTATTTTTAATACAAAGTGTTTTAGATTAAATGGCAACCTCAAAGTTTCTAGAAGTAGAAATATTGTTTAATTGGGATGTTATAAGTCAAGCTAATCTTCAAATTTCTTGAAGTCTGTATTGTGGCTAAAACCTGTAACACTATAACCTACGAAGGGTTCAGTATTTTGTAAGGAAGTACTGATTCTAGTCCAATTATCGTTAAATGTAACCTATTTTATAGATGCAGAATGAACCCGAGGAGGATTGAACAGCAGATTGAACATGCTACTGATTGAACAGAATAAATAATTATCTCCCTGGATCAGGACTCCAACTCAGACCAAGCAAATAACAGCTACACAACACCCCTGGTAGTGTGGTTAACTTAAAAAAGAAATAAAAAAAAAAACACACTAATTTTGAATAGATTCTATTTTGATCTGTGTAAAAAGTATTTAATTCTTATTTTAAATAACAAGAAATTTGAGTTTTAAAAATATAAAGTATAAAATGATTTGTTTTAATTACAAAATATTTAAATTGCTTCTAGAAAAAGTGTTTCAAATACAAAATACTAAATGTATTTTGTATTTCAAAATAAAAAAATATGGTGAACAATAAAACATTATGAGATTAGAAGAATGTAGATATAATTTTAAAATAATTAATTCAGAATAAATTATTTTATTCAATTAATATTATTTCATAAGAATTATAATAAAAGCGACAACATGAAAAATTATTTAATTTTAAATTTTCTGTAAGATATTACATAAATTGAATCATTCCTTTTTCTTTGCTTACAAGTACTTGAAAATGTTATTAAAGGAAAGGAAAAATTATGTTTTTTTCCCAACAAAACATCTGTCAATACACGTTTACTTGTTTATTTTACAAAATATGTTATTCTATGCTGTTCTAAGGCTAATCAATTTTATGACCAATGATAATTATATTACAAATTTAACTCAATCGATCTGAACAAAGCTTGATTATCGCAGGAGAGAATTCTCCTTTAAACAAACAGCCTTACAATAATACTTAACACTACAATAGTAAACTTGGTAATTTATTTTGTGAATTTAAATTATAAAATAAAATAATTTTTTTTTTTTTGTATTTATTGGCATCTTGGAAAGAAATTGCAAATAATTTTTTCATCATTTATATTTTAAAAATATATTTATGAACAATTAAAAAAAAAAAATTATTTTGTATTTTAATATATTTCATTTGAAATACTACCCAGGACTGATTTTGTCTATACTTTCATAATCACCTCTAGTATATTGTCCAGAATTGGACACATTATGAACAAGTGCTCTAATAGTCCAGTCAATGAATGCTCGAAAAGGGAGTAGTGAAGGAAATAGCGAGGACACAATTTTTTGATATAAGAAATTGTTTGGACTGGTATGACATACTAAAAGGTCCCACTCCTAGGTGGTGAGCCAGATGTGGGGGGGGGGCCTAGAAGGACACTTTTTTGGAGTTTTTGCTTATATCGGGGGAACTATCCATTGCATTCACAAAGACGTTGTATACAAAATCAAAGCTGATAAACTTTTTTACCTCATGGTTTTTACTGTATTTGAATAGCTAACTCTTGATTGCTTCATTCTAAGAAAGTTTTAATAACATCTTATTCTAACATCATTTCTATATTTCAATTCCTATATCTACTACATTTCAATGACTCCAGAATGAGGAAATAGTGATTGAAAGTTGCTAAATACCTTTAACACTCCAGTTCCAGCTATCCCGCCCAAACACTGTGCAACAATATATAGCGCTGCTCTGATGATGGTTACTTTTCCTACTACAAGTGCTCCACAGGTCACTGCTGGATTCAAATGAGCTCCACTTACATGTCCAAGAGACTGAAATCAAATGAGCATAGAAACAGATTAGTTCTCATAATAAGATTTTGTAGAATATTGATCATAATACTGTCATATTAGGTACATTAAACTTATATTAAAGGTTTCTGAATGTTCTCTTTTATATTACTTCTTCTGATTCTATTGACTTTGCAATAAATTGTGCACCAAGTTCCTCAGGATTGTCCGAAAACTAATTTTATATCATATTTAGATGCACAAGAAATTTTCTAACTGGTTTATAAATGCATCCTTATCATCTCTATCGTTTTTTAGTGCATATATATTAATAATTAGGATTTTAATTTTAGAGATCTGTTGCATAGTCTTTTCTTGAGAGGCAATTAGTGGAAATTATTAGATTTTATAAGTTTTTTTGGAATTACTCAACCATGAAAAATGACATCATTGTCTAAACTGGTTTTATGTAACTTATAAGACTGGTGGTTTAAATTAAAGTAGTCAAAGTTCCAGTGATAAAACGTTAAATTTCTAATATATTTTGTGGTCTAATAAGTTTTCTTTTCTCTTTATTTTTTAATACACAACTGTCAATGTCCACTGACAACCAGTGAATGAGATAACTGTATACAAATAGACTAGGAGAAAGGGCATGATAGGCATGAGGAAGAGAAAAACCCAGTGGTTTATCTTCGGTCATGTTAGTGGTTAATTAAGGAGATCTCTCATCCAACTCCTTTTCAGCCTTCTGCGGATGTTATCGGGCATGTTTTAATTGGCCATGTCTTGGATGAGTCTATTGGGGTGACCATAAAGCTTGCTGTGAAACCTTTTGTAATAAGTTTGTATGTGTTCTGTGATGGTTTGCATGCGTAAGTATTTGTGGAGAGTTATGTTCCTAACATACCAAGGTGCTTGAGTAATTGTTCTGAAGGTTTTGACCTGAAATATTTGTAATTTCTGAATATGATTTTTTTTTAGTAATTCCATATATTTGTGACACGTATGTCCAAAGTGGTTTTAGTAATTAAGTGTAAGTGTTAAGTTTTTGTCTTAGATCTAGTTTTGAGCGACATCCCAGTAGGGAATATAATAGTCTAAATAGTTGATTCAGTGACTTTCGCTTAGCGGTGATGTGTGGGCTCCATGTCCTTCTGGCAAATGTTAGGCCTAGGTAATGTACTTTGTCGGATTGGGGGATATGTTCATTGTCATGATAGACAGGAGGGCAGTTTTCGCGTCCGAGTGAAAATGTTATGTGTTAGGATTTGTTGTGATTTAGTTTTATTTTCCAAAGTTTGTACCAGTCGTGTAAGATTTGAAAGTGATTTTGTGAAGTATATGAAGCATGTGTGGGGTAGTAAGTTTTAGGATACATTCTACTACAAAGTTAAACCCTCCCCTCCCTCCCCCTCTGGTATGCCACTTTTAAATACCCATTTATTTTTATTTAGACTCTTTGACTTCTACTCTGTCAAGGAAATTTTATTAAACGTTAACGGTTTCATTTAACATGATATCTATCGATATAGTAATTCTTTTAACAGTATTTATTTAACAGTTTTTAAACAGGTTTTAGGCAATACATAAGTACTAGCTGGTGTAATACTTGGATAATTCAGAGTTCTAATTTTTATATGATTTCCGATGCCGTGTTGAAGCAAATTACAATGGTTTGTGTGTCCTACCGAACCATGATATTAGGTTGAAGGCCTATTCCTTCCTTAGTTGGGTTGCGTGACAGCTGGAAGATTGGCTTGGCGTATCTCACGAATAAGAGATCTTTGCCTACGGCTAAGGAAGCCGAAATAAATTCGGAAAATAAAAGAAACAATCAGCGATTCATTTCATAGCAGTGGTTCTCAAACTTATATAGTCCACCAGACTCCTCTTGAGTTACATTTATTTTACTTGAGTTATAAAGCGGTCCTCATATATACCAACGCTTGGCATTTTACATCAATACGTTAGTAATTGTTTTTGTCAATAAACAGTTAAATAACAACAAATAAAATCACCTTGACCATGTAAGACTTTTAAATGAGCTAATTTAATAAACTCGGTAGATTTATGTGTTGGTTTTACCAACAAAAGTGCTGGCTTTATGGATTACTTACTTCAGTCATTGTGGACAGATTATTCAATCAATTCATAGGAAAGTAGTTGAATTGCACATTTCCATCGTGTTTAAGCGTTATTCGATTTGTTGATTTCATGAATATAAACCAAAGTTTTATAAGTTCCCTGAGCAATTAATGAAGGGAGGCATATAGTGTATTTGTTTCTAATTAAAAATATTAAAATTAAGTGTATTATATTTAATTTTAGCTTCGTCATATCTTCCGATTTTTATTATAATTATAAACTAATTTATTAGATAATCTGTAATCTAATCTATTTATAGTGTATCGAAAGTTATAGTTTATGCACATAGCTAAACGTTTTCCGATAACCCATTGTTGTTTTTCCTTTCGTGATTAAATTACTTCCTCCATTAAAATGGTCTGTTGCTCCCCTTCCTCCTCCGTTGTTCTGCAGTTAGTAAAATTCCGGAGATAAGCACTTCCTGACGCACGCTTTTTTGTCGAACGAAAATCGGAGTAAAATCGTGGGACGACGGTAAAATGCGTCGCTGCTAGTTATTGTCAAAAGCTAGCTGTGCGTGTCACGGAATACCGCTCCTTTGTCAGTTAACGGGGTAAATTGGTTCAGGCTTCACTTCCTGGGGAGAGGAAGTCTGATTTTCGTAATGTAATTTAAATGGATCAATTATAGAATATATTTGTTTTTGGTAGAAGTGACAGTGACAATTAACAACAACAAAAAAATGGTATGTATGATATGTATTGTGTGATAAATTAATATTTTGTTCATTATGTTTGAAAGAAAGGGAGGGAGGGAGAGGAAAGTGGCATAGACGAATTGCATTGGATTGCTGTCAATTCAAAATTAGATCTGTAATTATACAATCTAGTAAAACTATATTTTGAAAAAAAAAACTTATATTTTCATTATAAAAGCTATTGATTAATTTTATTTGTTTATTTGCATGGTTTCTTTTATTTTTTTCTTTATTTTTTTTTCTTCTTTTCTTCTCTACCTCGCCTTTTAGGCTATACGGGATTTTCCCGGGCCGGGGGGTGAGGGCGGAGAATTTAAAATCCCCTCCGGCACCGGGACGCAAACTCGTACTTTTTTCAATCTTCTCAAATCTGTAATCCGGTTGCCAGGCAACTCGCGGTGCTGTGCACAAGCTTTAGCCTATTCGGCCACTCCGCTCCCCAGAAGCTTATACTGTTTGTACCATAAATATAATAAATTAATATAGATTAATATAAACGAAATGCACACAATTTATACTGTTTGTACCATAAATTGTGTGCATTTCGTTTATATTAATCTATATTAATTTTTTCTGTTCATATTAGTTTCCGACCGCATCCCAAATCGTCATCTACTAGATTTGTTCTGCTTTCAACTTCTTCATATGGTATTTTGTCTCATAATCTATGGCAGCGTTAGTTTGTCAACAATTAATTACTAGCCATAAACGTAGGTTGGTGTTTATTAAAGTATATATAAGACTTGGTAATGCTTGATAGACAATATTTTGATACTATAGAAGTTTTCTTGATCTGGACACTCCTTCAGTGGATGAAAGTGTATTATAAATACTATAAATGAATAATAGCAAGAAACATGTCATAACCTCGTATTATCCTGTTTGGTTACCTGAACAGCTATCATGACAACGAAGCCGAAGGTAAGCGCTATTAAGACAAGGCTCTTGGGGTCATGACTTCCCACGTTGATGCAGGACATGCAGCCGAAGTAGTTGATGAAGAAGACACCGATGAACTCTGCCAGCAAACTCTTACCGAGGTCTCCCCCAGCCCTCGTCACTTCGGAGGTACCAAGTGCGGCCTTCAATCCCCTCTTGTCTGGCATCTTTCTGCAAGAGAAAAGAAAATCAAGTTAAAATGATATTCATATTAGGTGAGGTATCAATTAAAGAAAATTGAAATGATTGAATCTTAAATCAAATTATAAGTTTGGAAAGAACAAGGTTGATGCATAAACACTTTTAAATATAGTACATCGCAGGCAGCATTAAAATTGTGAGTGATGAGATGAGCTGCTCGGTTTGATACCAGCTCTTAAGTACTGCCAAAATACAACTAATGATCGGGATTGGGAGCTCAGCCGAATACTAAACTAAGTTTAAATATCATGAACGTCAACGATCGACAAAGCTATTTAGGATCAGTAGTCCCAACTCAGTAAAGCTTATATTAAGCGTTATCTAAGATTAAACCAAGTTTAATCTCTATCGGTCGACCTTAGAAAACTTGATTTAATCTTAGAAAACGCTTAATCTAAGCTTTGCTGAGTTGAAGCAACTGGCCCTTAAGGTGATATGCCTCTTAAAACGGTAGAATTATTTACGTAGACTTTTTTTTTATTAAAATATTTCTTAATTTATGAGTTATAATAGTTCAATGAAATCGGCACCTTTATATGGTTTATTGCTTGATGTGTATGTCATTTGCCATTTACATTCATGATTATACAGTTATGTAATTGTTAGTCGTTTGATGTATTAATACTTTCGCAGTTATGTGTAAACATGTTCATAAGAAAATAACTATTAGGATATCATAGGAATATTCCAAAAACAAAGCCTTAATACTCTGAAACACCAGTAAATAACTATGCAATCAACGCCTCGCCGTTTCAATCATCATAAGTGTATAAATAAGATAAGGTATCTTTTTATATTAGCCATTCAATCAAATATATATTTCTAATGTTAAATACTTTATGAACGATATTTGACGGTCTGTTATGGTGAAGTTAAACGTAGTAGAGCAGCCTAAGTCAAAAACCTCGGTTCCACAATAATCTCCATGAGTAACTAACGGTCGGAAATAGACCTGCTTTTCACAAGCGCAAAGAGAGCTTTCTTCTCTATTTCAAAGGTATTGAGATTCCGATAAATCTCTTAAAAAATCTCAAATTAAGGGCGCAAGATGCTGTAATAATGCCAGTTCTGATATGTGGCTGCGAGACATGAACACTTACCAGCACCCAAGATAAAAGATTTGAAAGCAAAATCCTCGGTACGATAACCGGAGCGTTCTGGGATCAGAATACCAAAGGATGAAGGAGATGGCCCAATAAAGAACTGCTTACAGAAAATCATCAATCAATACCTCATGATTTGAAGGCGAGTTAGGCTGGATATTTAGCTTGGATCAATCCATCTGAAAGCCTCTAAAGAACAATGAATACCTCAATAGTAGGCTAGAGAACACGAGGATGAACAAAAAACCAGATGGATAAATGAATCAACAAAAATTCAACAGAGCTGCATCCAGATAACTGGAAAGAAACAGCCCAAAACAGGCAAATATGGAGAGGAAGGTATAAGGCGGTTAAAATATCTATAAGGTCTGTTAGAGGTATAGTTTATAACTAGCCATCATGGTTGAACCTACTTATCGTTTTGAGGCACCGAGCTCGGTGGACGAGGTCCTACCTGAACGATCATAGCTTCTGGTCAGACTTCTCGGACTGCACTGGTTCGAGCCGAGAACAGTTCCACTGAGCGTGGGCAATAAGTGAAATTGTAAATTAGCTAGAACGGCTGCTCGTAAGGCTGAGTCGATACCAGATTACAATCGGTAGTAACCGGCAGCCGAATAATTCCAAAATCTGAATAGTTAAATCCCCTCATCTAATGAGTTCGTACAGCATAGCATTAGTTGAGAAAACATTATTTATTCAAATTTTAGCTGGAGATAAAATATAATCGGAAGCATACATTTTATTTTTCCTGGAAGGAGATACATGTGGGGTCGAAAAGTACAAGTAATGCTTTCAGCATACATTTGTTATACAAGGTTGTTTTGATTCAATTCAATTAAAAATATTTTATTTTATTTTCATATAGACTGAAGGATACACGCATTTGGATAAATCTATGTTGAACGAATTTGAAATGAGTTGCATATATCCAAAGTGAACTGTAATTATTTTTTTATCTTAATCGAGAAAAATATCGAATCTCATGCAAAAATCAACCGATGGTGCATTTTTTTTAAATATAAAAAAAACGAACCTGAATATAAAAAAAAATTATATGAATAGAAGTTTAGTTTCGAACACATTTTTTTTTTCAAGGAATGTAATGAAACTTGCATTTTTAAAAAATATTCTTTAGTAAGTAATTCATCAAAATATTTTTTAACCGTTTCATCCAAACGAAAATTAAAGCAAATGTATTTTATTTTATCTTTAGAATTTTTATATCTTTTTCTCTCCGAATACACAACTTTTTTCTCTTCAAAACAAATCTCAATCAATATTTTTGTTTTTCAAAAATGGGTCTTGGAGAATAATTCTTTCCTGTTGAAAGAAAATATTCCAAAGGGATCCTATTGAAGTTATTATTGTAATAATAACTGATTTTCGGAAATCTGTGTTAAAAACAAGTATTTATTAATTTAATTTTTATCATTAAAGGTAGGATTAACAACATTCCAAACGGTGCCCTATCAAGTTAAAAGTTGAAGCGAAGTTGGTAAGTCGAAGGTATTGACGGAAACTTAGTGGTGACGATAACAACATTAAGTACGATCTTTTAAATTTGGTCCCAGAGGTTTTAAATACTCCTGGATTTGCTATGTCTTATTAGATTATGTAGGAGTTTCATCCTCCCCCAAAAAATGGCTCGGGGGTAAAAACTTGTATAAAAATAAATTTATATACATTTTTTGTTTATTTCTTTTTTTTTTACGTACGGAATATTTGAAAAAATATTAAAAAAGTAATTGAGTATATTATGCAAGTATTTTTTTAATTAAAGGTTTGAAATATTGAGATGGATTCTTAATTCTCTGATACTTTGAATTTGCTGCGGAAAATGTGATGAAATCTTCACGTAAAAATGAAAGGAAGCAGATGCATGAATCATAAAATCCTAGGATGTGCACACATAATTATCTTTGAATATAAACTAAAATTTCAATAATAGGAACATAGGGCTACTTGCGTATCTACTTCTAGGCCTTAGACATCTTGTCGACTTTTCCTATTTTCTTATTGATTTAGGTTTGATTTTATATTTGTTCTTTGAAATATTTAGGGGGAGGGGCACGGTATTCTCGCCCTCTTTGTAATTTTCTTAGGGGACGATCGTCCATCTTGCTCTCCCGAAATCTGCGCCTATGATTGCATCTATTGCCGTTTTTGTTGAAGCGTCGTCAACCAACATCCCACAGCATCCAAACGAAATACTGTTCCCCGAAAATTCTAAGCTAATTCCGTCCGCCATGAGGATATTTTTGGTCTTGGCTTCAACAAGATTAATAGGGCGATCCTAAGAAGCGGCTGGGAGGCGCAAGAGACGAGGACTGGCTTCTATATCGGCCAGTGGCAGCGGTGTGTATAAATAATAATGTAGGCGGAAGAGGCGATGGGTCGACGATTCAGCTACTGTATCAGTGCCAGGACTACTCATATTATATTTGTCACATCGACTAATCAAAGACTAACTGGATTTCGATATAGAACTTGGAGTTGTCTTCAGAAACTTTTATCTTCGTACATCAGATGTAAATATCTTGGATGCTCTAATTACAGTACATTCGTGAAGTTCATTATTACTGTCAAGGGGAGGCAACTATGATACTAGAAAGAAAACATTACACCCCTGTCTGAGATGATTTTTTAACTGTTTATACTTTTCTTGTGTTTGTAGTAATATGATTTTTGTCCTGCCCTGATTTCCCTTTAATTGAGAAGCAATTGAATACTTCGTTAATTATTTCTATTTGAGAGACGCGATTTTTTTTCGAAATTTAATTTTTTTTTTTACTAGGCTGTTATTATTTTTTAAAAATTTACCCGATACTCTTTTCAGTGGAACACTTCTATAAGGGTAATTACATCCATTACCTCCATAGATTCCACATATCCAGGTTTAACTGTATTTTAGAAAGTAGGTTGTTTCATTTCCTACTTTCTAAAAAAAAAAAAACCTTTTAATGCTCATGCGTTGCATTTTTATATTAAAAAGATTATTCGCCTGATAAATACTTAAATATTTGATGAGAAGAAAGTAAAACGAGTTTTTAAATTCAGCACGATGATTGCTAAACAAATGGTAATTGATGAATATGAAATAGCTTATTAACAAAATCTAAGCTGCTTACAGACCATGCGTGGTTTGCATGGGCAGCTACGACTGAAAGATAATTTTTACTTTCATAATTGAAATATATAGAAAGAGAAAGTATTGCGATCGTGAAAAAATTCTAATCCAAGTTTTTAACGAAAATAAATATTTTTGAAGATAACTGCGTCCAAAAAAACAAGTTTATCTAAATTGCGTGTATGTGTTTGAACAGTCTAACTCAAAACGAAAAGTCTGACGAAACTACAATTTTTAATCGTGGTAAGAAATGATATATGTATTGGATGTTACTGCAACTTTTTCTCCAAAATCGTCCAACCAGAAATAGCTCAAACTATTTTAATTAAACTCCTTACACCAATGCGATACCAACTTGTCTTTAATATCAGAAATAGTCTATGTTTAAGTTCATTGAAAGTACCTATAATTGAAGGCTTTCAAGTGCTCGAATCACGCCCTGAAGATGACCCACAGGTTTGGGTTGAAACGTTGTCACAAATAAAAAATTAAAAATTTTTTAAAAAGTCTGCGCCCTGATTATTTATCACCCATTTTCTTATTTTTTTAGAACAGTCGACAAGCTTCCTTCAATAGTTCGCCTATTTTCTTTACTATTTTCGACATGGACACAAACATAAACATTGATCCCAGTTACTACGGATGTTATTCAGAATTAATGAATTAGCTTCCAATCTTACACCACAAGGCGCAGATAGCGAAGATTAACGACGATCTCTATTGAAATGGGTTA